GTAGCAGTTCACCTTTACCAATTCTTTACCAGTTTTCTGGATCTCAGTAAGCTGCTCTGAGAATGTTAAGTGTTGAAGATCAGGTCTTTTCAAAATCTTTTGTATCACACAGTTTGCCTTTGAATAAATAGGTTGCTGGTGAATTTGATTGGTTAGATCTGAAATTGACAAATTTCTAATTTGAATGTCTTTTTTTCCTCATTTTCAATTAATAATTCAAATGGTAAATATGTTAGCTTTAAGTTCAATTTAGTATATGAGCTAGGCGATATTTATAGGTTTTGAGCATTACTAATGATATAATGAAAAGCAAAAAGGTATGTTAATGAGGTTTGAGAGTCAGTTCAATGCCAGGCTGTGGATTAACAGATATGTTAGACTCTTGGTAACATCATTATGAATACTTCATAAGATCTCCAAGAGTGTGATATCTGGATTGGCATTTATTGAGCATATTCTCAACAACCAATATAAAAGCCACATAGCGTGAGAATTTCTGTTTGTTTGTTTCACCAGTCCATTTAATTTTACTGAACATAGAAACTCAGTTCAGAGAAATTCATGGATTAGCAATGTTTCAAGGATTGCGGCAAAAAGTTTATAGTTGAAGTCTTGAAATGTCTGTGAGGAAAACAGAATAAACACCAAAATGAAACTCAGCCTTGGACCTTCAAGATTTATTATTTGTCTTTGGAAACTATTTTGATGAGACTTATGATATTGAGAACACTGAACAAAATATAATCACAAAGTTTCCGAAATTGTTGGTAAGGATAATTCTTATATTCGTTGATTTTTGTTGTCATAAGACTTAATATCAAAATCATTTTGCCACAATTTAATAAGTAATCTGTAATATACGGTTGCAGTGCTTGCTATAAACATGTTGTGGGAAGGAGATTGTACTCATTCTTCCTAATAATTAGTGTGATGCACATAAATCTGACACAAGTTATTATTGTTAAACTGAAAGCTACTAGATTTCTGCGGTTCTTTCATGGAAAGATGTAAGAGAAGAACGAATAATGTTGAATATGGCGCAATTGTTTATATGGAATATACATTAGTAGAATTAAAACGTCATTTATATCGAAAAATAGGGAGCAATTTATTTCTTTACGACATGATGTTAAAATTTGGTTGAAGTTTTATCATAAAAGTAAATGAACACCTAATAAGTGTTCATTTATTGGAAGCGCATCTGATAACCCGAATCTGAGACATTTCCATTCATTACATTAAAGACGCAAACACATTCCACCACCTTGAAAACTTTTAATTCCATCCAAACACATTCCACCACCTTGAAAACTTTTAATTCCATCCAAACACATTCCACCACCTTGAAAACTTTTAATTCCATCAACCATTTCCGCTATTATAAATTTCTATCAAAATTCCTTTTTAAGGCAATATTCCTTAATTTTTATTAGTAGAATTTAAAACATTTGATTTATGATTTGCTTGCAGACAGCATTTACAAATCATAAAATATATTTTTTCACTTTTTTGTCAGGATATTTTCAGTTTATATGGAACAATTAATTGAAATAAGTAGTGCTATGTTGTTGGTTGGTAACCAGTAAAAAAAATGAATGAAATCCTCTCAAATGAAATGAGGCTTTTGACTCTTGATTGCATTACAATTCTAATTTATTCCATTTTCCATGTTTTGCCATACCAAGGCTAATTTATTAACGTTCTTGTAATTCTAACACAATGTGCATTTGTGTTCCATATTATATTTGCTTTGTGTCAAATTTCAATAACCTTTAATATTAGCCATTTTTTAATTTGTTACCATAAATAATTCTCGGAAAGTGCCCAAGTATGAATAACTTTTTTGAGACAATGGGAAGCAGAATGCAATTATAAAACATAATGAACGAATTGAGCAAGGTAAATCGAGCCGAGCTTTTCACTTTACTTTAAATAGGCTGTATTACATGTCCCTTGGACACATATATTGTGTTATAACTGTCCAAGCAATAATAAATAGTAGTGGCTGCAAAAGTTAAGTTAAGCGGTACGCAGATCTTCAGATTATAAGCTTCGAACCTATGTCATTATCAAGTTTAGGTTCTGAAAATCGGTAGTATTGTGTTATTGGAATAATGAGGGATGAAGAATTCAAACTCGAAAAAATGGTTATGGAAGACCATTTCTGAATGTGAACAATATTTTGGCAATCTGTAGATGATGTTACAGTTGATGAGAGAGATGATGTGATTGAAGAGGAAGGACTAATTGGTGGATTTCTGGCTGAGTAACGATAAGAATCGGAATGTTGAGGGGTTATGCTGAGTAATCCTTTCATAACTCTTTCCATTTGGCTTGTTTATCTTTCTGGAGAATTGAAGACATATTCATTAAATTAGCTAAATTATCTGTAATATGACGTAGTCACTGCTTCCTTCTGTTGGTCCCTTCTCCCATTTGCATTATAGAACAGGAACATCGATATCTTCCTACTCCTATTACCTTAATCGATATCTTCAGCTTTGTTTATCGCTAAATTAATTCAGTTTGCAACTAAGGGATCATCGAATAATGGTTTTTATCCGTAAAAAGAAAAAAATTGCAAGATCGGAATCTTCCAAATTATTGAAGTTACTGTTTGTTCGTAAATATGGGGAAAAGGAATGAGGGGAACAATAATTAAATGTCAGCTGAAAGTGAATATTGTAAGTGGATAGGAGCGAAATGCGAAATATAATTAGATAAACCAACAAATTGATAGTTTACCCATTTTTCAGAGGAAAAATTGAGATGTCTCGAAATTAGACATGAAATTATTTTTGAAATTATTGTGACTACAGTAATTGTATTTATTTATGATAAATAATAATAAATAAATTTAAATATGTAATAAATAATTTTTATAATTTAAATTTTTTGCAATAAATAAATAATAAATAACAAACAAATAAATAATTGAATAAATGAATAATAAATAAATAAATAATAATAAATAAATAAGTAATAATAAATAAATAAAAAATAATAAATGAATAATAAAAAAAAATAAATAACAATAATAAATTTATTCATGCTGACCAATAACACATAATAATATTTGCTGGACAAACAAGCTTTAGTTATGTCATCACAATGATAATGATATTGTATGTTACTTATAATGTCGTAATTACTACAATAATGAGTAAGTTGCCAATGTAGAACTTTTCAATAAATGGATTTTAGTACGTTGGAACAAACTGCATGCTGCATTTATGTCATTACCATACATAGTTATCCCGACATATTGCTGTTTCTGATTGATTGGTTAAGTGCCTGTTACATAAGGGATCTATTGTTGCGTAACACTGAGGCACAAGATTAAGCACAGAGTTATTTTTGATAGTTAATGTCGTTTCTACCTTTTGAACTCTTCTTCGTTTCAATCTTTTCTGTCCTTTCTTGTCTGTAGTTGTTGAAAAGATTTAAAGTAGTTACTTATTAGTGCATGTGAGATGTACTTTTTGTTTTTTGAAATTCTGCAAATGATACTTATCCATTCGTATCTATTACTTAAAAATTGATTGAGGTAATAAAATAAACAAAGCCCAAGATAACATCTGAGAACTGTTTTATTCATGTATTGAAGATTAATGAGAACAGATTGTTTTAGGTAAGACAGATGATGTTTACACTTCCACCATCCTTTTGTCATTTTACTGAAATAACACATTATATTAGGACATAGCATCCTTGCAGCTGCTTCACTTCTCTATGCCAATTTTACGGTCTTTCTTAACCCTATTTTTTTGCTCCTCACTGTTTCCATTTGTGAGGAGATTTTATTAGTGCATCCCGAGCTCGTTTTAAAATTTGAGATGAAGGCATTTGAAATTTTCTTATTAGAAATACGCTGTTTTTTTTTTTTTGCTAATGAAGATACAAAGATGAGAAAATAGGTGGTAGTTTCAGCATGAATATCTGAATATCTGGGATCCAAAGGATAGACTCACTTTCTGTTAAAGGCCGGTTGAAGAATAAGGAATCAAGCAAAGAATAAAATAGATCACCATTCTAGGATTTTTAAGAGTGTAACCTTAACTAGCTGTAAGTTGAACAGGATAGTTCGATCATTGTCATTACGAATCCTTACCGAATAAATATCCGGTTTCTTGTCGTGCAGCTGTGGAAGTTAATGCACTGAAAAGCTATAATAGTGCAGTAATATATCGTATTCCATTAAAAAAATCTAAATTTGAAAGTTCGTAAATTAAATTCTCTTTGAATTCTAACTATCACCGCGGCTTATTACAATACTGTTGAAGTTAGCAATTGCTTAATGTAATGAGTCATTTAAGTAAAGAAACAAAAAATTGGTGTTATGAGGAATTCCAATTTTCTTCCATTCAATTTTTTTTCGGCAAGTTAATATAAGTCATACATAAATCTATTGATTTGTCCATTTTTTAAATCTAAGCATCTTTTTAATTGTGATATCAAAAAATATTAGTTTTATAGACGATATCTCACAGCATACTGAAATGTGAAATGATGCCTAACAACACTTTACAATTTATCACTTTTCACTAAGCCGTAGTCGATAATTTGATGGTATTAACTCTCAAACACAAATAATTTAAGCCTTGTATAAAATTAACAACAATTGGTTTTTATTGACTGGAAAGTTTTTATGGCAAAAGGTACAAAATTTTCACGAATTTGCGTCTTTTCATTTTGTATCGTTGAAAGAAAATTGCATAGGGAAAGGATTACTTTTTGTATGAACTAAGCTTCTGTTTGAAGGAAAATTTGTGTTTTTTGGGAAATCGAATCAATAAATAAATTGGTTTTATTACATTTTAAATATATTTATCATGTTTTCATTCGACGTTCTTTGCTGTTTTTCAAAACGAACAAGTTTTAAAAAAGATAAAAGAAAATGATTATTTGGTTTAGGAATCTGTTGCAGATTTACTGATCGTTCGCTGTTTCCACAAGATGCAGAAATTGGTGCAGGCGCAGCTTATATTGAAGTGGATGCCATGGATTCGATGGAAATAGTTTGTCCTACGTATAGTATGCATGACAATATTGATAAGTATGAGCAACTTATCGTTCACCAGGTAATAAAATGCAACAAACTGTCTTCGTGTAATCAAATTTATATTTCTTCCAGTTGTTCGTAAAGGAACTCCAAACTAATCTTCATTATATCAAAATTTTTTTATGGGCATACTAATTAATTATATCCTCAAAAACCATTTCACCATTTGTCAGGTATCTGATTTATCATTTATGAGCTGTGAATTGGATAGCCGTTCGCAGGCATTTCTCATATGTGATTCGCCTTTAGCAACGACATCCATCAGTCATAAAATTGTATTTCGCCAATTTTCTCCTTTACCAAATGGTTTTGAATATCAGCCAGGCCGATCGTATTATTTGATTAGTTAGTTTTTTTCTCTGGTTTTACAAAATTTATTAACGTTAACTGATAGAAATGTACTATGCAAAAAAAAAATTCACTTTTTAACCACAAAATTTTGCAGCATTTTATTGTCGCCACCTTTTTTTTATTTGGAAATTAAAATTTTAGCAACATCAAATGGATCCACAGAAGGTATGAACAATACGCGGTTGGGACTTTGTGTTACTGCGAATATGAGGTTGCGCATCGATGTTCGGCCTTTAAGTGATCACTTTTATCCAAGTTCTGAAGAAGGTAGTGGACTAAGTGTGTTGCTTGTTCCTGAGAAGACATTGAAACTGGAAAAATCATAATTGAATTAAAATCAATTTCAAAATTTTTACTTCTTGAAACTGGAGAAGCAATACGGTTTTAATAAATTATTAATGCAAGGAATGCCGGGCAGTTTAGCATTTAACATTCCATTCCTTGATCTGGACAAACGGTTTCCCAAACTGGCGTAAACTATTTCTCAAAATGTTAGGAAAAAGAATGACCGTCATTCAAGAAGTTCCGAGCTGATACATACGCCAGCGAATATTATAAATCGAAATTTAAAATATGTTAGGGAAGAATCCGAAGTCTGCGTCAGAGTCATCGGAAACCGAAAGAACTGAAAAAGAAGACTGGTCTCGAAATCGTCGTGTAAAGCCATCTGCAGATGACAAAACAAAGACAGAACAAGTAAGTCATCTGAATATCAGTCATCCGAACACTTTGATCATTATATCGCAAACAGCAAGTGTCATTGCGAGTAATTAGGATAAGTGTTATTGGTAAAATAATATGTTGAGGATGATATAAGACCAATAAAAGTTTTTGACTTCTCGAATTTTAATTTAATGGTACAGTTAAAGAATGTTTTTAGGATATTGACAGCCTAAACAATGAATCACAGAAGTTCGCTGAAAAACACGGTTTTGATTTAACACGACTAGAATACGTCAGGCAGTTAGCGATAGATGGCGTTGAGGGCGATTTCTCGTTTCGGAAACTTGAAAATGGCTCCATGGTTAACAGCTTATATGATTAAATTTTAGAGGAATTAACAACTGTCTCAATATTTTCGAAATAATCTCGAAGATAGTTATCATGACTCTGGCAAAATAATGAAATTCAAATTTTTGCAGAAGGCTTCGGTGGACTCATCAGAGGCGACCTTTGCTAGTGGTCCGGGGCGGCCAAGATTTTCAAGTGCACTTTCTGACCGTGAAACGTTCCAATCGACGAGTAGGCAGGCACAGCGGTGGATTTTGAAGGAAATACAAAGCAGATTTAGTGCTTCGCGGGATGTTTTTCCCGAACAGAATATAAGTGGTAGAGAATCTGCGAAGGATTATGTTGTAGATGATGTATCCGGTGAGTCACAATCTGATATATAATACTAGAAATTTTTTGGAGTGAAAACTCCCAACAGAGTTCTTAGAATTTATCTGAATGCTATATTATTTTCCGCAAGATCATGATAATGTAAATTTCTAGGTGGAGGCGCTATGTTTGGACTGCTAGAAGTTAAATATGTAATTATCAATATATTGTTATTGTTGTTATGGAATTCAGGAAGATGACACAAACCGTTTCCAATGATGTTTATAAGAGAAGATTAAGTATGTGCACGGTATACGTGTATGCATTTATATTAATGATAATCTAAAGTTTCAATCCCACTAAGTTGGATCTGTAGTATGCATCAGTACTCGCATTTTCCAAACGTTACATTATTTACATGTAGGGAGGAAAAAAAAATTAGGAAAATTGCACAAACTTCTATGGCAGTAGTTAATAGAAAATAAATGGGCAATGACTGTAACTAAATATGAGACAGTGGGATAGCATGAACCATAAAAATGGGATAAATTGTTATGAAAGTAGGGCAAAGTAAAGATAAATATCTACACTCAGGATTTAATGCATATACTCCTAAAAATAAATAAATAGAAGCTTAATATTTTGCCTTTCAACTTTCGAGATTTATGGTTTATTAATCGATATCCGGTGTGTGGAAAATTTTGTATTTTTTGGATTTGAACTACGTTCGCATTTCGGTTATCTTTGCGAAGCACACAAGGTCGAAATGTTACAATGTGATTTTCTATTTACCGATTATTAATTTATGATTTACTTTTCCAACGGGTTATTTTTTCTATGATGGTCGTTCCTTGTTGTTGTGAAACTTTCATGTCATGTACTCTCAAATTTCTTTTCACTTCTCTGCTTATTGTGAATTCAATAAATTCGGTTCAGAATTCTCCTCATTTTTTTGTTTCTCCATCAAGTTATCGCGAAAGTGACACAGAACTGAACCCTGGCAAGCACATTACAACCATCACTGTGATTAGATCATGTAGGTAATATACGGTCATCTATTCCAAAGTTTAACTTCAGACGGATTTCTGGATTCCTTAAAAAGTGCTGCCAGTGCTGCCGTTTACTATTGTTATTCATTTGTCGACCACGCTAAACTTCAGATTTGTATCCAGAGAAGGAGGTGTCCTTGAGGAAATACTCTGCCCCGAACATATCATTGAAGGTTACAAGACTAACAAACATAAGTGAAACATATTTATAATCTGCAATACAAGAATTATGTTGTTTCACAACGATTCTTTGAACGTTGATAAGTTTGGCTCTTTGTCAGCAATTCTTATTTTAAAGCAATAATTCACAGAGATTAAAATTTTGAGTAATACATTTCCAGCATAGTGATAGGAACACATGGCAAATACTACACTCTCCAATCTTATAAAATGGCTAGTCTACGCTTCCGTGTAACCAATCTTGTTTTTCTTCTGCACCCTTTTAACACACTTTTTGAAGATGGATCCATCAAGCCGTACGCAAAAGACACGGCTTCATTCTCCTTGAATACCACAAAAGCAAAAACCTTTACCATTACTAGTCCTCGAATTCCAAACTATTTCAGAAAAAAAAACATTTCCAATCTGAAACTTGTCCAAAATAGACGGGAAATTCGACGGTAAAATGTAAATCACGTGGATGGAAACAAAAGACCACGACTAAAAAAAATGAAACCTTCCAGCGTTAATGAATCTTTTTTGAAAAATTTGTAAGTATTGTAAAAACAAAACTGTTTCAAAATGTGCAATAAGCTCGTTTTTGGACACATCATAAGATAGATAAAAACTGCTGTTTTGCAACTGCACTTCCTTTTTCCACAACAACCATTCAATCTTAACAAATTCCTGCCAAATTTCTCGCCGTTTCTGGTGAAATAACTATTAATCACTAACGACTATATTATTTGAGTGATCAGTCATATCTTCAAATTTGACATAAAACGATTAAGCGTTAAACATAGTTATCTTGAAGCATATGAGATGATGAGATGATTAACAAAAATGAAAACATCTCAGATCTTCTAGAAATTCATTTCCCCTTCGAAAACTGAAATCGAGTACAATCTTCTTCGTGGTTTTCTCACTGGTAGCAGTAAAATAATGTAGTCGTACACTCTCAACGGCATCGAACTGCGAAAATAATTTTCTAATTCTTTTTTATTGCTTGACAACGGCGCATTTCCAACAAATACTGTTCGAGTTTTTTCTTCCGTTGTTATTATTCTTTTCATTTTCATCTCACTTGAAAATGTAGATAAAAATTTGCTCCAGGTTTCTGCCGAATGATCATTACTAAAGTAATCTACAAGAAAATCCTTGTAAAATAAAAACTAAGACAATATATCCCCTCCGAAAACCTGACTCCGGTGTAAATTTTCGATGTGAGATCACTATTTCCAGTGAACGTTACTGACTTCAGTTGCAACCTCTTTTCAACAGTAGCCAATTCAAAACGCATCAAATAATTAGTGAAATAAACTTAAGCGGGCTTTGGAAATACAGATCTTGAAGAAAACTATCGCCTTATTATTATTTGATTCATTTTCCTTCTTTCGTTTCTGTTTTTTACCGCACCGTAGCGTTTCTGTTTTTTACCGCAAACCACTTTCCTCGTTTACACGAAAAGCCAACACTGCCCCCGAGAAATAAGTCATTGAGTCCATTCTCAAAACAGATTACACAAGCCTAGGGATGAACTAATATACACCTGCAAGTTTATTACGCTAAATTTATATACAAAATGTGCAACAGTTCCACTTTCTTTCAATCTCTCTGAAATCTCCACTCAACAACTAATAAGCTAAGTTACTTACTCTAAAGGGAACACTGAATGCAAGTAGCAAACGATCCTAAGTTCTTTGCTGACCAACTCTCCGACCATAAAAAAAAACTCCCTGGTGATTATTTAATATTCTATGCATTTCACGAACAAAGACATTCATCAAGTACAACTCTTTTCAGTGTATAATGTTTTACTTCAAAATATTAGCACATTGTAAAAAATACTGCAACCTAGAATAACCCATTCAAAACAATGCATTAAAATACACATTTTTCAATTTAACATTAAAACGGTAACTTAAAAATTGATTTTAAAATTAGCTAGAGTGGATGGTAAGGTCTAGTGATATCAGCAAATTAGTACCGTCGTATACAAAAAGATTTTCACAAAAATTTAATACAAAAGACTATAATCACAGTTTTCAGCAATATGGGTAAAAAGTTTTATGTTGAAAATAACCGAATATCGATGAAAACAAGATCTGACGCAAATGAAAACTGGTGAAAGAGAACTGATTAAAATGATGGCGAAAAGATAAAAATGAATTCAACTGAGATCTTACAATGCAAGCCACAAAGCAATGAAAAAAGTTTAATCAAAGTTTGCTTTGAGCAAATATCATTAAACGAAGGAAATATAACAGCACCGATCAAAAAAGTCATAACATTGATAAAGTTGTTACCATCAAACCTTTAATGTACAATGAATGCTTCCAACGGCATAAACAAGGCACTTCAACGATTCAATAATTCATGTCTCAATAATCTGAAATGTCAGCATGAAAGACAAAAAAAATTGTACCACATGGCTTCTAAAATAAGCTCAACGTAGCGTAAGAAAAGCATGACTTATTCCAAGTTCTATGTAGATATTTTTAAATAAATCTGCATAATTAATGCTAATAAATCACATTTGTGGGATAGGATCCATTATCGTCATGATGGCTCAAACGCCTATAACGAAGAGCTGTTCGTCGTGTATTGTTTGAAGGTCTACGCCCTTCAATAATGAAGCCTGAAAATACAGCGCTCACAGTGTCAAAAACGACTATAAATAAGGTAAGCGAATATCTTGTAGCAACTAATACCTTGTGAACTAGTCTGAAAGAAAATGTAAGCTTTTCTAATAAACAAGGGACTTATCAAGAATCTTCGTCTTGTTGTGCGAGGCAACGTATATACAAACAATAATGGCACCAAATACAACAATGTAGTAAAGAAAATGAGTGTCTTCAGCTTCATCAAACTCACTGACCCCAGCGAATGCCTAAACTGTAACATTACTACCGAAAGCAATAGAACGAAGAACGCGTACAGAACGCATATTGCGATATAAAATACCATTGAACAGAAACCCCTACTGTCAATATTGGAACTTAATTTAAGACTCATTAATGTTGAAGTTCGAGACAATTCAAGTTACCGTTTTTATTCCCATCTTGACTGTAATGCTTCTTGGAGTAACACTGAGCTTTTCCTTTTTGTTGAAGTCATCATTGTTTCGTTTGTTATCCCTCTATAGCTTTTCGAATATTATAACTGTTCTTCATTTTTGATCCTCATACATTATTCCTTAACAATTAGACACTGAAAACACTAATTTTAAAAATAAAAGCACCAACCTGGAGTGGCAATGAATGCGCAGCAAACTCATTGGAAGCTTGCATGCCACGACGCTCTTGTTTCAGTTGCCGTCCGGTGGTTAAGATGAGACTAACTTGTCGCGCTGATGTTTGTACAGGTACCATCTGTGTTATCTGTGCTACTGGTGCTGATGATGTAGCATATTGTACAGATGGTCGTAATGTTACCGCAGTTGTATTATTCGTATTCTGAGCAAAAACAAACCTGCTTAATGCTTCAATGTTGAAAAATGAGTCTGCTAATTAAGCTAGAAATAGAATTAATATCATTTCTCACTGAAAGGATGTTAGTGAAGAATAATTTTCACATTTTCAGAAGCAGCTGCAAACCATGTAACAACTGTCCCAGCCACAAGGTTCTTTTTGATTACTGGATCAAGCAATTTGATGCCTGCAAAAATACCATTACATACATGTACATGGCTCAATGAAACGATATGAAAGTACACAAAAACTATCATACGTATCGAAATTTTAACTGAAGGATGATTTTCTCACCGTCAATTTTTAAAATATCATCGCCATTTGTATACAGCCAATTACACAACAAACAGAACAACACGGATAGAAACCAGTATAATCCCATTACAAAACTTTTCCTTCTATTTACTTGTTCGATGAATTCTGCAAAATCAATCTTCTGTTGTTAGAGGATTGATGCTTCTTCCACACATGTTTATAAATCTGTAATATATAGAAAAAAATCTGGCTTATGGTACAGTAATACAATATAACAATTCAGAAGACTAAAGCCATGACTTTTTGAAACTTACAGTGCACAACTTCAACTTAACACAGCTTGGGAAAAAATGGATAAAGTACAGCAGTGGAAAAACTGGATAATACCTTCAGACTACTTCAAACTTTCAAAAAGATCATTATAAACTGAATGAATGAACTAATAAAATTGAGCTCAACATGAAAAACTATCATCAAATAGCATTACAAGCACAGACCGAATGTAAGCAATATTTGCTAACCATTCACCTCTACTTGTACCAATAAACGTGGCTATTCGATTAATTTTTCCACTGCTTCATCACTTTGTCTTAGCAATCTTTACCGCCTCTTCATTATCAATATTCTCTTCATCCTCAACCATTACCCATAATATTCCTTAGCTCCTCATGACAAAAAATTTGAGGTAGTATCACTTATGGGACAGTAATTGTATGTTCCAATAGTTGTTCTGGTTTTGTGTTATTTCCCACCTTAAAAATTAAATGCCATTGTATGCTTCCAAGAGTTTTTCAAACTTCTTGATTTCCTCAACTGTGAAAACCCCCTGGTTAATCAGACCCGACCTCACTACTTCAAACCCCGCCGCTCTCAGTTGGAAAACTTCCCAACTGATTCGTTGTTTCATTAGCGTTGCATGCAAAAGGCACGGCGCTGTTTGGCTGTTTGTTCACCGCATTGGCCTTATGGTGTGTACTCATGAGGCAATATTTGGTTGTTCTAACAGTTAGTCTGGTTTTGTGTTATTTTGCATTTTAAGAGTTAAGTGCCATTTTATGTTTTTAAGAGTTTTTCAAACTTTGGCACGTTTTTCAGATTTCCTGACTCTCGTGGCTTCGAACTTTGTGTGGAACTTATAAGACTATCATGATTTTACGTCGGTGGTACACCGTGTCTGCAAGTTTCCTTCTTATTTTTATGAGACATGATACAAGTAATAAGAAATCTACTTATGTGGCATGGTCTTTTGCAGTATAACAGAGTTCACTTCATGTAAAATCAGAAGGGGAAGTCAGGACTGATTTTTACTTAGCGCATTCATCATCCATTCTAATGTCAGTCTTTCAGCCCATTATAATTATTCTTTAGTTCATCAATCTTTTCATAGAGAATAGAGTCTTTATTTCTTCTTGACAGGAAGTCTCATTGTCATTTTGAGATTTGAATTCAATTTCACATTTCAGAAACGACTTGCGTCTACTAGCGTACCTGCTCGGAGCGCTATTAATGTCGCAGAAGAAAAGGTACATTTGTTTTCACTGCAACAATTTTAATAAGGAGGATGACAGATATTAATGTACTTGTTTAAGATATCGCGCTTGCCAAATGGGTTGACAGTTGCTTCTGTGGATCTTGGTGGTCCAGTTGCTCAGCTGCTAGTGGCTTATCGAGCGGGAACTCGGTATGAAATGTCTGATGAAGCAGGTTTGGTCCATCACGTTCGAAATTGCATTGGAGGTGATTCTCAAAGATATTATGGCGCACAGCTACTTTGGCAGTGCGGTTCTGCGGGTGCTAATGTGGTGAGTTTCAGAAGTACCAAGAAAAGAATTTTTGTCAATTATATCAATTTAGCGGTCTTTGGATGAAATAATGACATTATTTCTAGTGAAATCTACAATAATCTATTTTATTAGATCTTGCAAATAATTCCCAGAAATAATGGGCAATTTCAGAATGGGATGATGACACGCGATTTGCTTGCAGTGCAGATGTCAGTGATTAGAGATCGTGCGCCAGTAGGATTATCTTTATTAGGAGAACTGGCTCAACCAGCATTTAAACCATGGGATGTTGAAGACTTCAAAGAAACACTGAGGATCGATCGCAATTATCTTAAAGCGTACGATGTGCTTGTGGAGGATTTACATGATGTAATAATTCGATTTTACCGATTCCATTGGTATTATATTACTAAAATGTTAATGGGAAGATTTAATGCGCTGTGTTATGTAGTTGTCTGTACCAAAATGTAAATATATTTGATACCCTTTAGGCGGCGTTTCGGAACGGTTCTCTTGGAAATTATTTATATGCGAAGGAGGAAAGTATTGGCAAATTCAATCATCGCAAAATGGAAAAATTTGCAGTATGTTTTAGACGTTCTTAACCGATAGACTGCCTTCTTGCGTAGGATTGATAATTTTCTATATTTTATCGAAAATTGATAATGCCAGTATTTTGTTGCCTGTATTTTTTTAGGCTTCGCAAATGGTGACTGGGAACGCTGTGCTTGTAGGAGTGAACATTCCGCATGATCAAATATTAGATTATGCTAGCAGTCAATTCACGTTGCCTGAAGGGAGTTCAATTTCACCAAAACCATCTCCATATTATGGCGGAGAGAAACGTCATAAACTTTTAATGAAGGAAGCTCACGTTGCTGTTGCTGGTAGAGGAGCTTCTTTGAAAAGTCTCAAGGTAGTCGTTTGAGAGAAATCTGTGCTACAGTGAGCGTGCCTGTACTTTTTTGTCATTCAAGAATAGCCGAAAGTACTAATAACAAGTCTTCTGATGCAGATGTGTCATTTCCATTGGGTATACGCGATATAATTGAGATGCAAAATGTATCTGTATGTATTTGTATTGTGTATGTCTTTTGCTGAGGAATTCCCAGATCAAATTTCAGAGTTTAGCCGTACAAGCAATTCTGAGCGCTGCTATTGGTCAGGGCACTGCAGCAAAATATGCTCCAGGTATTGGACAAGGCGCAGTAGCAAAGGCTGTCTTTGTTGGTTATTAAATATATGCATTTTTACTAAATTGTTTTTCTTCGTTTTTTTTTTTTTTGTAAAAATTTGTTTTTTTTGAATATATGCGTTTTTTCTAAATTTATTTTTCTTTTTTTTTTGTGTTCATGTTTTCGGTGAGCAATAATAGGAATTTTGTGACTAGACTACTGTTGGTGTTGGTTTGAAGAGATACTGAATCCATTTTTCAGAAAGCTTCAAGCGGTTATCCGTTCGGAATTTCTGCCATATCAGAAGTATATGCAGATGAAGGGCTTGTTGGTATGTATATCGTTTCCGAAGCAGATCACATCGGCCCCCTTTGTAATGCAGCAATAAAAGCCTTAAAATCCTTCACAATCGATGACTCTGCGTTCGAAGCAGCAAAGTTAATGTTTTTTCTTTTCTTTCTTTCCCCATTTTTGTTCATCCCTTCTCAGTTTATAGTTATAGTTCTTTTACAGCGATGAATTTCTGTTGTCCATACTTGGTTACTAATTCAGGAATATAGCTGCGATGAACATTCTAAGTCGAGCCGAGTCAACTGAAAATGTGGCACTAGATCGTGCTGCGCAGATTCTTGCAACTGGTAAAGCAGAGACTGTTTCTAATTTATTGCAAGAGATAGCCTCTATCGGCAAGGCCGACATTACAAAGGTTAGCATAAAATATAATTCTTGACCATAAACAGTTTACTGCTTGTAATAACATTTCTGTGAAAAGCTAGCAACTCACTGCAGGTTTCGAAATTTCTTTTTATCATTTTTTGCAGAAAGTTCTCACGGTCATTTCACATAAACGTAAACATTGGTTCTGTCGTTTATAATTTATAAATTTTGTCAGATATATATATATATATATATAGCTGTCTCAACTGCAGGCAGCGGAACAAATGAAATCGAAATTAACGCTTGCTTCTTATGGAAATATTTATCAAGTGCCCTACCTCGATCAATTATGAAATGCGATAAAAATAATTTGATGTACGAAAAATTTGCTATGTAAACTTAGCATTTTCTGATGCAATTCATTTGATTAGTGATATTATTTTTCAAACATTGTACGAAACCAAAATGTTGTTTTCGATCAACTAATTTTCTTGAATTTTTTTCTGTCTTTTTCTTTTCTCCTAGTTTTTGTCTTTATTTTGGTATTACCTTTGCCTTTCACTATCTTGTTAGATCATTTCGGGCGCTCACTACAATATGCTTGAATTTTGTTTAGATTTATTTCATTATTTCCCTATCTTTTGTTTTAATTTTGAATCTGCCAATTTTAGATCATAAGCCGTTTCAGTTTTTTTTTCATATACGCAGCAAATGTAAATAATTATAAATAATAGTGTTTTTTTCTCATTTATTTTTTTGATTTTAGTACTTTTCTTGTTTCAATATTAGGGCCATATAGCGAAATCAGTGATTCAGTTGTTTCTGAATACTGGGTAAATGAATTTTAGGTTTTGCAGGTATCAAGCGCTGCTTTAGAGCACCAGTGCATCATACATTAACTTGGGCGATCAAATTTTTTAGTAATGTTTAGCTAGAGCAGTCCAAATAAAAATGATGAACATTTAAGCATGTACTCTTGATTAATTGTCGAATTACCTTGTTCTCTCCATAATGGATTGCACAGGGTTCCTTGGGAGGGGAAGCTATGAGAGGTGGTGGATACCAAGAGGTTTGGAGTAAGAAAAGAAGTTAATTACATCTGAGGTGAAACTTTTGGTGTGTTGAAATGATGAAATGAGAAAACTGGAAAGGGTGGCGGGGTCCAGGATTGCAGGAATTCAATGTTCTCTTGTTTTGGCCTATGTTCCCGTCGAAAAGTTAGTTCGGAACTGACTAATAAGGAACTTTTGTTTCCATTGAACTCTAGGAAAAAAGACATAATGGCTTGATCTACTAACGAATGTGAGATTTGGAAAATTAGGGTAGAAGTAGGAAAGTAAGAATTAATCGAAGTGTTTCCAAGTGTAAGAATAGTTCAAATTGGGATTTTAAAAGCAGATTATTTGTATGCTGTTTGAGATTGAAATTATCGTGAATGCGCAAATCGATTACTGACAACAAAAGTGAACGAGAAGTACTGCGTTGCCAAGAGTCGTGATGAATAACCTTAGCTTCAGAGTTTTACTCATAATTATCATTGGTGCTGTACAGCAAATACAAGGAAAAAGTTATTTGGTAGGCAATATATACTTTCTGTTAAGAATTGGAATAACTTTCTTGAGAACAAGAAGATTTGAAGTACGGCACTCACGTCCCATTATATGTACTTCATATTTTAATTATGCAGTAAGAAACAGGGCGGTATTTTTCTCTTACGATTATTTATTTTTAGAAAGTTTTTTCGCAGTTCTTACTGATGACATTTTAAGTTTGAAATTTCCATTAACATCACTACATTTGATAGCTAAGCAAGTTGTTAAGCCATTAATTCTCATAATTTAACAAGTAAATTGGTTAAACATTTCAGCCAACTTGGGACTCTATCGATTCGAGACCGGTACCACAGTGGTATCAAAATGCCAAACTTGGTATATTTTGTCATTGGGGAGTTTATTCAGTACCAGCAATTCAGTAAGTGGTTACACGTCTATCTTTTAATTAATTTATTCGAAGTAATGAAGCTTCCTTTACTTTTCCTTCGGAAAAAATATGGAATTATATAGCTTATATTGTTTAATACAATGTTCTTCCACAAGATGAGATTTTCAGTTCGGAATGGATGTGGTACGCATGGAAAGTATCAAATAACTCAGATATTATCCAGTTTATGAAAAAATATTACAAACCAGGTGTCACCTATGCCGATTTTGCTCAAGATGTACGTCCAATTCCAGTGTTTTGATGCAAGCCTCATTAATGAGTAATAATGTTCAAGAACATGTCTGGAATTTGCATTTTGAAGGCTTCCGAAAATATACATTTATGAAATTATTTTTGATTATTTTCACTTTCTGAAGTGTCAGAGATTCAAAAATTTTACCGAAGTTATGCAATCAGAAAACTCACACAATTTCAGTTCACAGCTGAACACTTCAACGCTTCCATGTTTCGAGATATCGTGGAAGCATCTGGAGCAAGGTAAGTTTTTTCCTGTGCTTTGTGTTAACACGAGTTTTATCAGTCATGAGTTTTATCAACTACAAATTATACTATAGTTTTGCCGAAGAAATGGTTAGTTTGAAGATATTTTGTGTTCACAAGCAAACATCATGAAGGCTTTACGATGTGGCCAAGCGCAACTTCTTGGAACTGGAACTCAGTTGACATTGGTCCGCACCGAGATATCGTAGGTATGGTGCCTGCTAATTTAATTTTAAGTGTTTTCTAAGCTTGAATTATTCCTTGATGAAAATTACAAATTGTTCATGCTTTGTGGGTATCTTTCTTATTCCCTAGAATATGTAAAAATGTATTATCATTTCTTTTGATTGACACCTTTCTCAGTTCTTTAATTGCGATAATTTTGATAATTAAATGTGACAATGTCTTTTTGCCTCCTAAGTTTAGTTACAGGTGAATTAAGGGATGCATTCTTGGAATCCAAAGTTCACTTTGGCCTTTATTTTTCTCAGTATGAGTGGTTTAATCGCTACTACATTAATGATCGCAAATACGGCACTGATGACTATGTAAAGGCTAGTGGTTTTCATTTTAGTTTTATTATAATATTAGAAGCCAATGAAGACTTTTTGTTAATTATTTAACTTAAAAGCGCAATTACAGTATGTATCGTATCCACAAATACTGGAAATAGTGAGAAAGTATGAACCTCAAATAATCTGGAGTGATGGAGACTGGGAAATGAGTGATAATTACTGGAAATCAAAAGAATTTATTGCATGGCTTTATAATTCAAGGTTAACGATTCAGAGTTGAATACAAATGTTTTTTTTATTACAAAGCTGTGGTAACCGTACGTTTTTTCCTATCAAATAAATTGGTATTTCAAAATCACTTCTGGTCCCAAAACGAGTCTTTCGTCTCTACTACCATTATCAGCTGGGATTTACGGTGTTCATATTTTCAGCCCAGTGAGAAATACAGTAGTTGTGAATGACCGATGGGGAGAAGGTATTTCCGGCAAACATGGAGGTTTCTTGACATATTCAGATCACTTTGATCCAGGTTTCTTTTCAAAGTTGCTTGAGTAACGAAATTTTCACGCAAGTTTGTAAAGCTGTGCTCAAAGACTTGTATTCATGAATGTAATTATGAATTTAAAGATAGAAATACTCCATGAAAAAGATGGGGTTGCTGCAGGTTATTTATTAAAACGCAAATGGGAAAATTGTTTTACACTTGATAAGAAGTCATGGGGATATCGCCGGAATATGCGAGTAAGTTATACTTTCACCGGAATATAGTTTATTCATCAAATGAAGAAAGTTAATGCTGTGCAAATTTCTCACAGGAGGCGCAGAGTAAGATTAGCCAGAAATATATGATTTATTCAGAAAAACAAAAGAAAAAAATGAAGGGAATAAGTAAAGCAAAAAATCTCGGAATGGAAACAATAGTGGAGAAGCTGAAGAAATTAGAAAAAACCTCTTAAAATTTAAAAATTTAGAGTGAAGATGTAAACACGGTGTCATACCTCATTAGTCAGTTGGTCAGGACTATTGCTTGCAATGGAAATTTGCTGTTGAATGTTGGTCCAGATAAATCCGGGATGATAGCGCCCATTTTTGAGGATCGACTCCGTGAATTTGGCAGATGGGTAAAACGCAATCGAGAAGCCATTTTTGACACTTACCCATGGATGTATCAGAATGATTCTCTTTACATTTGGTGAGCGTTTTCAAGGCCTTACAATTCTATGGAACTGTTATATTATGTTCATTAGCCAACTATTAATTTTTAATTAAAGGTACACGATTAGTCCGCCAAGCGAATACAAAGTGAGGCATGATATGGCTTGGGTACCGCATACGGTACATTCCAAACTTTATGCATTTTTCCTCCAATTCCCAATTAATGATACTGTTACACTATCTTCTGTGCTTTACACACCAACGGTTAGTTTCGTCATTATCTGGACGACAATTTTTTCATAATTTTTTCTACCTCTATCTATTTCATAATTTCCTGGAACAGTAGTAATTGGGAATGTAATAGATTGAATAGTTTTTACATTTGTAAGAAAATGAATACTTCAGTTGACAGCAGAGGTGCTTCTCGATTTTAATAAGACTGAATTTCTTGATGTGTATGGCATTCCTGGACATCCGGTAATACTGAGCTTCAAAAACTATCAAGGACTTGTTGTATTTAGCCCAGTCGTTGTTCGAATCAAGCACTTTAATGCTACTTATGTAAGTTTAAATATATGGTATAGTATAAGATTATATAGTGATGAATTTATTTGGGGTTTGTTGAAATGTGGATATGATAAGGCGCTATTATCGTGTTATCTGTTTAGTTTCAGAAGCTAAATCGATTAATCTTAATTTTTTTCTTATTTTCGACTACGAACTTTCGTATAATTTAAATTTGCAGCATGATCCACTCGAAGACCGGAAACTAAAAGAAGTCGAACAGAGAACCAGAAATCGTACTAAATAATTCTGGGGAAACGAGGATGGTTTTATTTCCAAAGATTTTGGTTACCAACTTAAAATTGTAGTTTGTAAATATTTTTTTGACTTTACCGTTTGCAGTGTAAACAAATGAAGAAAATTGGTTTACAGAATTATGAATGCATGCGTTTATACTGAAGACAAGGTAACATAAGCTTATGAAAATAAATTGATGAATTACGAATTGCAAAAGACAAATATGTTGGATGCATTGAATATCACATAAATTCAACATTTTCTTCAACTTTTTGAATTCTATTAAGCCTTCAAGAAGTGAACATAGTTGACTGAGAAAATGAGGCAACTTCCATCGTCCATTCTGGCATCTTTATCTTCCCGTACTGTAATAATCAATCGGCAAGTCAAATATGTATCACTGAATAAGAAAATGATGCTGCGGTTTGTTATTAAATTTTTTGAAAACAGGTAAATTAAATAAGAAACGGTTTTCGAGTGAACAAATGAATAACCTGTATATCGACCACTGTTTGGTAAAGTTTTTGCATAAGGTTGGGCTTGTGGGTCATCGTTGGTATTACCATTTCCTCTAAATCTCCTGTAGACGTGTTTTTATATAAGACTCGATCCACTGGAGAAACAACACATGCTGTACCAGTGCCGAACATTTCGTACATCTGCGATATTATTTTCTCTTTTTTCACTTGCATTCTCCAAGAATTTGAAATTTTGAAGTCAAAAAAATGTCGAAATACGCAGAGTTTTTGATTTACCGAATCATCTATGAGTGCCGATAGCAAATTATATGTAATGAAATTTAATTCCTGACTTCTGAAACCTCTCAACCAGTTTTTTCTTCATTGAAGAATATTGCTGTGCATAAATGCAGCAAAAAATGCTAATTCAGATTTTTATTTCTCTTCTACAAAAGTGGCTGAGCCTACCCTTCCTTTCTTGATGGCTCGTCGTATTTCACCAATCCGAACATAGCGTTCAGTAACTTTAATATCATCCATCTGCCTTACCAGATGCAAAATGCTATCTCTGGTAATACCTGGTAATATTAACCCATCGTACAGTGGCGCTGTTACTAATTCGTCATCTAAAGATTTTTGATTTGAAGATGGCAAGAAGGGAATAGGCGGAAAGATGAAGTTTAGAATTCTAACATTTTGCATGAATTTAGAATATATTTTTAAATTGATTCAGAAGGTGATAACCTCCTTGTTCATTCTTCCAGTACATGAAGATATTCATTGATCCTACTTCCGTGATCCATTGCTCTTCACCATATAACCATAATATCTGTTGACAGTTTTTTGAAGCCGCTATTTTACTGAGTAATATCGTTGGCGCATAATTACTGAAACGGAGAAGGAAAATATTTTTTGAAGTATAAACTATCAAAATTTTTATCAGAAAAATGCCATTTTGGCGTTTGCAATGATTTCCAGCAAGGATAAACAATAGCAATTAGACAATTACGCTTATAGTTCTAAAATAAGAGCTTACCAGCCCATTTTGTACTGCCCAACACCACCAGGAAATGATCGGCAATAGGTTGGATCAGCATACAATGAAATAGGTTTGAATCCTGTTGGGTAATACTGTCCAACTGGACCAGTTAATACGAAAAGTAAAGCTTGCTGCGAATGTGATACTCCAAGAGTTGGCTTAAAAACATTTTTGGAAATGAACTAATCTGTTCTTTATTACAAGTTAAATTAGCAGTCAATCATTCACCTATGATTATTGCTTCATTTCTTATTATTAATAATGAAACAGCAGAAATTAAGACCTCCGTAGCGATCATAGTTGGACGAATGTAGAGTGAGCCAGCAGTTGTCGCCGGTACCCAGTCTGCATCAATGTTTACTAATTCACAAATAAGTTTTTTCAATTCATTTTTATCAAATGTCTGAAAATATGTTCAGTTCACCTTTATTTCTCAGAAAAAAAAGTTTAAAAAGTACAAGTTCAGATTTTCCTTTTATTCGATTATGTAATTGGAGTTTGAATTGGACTTTCTTTTTCTTCTATTAAAAGCGGTTTTATATTTCAATTTACCTTAAAACAAGTAAATTAGAATATACCCCAAAGGAAATCATGAGATTTCCTTCTCATGATTTCCTTTGGGACATCGCCTTACGCAACACTACGGTTCAATTCGAAATGATGGAGTTTTGTTATAAATTAATTGTAGGCTAAACTATGTGCGAGGATGCTTTTTGCATGCACCTCATCTATTTAGGCACAAGTCTTTCTTAATTAAATTTCCTTAACGATATCGATAATTTTCAGAAAGACGCTACACTGGACCTTTATCTCAAAAATCTGCAATTTTTAATGAAAGTTAAAATTTCATGCTGCTTTGAACTTGGTTATAAAAAAAGCTTTTCCTAAACCTAACAAATTATAGAGATTAAGAAAAGAAAGATGCAAGAGACCGGCAGAGCAGCTCGAGTTGCAGTACGACACATGCGCTCCATGTTTTTTTCCGGGCGGAATAAATTAATTTTACCATCATCACGTCTGTATGCTTTCATACCTTCGAACAATTCAACCGCATAGTGGAGAGCCTAGAAAATCATACGAAATTATATCTTCGTCGTCATCACTATTATTCACTGAACATTAAATTTTCACCTTCATTTGTTTGTTTTTAATTTAGTGCTTTCTCACTGAAAAGCACTAGTTCAGAACGAATTTCAGATTACAGAATCTGAAATTCGAAAATTTTTCTTACGAAAAAATATTTAGCAAGATTACGAAATATTTAGCAAGAATTTCACAAATGCTAACCTTTGCAGCTGGATGTATTACTAGGTCATGAAGTGGACATATTAGGGGTCGAGACCAACCTTTCTGCTCTGTCCATTTTATCTATAATCGTTATTTAGTAGCATTCAAAATAATTTAATTTACCTCAAACTATCAAACTGATATAGTTATGCTGCATCATTGGAAATAAAATTTGAAAATTTTCTTGATAAAGCTAGCAATGAAAACTAACCTCAAGCATGTGATCTGAAAATTGATGACCAAACAACAGCTCACTTCCCGGTTCTGGCTTTTGTCGCATTTGCTCCCGTTTTGCTTTGATAATTTCCAAATCACGGTGCTAAAACCATTTCAATTGGTTGCATTCACTGATAAGGAACATTCCTTCCCATAAACTTAAGTTGTTAAAATTTGTTTTTATGAATGAAATGAAGTATACCATAAAAGAAGATGAAGCAGATGCAGCAGTAATTGCATGGAAACAGCTTCCGGCTAGCTTCGATGGTAGCAATAACGATCTGCCACGTCGAATTAATCCATTTAGTACATTCGACGAGATCAGTTCTGTTAAACAAATCATGGTAAACAAATCTGTACAGAAGTTTCTGAAAAATTTTCACATTAGTTCACTTTAAAGATTATTACAAATACAAGAATGCGAATATAGAAAAGCGAAATAAGAATGAAGACTTAGAGAGATGGATTTATTAATTTACTTTAATCCTTCAAATTATTGACATCCATTGGTTTGAAAAATCGAAACATACAAGCTGACAGTTAGACTAAGTAGTGCCACGACATCAAAACATCCATGGATCAGTAAAATACAAATTTGCATATAAGAGGAAGGAAGAATATATTAATAAAAAATAACGCTATGATGTTCAAGAAGCAATCATTTGTTTCCTCAAAAAATTTTCGGATCTTGAATTTTTAAATGTCAGCTTGAAAGAATTTACAATAATTATGTAGCAGAGCTTAAGCCATTAGTTATTTGTGAATGAATTCTCAAGCACGCGTAGGAATGTCAAAATTCTTTTATCTGAAGAAGATCCATTCTTTTTGCTCTGATAATGTTACACAGAATCGAGCTGATGGCGCGCCCAATACGGTAGCATTGGGCACATTATCGCATCCTGCACAATTCTCAGTCGTACAAGTCATATTAATTACAGTTTTGCTTAAACGAATATTCGACCTGAATCCGGGATTGATTTTACTAAAAGAAGTTTGTAAAATGCTTTTTTTCAAACTCCAACCTTTACATTTTTCTAACCACAAGAGAAAATTTTTAGTATTTTTATGAATAATGTTCAAATGATTCAGTCAGTATCAGACTGTCCCTCAGTCTGATTATGAGGATATCTCTATTCCAAACACAACTTGAATAATTCATCTCTAACAGAATCATTTAAATCCATTGTATTCTTATCACTTCCGAGATCATTATTGGTCTCGATTATTTGCAAGAATTACATTATTGTATAGATGAAATTAATAGCAAAAACAACTTATGATTCATCCCAACAACCAAAGAATATCCAATACCAATGAAAACAAAGTTGAATTTTAATCCAGAAAACCAGTTTTTCTTAAGAGAAAGAGTCAGTATAGTTTCTTCTTGTAGGAAGACTAACAGTATAGTGAAAACAAAATAGAATAATAAAGGTAGGCAAGCATAAATATTAGTTAAGTAAACAATTTATAGATTGGTAACAAAACAAACCTACAGTTAACGAAATCGAATAACTTTAAAATGTTATGATTAAATTCTATAAATGGCTAAGTTAAACATTGTAACATAAGAAAAACAGTGAACTTCATTGTAAAAATCAATTCTGACGCAAGTTCAAATTATTCAAAAACAAGTAACTCTGCTTGACTCTATGAATGCTACAGAAATTTCGGTAAGAAAAGTAATGTGACGATACGATGCTTTTTAAAAGAGCGTCAAAATCCATAGAGCAATGGGAAACAAGATGAAAAAGTAAAAGTCAACAAAATGAAGTGGGAGCGGAAAGAAAGCAATGATGAATAAGGGGGACCTAATAGTAAGCGACACTGCTCACTTAAAAGAATCCAGATTTAATCATATATAATTTTTGTTTAAACTTAAATTTTCATACAGCATACTCTATTTTCTGCAGATTTTTTAAAGCTATTTCAACTTTTAATCATTATTCGTATTAGAAATCGTTATTTTATCATTTGCTTGCAAATGTTAAAATAACGATTTTTAACTTTGAAGAAAGATATGACATACTTTTTTAAACAGATTAGATCTGCGTTTTTATGCATTTGACACTGAAAATTGAATGAATGCGATATGAATGATTTGTCGGGAGGAGAAAAATTCAGTATATAGAAACTGTTGAGGGCTTCTTATAGTATCATTTTGATAACTTTTCAAAGAGCAAACATAGCAGTGCTACGACTTACTATCCTATTTTGTTAAGCGATTCGTCTTGTCAAGTCCTTTGAATATCGATTGCAACAATTGTGTCAGTTTGATCAATATTTGCTTGATAGAAGTAATGTTTCCAAGGATGTAGTTCATAAGACTAACCCTCCATCACATCATAGAAGTAATATATAAACAATAAAATCGTTCCTTAAAAAGTGGTCCATGATGTTATCAAAAAAATAAATGTAGTGCAATATTCAAGACCTTTTTGATGGTAATTAATGAAGTGCTTTTAAAATTTATACCTGTTATATAATAATCTTCTTGCAGAAAACTTTTATTTCATTCTCTATTTTTTGGCCGAAAATTGCAAACAAACTGCATTGTCGCTAAGAGAATTTTATAATCCATCTGCATCATTCAAAAATTGACAAAAATAACATACCGTTTAAGTAGGAATCAATGAGTTACTTCCATCAGATTACTTATTGTTTTGCATTGTCATCCTTCTGACTAATCATTCCAATGCATTCATTGCTATGGCGAATTTCGGTTGCATGGTTACATTTTTCAGCACACAACACTGTGCGAGTAATGATTTTATTGATAATGTGCTCGTAAACTAAATTTTAAAATAATTTCCAAGTAATCCGTTAAGAAATTATAGTAATTTATAGGCAGTGATGACTTCGCTCTGTTTATCCTCGAGAAACTTGCAAATTTTGATCAGAAATTCATTCTTATTAAATAAAGCAGCATTATTTTTCTGTTCAAAGTCCTGAACTAAATACGTGGATCAGTTGTTTGGATCAAACTCTCCAATCCTATATTAAATTTTTAGTTGACTTGCTGAAATCATCGACTTATCGTTTTTGTATTTTTTTTTAGGTTTCATTTTTTTCAGCTCAGTTGATCTATGCATTTCAAAATAATATGCTTGGAGGTTAGCTACTATAACATAAGAGTATTTCAATGAATTTTGTCGGCGCAAATAACAACAGAATGAAATTTATTTCAAATCATTTATAGCGGTTGAAGGATGACTGTGAAAGTTTTCGTTAAAAATAAAAATAGATAAATTTCATAATGCCAGCTAATCTGGTAAACTGAGGTTATTTTATAGAAAATCTTATTCTGGCATGAAATACTATGTAGAACTCTTAAAAATGCAATGTAAGCCTAAAACAACCCATTTACTATTCCCAATTTATTTATCTAACATGAAATTAAAGAAATGCAAACGTCAAAAGAATCGCTGAAACTAACTAAATTCCATTCGCCAATTTTCGAAAATTCGATCCACTTAATTCCAGTCCACCCTTGATATTTTTTACTATAATATACTCAGCACCGCAGAACATCACCCTGCTGTACTTACGGAGGAGGTACCTTATGTCCTCCGAAACTTCTCAAAGCAAAATTTCAAAATTTCTCTCCTTCTCTGTTAACTAACTGATGAAATCACGGTTATTCTCTGCGCATTTGGAACTGTATATTTCGAAAACTTTTTAAACAACTATTTGAAGCTATAAAGAATTCTTCACATAAGATTTCATGTGGAAACTTGAAATTCCGAAGGTATTAATGTCTTGTAAATATGTGAATTAACAACCGAACAAAATTATTTTAACAAAGGTGACCAATAAACATAGAAAAAAATTATTTCACTCGCAACAGCATAGAAAACCGGATTTCCTAAGACGATCAACAATATGAAATTAACGTGTTGTAACGGCAGAAATGTCAAGACAAAAACATCATGAATAGGACTTTTATAATAAAGGAAATCATTAAAGTCCTGCTAAAAACATTCAACGTAGAAAATTGTTTAAAAAAAAACGCAAAGCGTAATAATCAAAAAAGAACACAAATCACAAATATTAATACAAAATGCAATAAGGAGGAACTTCACCTTAAACAACATGGATATTTGCACAAGTAATGAATACTGGAACCTCACATTCCTGAAAAACGAAAAGATGAGTTGGAATGTAATAATATCGCTGAAATCAGAATTATAAACCACTTGATTAAGCAAATCAAAAACAACGATAACATCTCCGAAACCGACCGCCAATAATGGTATTTACACAACCAACCTTGAAAAACATTTATCAATGATAACAAAACTTTAAAAATCATTTGTCTTTATTCTAAAAAACTTGAAACAGCGACTTTTGAAATCAAAAGACAGCATATTTCAGTGATGACTCACGGTATTTTCACAAAACAATAAATGCTAATTGTTAATTTATGTCATCTAAATTTACGTACTTTCTCATTTTTCGTGATTTCTGTTAATTTCATCACCTCAACAATGGTAAAGGGAACAACCTATATTACAATTTTGGTAACAATAATCGAAGTTGACTTAGTACTTCAGCAGTCCTGAAGTTATTAGGTTCAGAAAGATCCTGATACAATTATTTACAAATGTGCAATAACGAAATTCCTAAAAATTAGCGTAATAAAGTTAGAGATACAAGAGATCTTTCAGAGTTTAAAGTGAGATAAAACAAGAGAATATTTACTTCTGAAATTTGATTTTTACGATAAACGGATTGAAATTTATACTATAAATTTGACTTTTAACATAAATGCTCACATCAATTTTCAATAGTACTCACTTTGAAAAAGGTGAAAAAGTCTGCTCACCACCTTAACCATCTCATATTTTAAAAAGCAAAGAGACCAAAAGGATAATATTCTCAAACATCCGTATCATAATACCATGTAAAGTTAATTTTAAATACGCCAGACCTGCCAATAATTTCTAATAAACGAAATTGAAAACATGACAAAAACCAGGATCTCAATATGATTCCTTGATTGCTTTTAAAACTTGAACCCGCGGAGGTACTTTATATATCGTGTAAAGTGGTTCATTTCTCTCCACATATATCCCCGAGAATGATAACCATCCGTACAACCAACGCTTCTATCTGTATCAAATGACAGTCCATCCGTTTGAGTACTATTCGTCTCAGTTAGTTTTCTCCAATCCTCAGTCTGAGTTGCCATGGAACAACTAAAATAATGAAAGTGTTATTCCCGCAAGAATAATTTCTATTTTGATTTCGATTGTCACAAAACACAAAAGACTAAAACTATGATAATAGAAAATTGTTTGAAAAAGAAAAAATTCTTCAAATTTCTTTAACCTATTTAAGTGAGAAAATGGTAAAATAAAATCCGCTTATAGTGATACAGAAAATGCTTACATCTCCGGTACTTCCGTTGCTGTCATACATTCTCTTATCTTACCCAATCCCAAAACCAATTCGTAAGTGAATCCTGATTTAACCTTAGCAAGTTTCGTTTTCAATTCTTCGGAGGTTTCGTATATTGCACCATTCTTAATGCTTTTAATTCATTACATTTGAAACTAAATTCTGACACATAAAGTGTACAAGCGGACATCAGTGAATGAAAACTACTTATCGAACTGTCCATAAGAACGCCAGATTATAATTCTAACCATTAAGTGTATTCTATTTCTGATTAATGCACAAAAATAACGAATAAAACGAATGTGGATAACGAAAAAGATGAAATTAAAACCTTCTTCTCTGCAGGTGCCTCGTCTAGCCCCGGATTTAATTCCTCCAAATCAGAATTTCCTATCAAACTGGATTTCCTCATATATTTTACGTCTGATCGATCAACTGGAGATTCCTGTAAATTAAAGTAAATCATCAATAAATTTGAATTTTTTAAATAACAACATAGGATTAAAGTGATAAATGGTCTTTAAAAAAATATATATATATACATATCATTGGAAATCAAACTTTCACACCTCCAATTAGTCTGCATTATCGTGCAAAACTTTCGTTTTCAAAGGAAAACAGCGAGGACGACGTTACTGCCTATTGGAATTTATTTTGTGAATTAATCACGGTCCCCAAAAAAGCAGTATAATGCAATATGCTGAGATTGCATCCTTCCAACAAATTTAAAAAGGAGAATCCTATAACAGAAGGCTTTTTCGGATAATGTTATCTAGAAAGTAGTCGAAAAAATGGAATGCCCAGTAAGACCAACCAACCTATCCGAGGAATTCAATCTGCACAATGTTTTCAGTCATATGCTAGGATCCTTGCTTTGACATATGAAATAAATTCTCGGACTTACTGAATTTGACTCATTTTTCGGATGATTTTCCAAAAGTAATCGATTAAAATTCATAAATTCAAATTTCTTGAAATTAGAAGTGTCAACATTATTCATCGCTGAGCCAGTCGGTTTTGCTTCATGCATATTTTCCTTGCCTTCTTCCTTTAAATGAATAACATTGTTCATTGAATCTACAGAAACATGCCGAATCAAGTGATTTCCACGTTTTATTCCATAACTTACTTCATGAAGCAAAAATGGTTCACATCGCATAGTTGAACCGAAACGAATTCTGGCATATCGTAACCATTCATCATCAGACAATGTATTTCGAACAGCAAGAATTTGATTCCTCAAATATCTTCTCTTCTTAAAACTTGAATAGCATCTTGGCATGCCAATATGCACATCCATCGTCAAATCTGATTTGTTCAACAAATAAAGAAGTTTTTCGTGGTTAGGGGCACTTATGTCCTGATTGTTTTTATTTATGATGCCCATGCGTAATGTCATTAGAGTATTTTTTCGCATTAAATCCAAGTCATCCGGTGATCGTATCTGCAAGAAGTTCTACAGTTAGAACAATTCCCTAATCAGTCAGCGAAGCGACTCACAAAGAGAAATCATGATATGTCCAGTTGTTATACCCCGTGGTGCACCCACTGGTTAAGCTTACTTGGTTTTTCCATCGATCAATCTGTGGCAGCCATTATGGCCTGTTTTAAGATTCTAACGTTATTATTGTCAAAGCACAACCGCTCTATGTTACAAGATTTTTGCAACTAATTTGAATTAATACAGTTACTGCCAAGTTGAAATCTACAAATAAACGGGTAAATAAGAAACAGATAAAATAAATGAACCTTCAACGCAACCAATTTCTTCAAAAGTGTATTAGAGATTTCATTGTTCTTCATATTCCTATATATGTGATAAAAATCTTGGCTAGAATAGACACGCTTTTTTGATTTCTGAAGTAACGCAATCTTGTCTTCAGAGAATTTAGATATTTCTTCTTCATATTCCAGTACATTGTTTGACGCAATTTGAAGGAATTCGTAGACGTTTTCCTCACCATCCTCATCATTGTGGCTTTTTTGACTACGCCAATTCCTTGTTGCATAAGGCTAAAAGAAAATTGTTGCAAAAAGCACCTAACATTACTCTTAGCAGCCGTAAATGAGACGAAGGTAATTTCAATTTCCAATTTAATTCCGAGAACATGAACTCAATTCTTTGACAAATAGCTTGGACGCACTTTGTAAAGTTAAGTAGTGGAATCATTTTCATCATGAAAGTATACAAATGTATTTAATGCCTACACGAAAGTCTTCAGAACGGCTGAAAAATCCATCGTCATAGATGAGATTGCTAGGCCAATTCTCTCCTGCTCGCAACAGCTTAGTTCGAAGTTTTCCCTCGACAGCAAAATCACTGAATATTTTCAATTCTTTACCACTACTGAGAATTGTGAATGCAGCACCTTGTGTACCTGAAGAATATACATCTTTAGCATATTCATTTCCAGTAAAAACATAAAAATATAGTTACATTTAAATTTGCAGCATGATTTTTTGCAACTTTAAACTTGACAATACCAAAACGTCCAGCACGCCCAATTCGATGCAAATAGGTGGCTAACACAAGTGGACTTCCATAGTTGACAACAATATTAACGCCTGGAGCATCAGTTCCTCGTGCTGTCTAAAATATTAATTTACAAAAAAAATTTCCAGTTGAAAAAAACGTCCTGCAAGATTGGAGAAACATAAAAGATGTCGTACTGCAACCAAACAACAAAAGAAGATTGTGTAAAGAAAGAAAAAGGGTCTGAAAATATTCTTTATGTCGACATCTTCATAATCTTACAAGATCCGTTGAAACGAGTAGTTTAACCATGCAATTTTTGAGTCGCCTTATCACTTTTGTACGATCAGACTGTGGCATGTTGCCAGAAATGCAAACCGCATCAAATCTCGCTTGCTGTAAATCTGCACAAAGCTCGTCACATCTAAAATGAAATTTCACTGAGACTCACTCTTTTTAAATGCTGTTTTTCAACAAATGTATTAACTGTAATGTAAAACTTGTAATTCTTTCAAAATCACGTCATGAATGCACTTTAAAACTTATTTTTTATGGTCATTGACGAAGATGATACACTGGCCATAACGAAGGCGAAGTAGCAAGCGTAGTAGAATATTCATTTTCTTGATTCCATTGCGAGCAACAATCACATATTGTTTAACACCAAGTAACTGTGCATCTCTATCTACACGCACCAAATGTACATCTGCAGGATAGTTATCATAACACAAATGATTTAAACAAGAAAGACCGACAAATAATGAATAGAAATTTACAAATATATTGAAAAACAGGAAATAGAATTTCCACAGAGGTGCAAGATTTATTCTCAGAGCTCGATTTGGGCACCGTGATACAGGACAAGTGATAATAAGCTACAATAAGACCATAACAAAATATTCAGAGTGGAAAAACCTATATATTTTTTAGGAACTGAAAAGTACAAGTTGGTCAGAATAACGTTATTGAAACAGCCCATCCAGTGACAAACGGAATGTTCCAATAAAAAGTCACATTTAAAAAGTGGTCATGCCATCACAGCACACATCGTGTACTGATGATAATCGGTCCATTTTGTTAATTGTATTGGCAGGAGAAATAAAACTAAATAATGAACCTCTCATGTAGCGTGTAAGAGTTGCATCCAGTTGATACGGATAAGTGGCCGAGAACACAGCTACTTGCTTTTCCGGTGGCAGTGCTGAGAAGAGGTAACTAAATGAAGTCAAATTTAATGGTCAAAGATTAACAAAGAAATGTTTATACTTCTCTCGCTTTGTAGTTTGATATAAAAGAAAATTATATATCTCAAATTATATGATCCGATTGCAATTTTCATCTGCTTCATGATAACTTCAACTAGAACCAAAAACTAACTTGATTTCTTTCTGAAAACTGCCTTCCATGAGCTTGTCAGCTTCATCCAGAACAAACAGTCGTACGTAAGACAGCCGCAACGCGTTGATTCGAACAAGATGACAGAGGCGGCCTGCTGTTCCAACAACAATATGAATACTTTTTTTGAGTTTTTGAATATCTTCCGTAACACCTTTCTCATTTCCACCAACAAACATCCTAATAACAACCCATTAATTATGTGACACATAAATGACTAATCAAAAAAGGAATTTAAATTATCTAAGAAAGATTACCCCACATGAATTACAGCAGGAGCAAGCATTCTGATATAAGACACTATCTGAGAAGCAATTTCACGGGTTGGAGCTACGATTAACACTTGTGGACGTCCAAACTGTGCATTCAAGTTTTCTACAGCCAACAAGGAAAAGACCATCGTTTTTCCAGTTCCGGATTTTGCTTGCACCAGCAAATCTGCAGTATGTCTTGATTAGACTTCGCCCTAATTTTGAAGCACAAAATGGAAGTGTGGGAATGTGGAAATGTCTAGAAACTTCATGGAAGTATCTAATGAGTTATTACCACACGAAATTTTGTAAGCAAAATGAACTACCAAGTCCAAGCATGCCAGATGGGATTGCTTGAGCTTGTACGGGAGATGGCTTGGTGAAACCTGCTTTAGCTAATGCGTTCAACGAAGCTCGGTTAAGCATTAGCGAACTGAAATCAGTCACATCCGTTTCGATATCCATTGTTCGTACTACTTCTCCCATATCCATAACACAACTGAAACTTCCATACATTTAAAATTCATGCAGTAAAAACAATCTCTGGCGAATTGTCATTTCAATCTCTTCTCTTATCCGAAACGTTCTAGCGGATGTTGAAATAAAGGAGTTATCAGTGTGAGTACCTTCTAGTGGATGTTGAAAAATAAAAGAGTTATCAGGTGAGTACTACAGCAGAGAAATGGGAATTTTACAAATATTCAGAGTATTACTCTTTTTCGATTATGAAACATTACGCTTTATAGATCTTACGATCTCTCGAAAAACTTCTATCCCAACTTTCCGCAATCTCGAAACACACAACAGTCTATGGATTAAAATTAAGATGAAGATGGATTAAGAATTACATGACCTTCACCATCTATCCACCTCCCTGTCATTTCATCAAAAATGTAAAACAAAGGCAAACGTCCGACTTAACCCAACGGTTCGTTGCGAAAATACCCATCCTATCATCAATCACGTCCGCTGTTTCTTCTTATACATCAAAGTTTAGAAGCATACTTCTTGAGATGACTGAAAATCATAAAACAGACCTATATGAATCATCTTTCTCCCCTAATTCTTGATTTTCATCATGTTTTTCCAGTTGTTATTAGCCGTTATCAGTGGGGGAATAGCAAATAGCTTTTTGCTGTAAAAATGAGGACAAAAAAGGTTTCTTCAAGATGAAAATTTCAGCAAAATTTCAGTCATCATATTTAAAGAATGAAATTTGCTAGAATTTCTGCGCACACAGACGTTTGATAATTGTTCCAGCTTTCAATGCCATTTTATCAGCTCTCTTGCCGGGCTTCTTCCTCTCGGGGTACTCGTTTCCAATTTCAACCGGCCAAGTCCAGAAAATACATATACCATTTTGGAGAGTCAGTTTTCAATGGAGCCGATAGGCACCTTTTCCCCCCACTCTCATGTCGCAACATAGAGCACCCTGTTTTTCCATACCGCAGTGATGTGCACGTCAGCTATTTTTGCGCTCTGAATTTAGAGCACAAGAGAAAAATGTGCAGAAAATTTTGATTGAAGGAGCAAAATGGTCTGACGGATGATTCTTACAAAGTTGAAATGATTTTTTTCACGGAGCATAAAGCGAAGCGTCAATGTCTTGTTTTCATATTTATTATTGAGTAATAAAATTTTCTCCCAAAAACTTTCAAATATTTCGTCATTACTGTTGCTTTTCCGCTCCGTACATTTGCAGAATTACGCTTGGGTGCCTAGTAATTAAGAATTTGATTAGTTTCCCTATTATTACTTGTCTTTGGCTAATTAACTCAGTAAAGAAATAAACTTTCACAATTCATCTTTCATGGCCTAAATTTCTATTTTTCTCAGTTCTTGAAATTAATTTCAGAAATATTTTTGTCACTTAACGACGGAATGGCTTAAATTTGTATATGTACTATCTTCTATGACCGAAAAGCACCTTTTCACTTGAAGGGAAGGGGGTAAAAGGCAAAGACAAATTGGTGATCAATTTTAAGACATTTGATTTAGAGGAGTGGAAAAAACAAATCGCAGATAAGAAGATTCTTATCGCTATAAGAGCGAAACAAATCACTAAACAATTTTTCTCACGCTGTGGACTATGATCAACATCTTAGATTCTGGCGCGTTGATTATGCGGAATTTGAAACAGTGTGTCTTACAAAATGACATAGATATGCATTGTGAGAATCTATATTTATTCGATTTATGATAAGCAGCATATGAACTGCCAAAGGTTATTATTGATTTACTGGCAAACAATAATATGCAATATAATTAAATTTTAAAGACAATAATATACATTGCAGCCAAATTTTACATTAGAAAACAGCAAGATATTTTGAGCAGAAAAAGTATCAACACGAGCTTCTTAACATGAAAAACTGGTACGCGATGGGACTGTCCTCTTCGTAAGAAAAAACTGCTGCTTCAAAGGTTGCACAGTTCAAGGATGTAAGCTCCCAACAATTTGATGCCCTCCATATAATTTATCAAATTTATTTTTTCGTTCTGTGAGTGGGCCATATCATCTGATGATCCGATGGGCAATAAGAGCACACTACTTCTAGTCAGTTCTTGAAATGTTATGGTCACTGGTATACTACCACCTTCCCGAATGTAATCCGGTTCCACTCCATATACTGAAAACGCACTTATAAGACAGTAATGCAAAGTTCAGTCAGCGAATGAAAAAGACAGTACCTTTCCGGATGGCTCTCGCTGCACACTGATAGTGAGGATCCTTGAAATCAGATACCCAGTGAACACCCGAATGAAGTGGTTTTACTCTGAAATATGCTTTGCCCACAACAGCTGTAAAGGAAAGAAAAACTTGTAATGGAAAACAATTATTGAAGTATTTACTCGAAGCGGTTGGGAGAGCCTCTAATCTTCCATAATGCATTCAAATGATGCATAACAAGGCTGTCCACTTTCACTGGCTCCATGTTTGGTACGAGTCGAATGCTAAACTTTCCAATTACTTTCCCTGGAATGACCGTTTTCGCATCTTCGCCACTAGATGCTCCGATGATTCCTTTAATAAACAGAATACTATAAAAAAAAATACATGAAACGCATAACTCTATACTATCATTAAATGTCAGAATTGTCGTAATCAGAAAGAGAAACAAAAAAAGCAGGTATAACAGAAATATTTTAGTTATGAAACTCATATAATTATAAATATAACAATGAAGAATTATTATAGGTAAGACTTCGTAAGGATAAAAATCTACGGTCGAAAAATATAAAAATATACCATGTAATGAAAGAGTAGGATATCTCCATCGATTCATCAGTATCTTTTCCTTCGAATCGCTTAATAATTTGATGGCACCAATATCGGCACGATACTCCTCCTGTGCAATGAAAAATTGATTAGATTAATTTCATGACACGGTGGCAGTGAAATGCATACCATATCGAAATCGAGTGCTTCGTACAATTTCTTTTCTTCATTTGTTACTGGAGCCACTAAATCCATAATACCTGCGATCATGATGTTTCCGTCTACATCCGTTAATTGACTCATTACCCAAATTAAATCTGACATTGGCTCATATCTAAATTAGAAAAACAGTGCCGAAAAACCGAAATAATTTCATATTACAAAAATATTAAAACAATTAAAGTATTTCATATTATAGGAATCTATAAAAACAGTTTATTTCGAATATTATCAGTTGAAGGATTCATTCTCTTCTTGATATTTAATTCTCTTATTTATTTCATTTTACAAAATTAATTACTATCTTTACATTTAATTCAAATTGTTTCTTGGTTTATGATTTTAAAGGATATCGTCAATAATTCATTTATCGAGCGGTCAGTTGTTTAAATATAGATAATTCTTTGTTTACTATGAATTTCACCAATAAAATAATTTGCTTCTTGCTTCATTCACCTCAGTTTTTGATTGCTAAAGAAATATAAGTAATGGTTCTTAGATCATATGCCCATAATAGATTTAAATGAAAATTAAAAATGAACTTACATAGAGCCTCCGAATACACCGCTATGTAAGTCTTGCTTGCAACCGGTTATCTCGATGAAATAATAGCACAAACCCCTAAGATATAGTGCGTAAATAATGAATTGAAGGGAGAGATAATAATAACTATTAAGAGAGGATATAGTGTCACTTTCTCATCAGACCTATGAAAAACTCTTAAGCTAGATATAGATACACATGCATACATAAGTGGGAAGAAGTAAGGATTTTAGTGCACGAAAAAGGTTTGATAAAATATGCAATGATTCTAATACTACAATCTGTTATGTCAAAAATCAAACTGGATAACCTCAAGCCGTACGAAATGCAGGGTTTATTTTTGCCAAGCCAATAACTGTCAGATATGCAAGTGAAGTTGATATCATTCAGGAAAGTGTCTTTCTTCTTCTTCAGTATTTCTTCCAGTCCTAGCGAACCACTTTCTTCCATTGCTTCGAAACAGAACTTCAAATAAGTGGAATACATAGTAAAAAAAAACGCAACCCTATAACTTCTCGATGGTAACATATGTCGAAAGTAACATGTCTTCTAATTTCCTTTATATAGAGATACTGATCTTAGATAAAATTAATAGAAATTCCGCGATAATTCTAAATTTACCTCTTAAAAATAACTACGATAATTTTTTGTAAATATTACTGTTTTTATCTTCATGAAAATTTCAACACACTTAATATACAAAGCATCTATAAAAAATCATAGAATGTTCATTGATTAGTATTCATACAACTGATAAATAAATTTGATATAACTATCACATACTCATTTATTACAAAGTGCTTAAATTATACCTTTATATTCACTGGTATCGGAATTTCACATTTACGCAATGTGTCCAATGCATTTATCCATGCAACTACTGGCCCTTTGTCATCAGTTGAGCCACGACCAAATAATTTTCCATCCTGAAAGCAATTTTATATTTCGTTTATCTATATTCAAAGAAAATGATCTAGATTTATGAGGTAGTGCCACGACAACAATAACTGAATTATCATGAGTCTTTCAAAATTTCCAGAACAGACTAAAGCATTTTGGAAATGATCATACTATTGTGACACCTCGTGAGTACGGTTTTCTTTCTATTCAATATGCAGCAATCGTTGAAACTCATCTTTAAATCTGAAATGTTCAAAAATATACTGTGAAATCGGAATATATGTAAATAATATATGATGCACCTTTTCAACAAGACTGAAAGGTTCTGTATTCCAACCATCCAAATTTTCAGCAGGCTGTACATCCAAATGACCGTAAATGAGAAGTGTTTTCTTGTCTTTATCATTACCAAGCGTACCAAACAAAACTGGAGGAAGATTGATTCCAGAACCATCAGATAATGTCTGTTTTCCAATTTCGCACAGCTCCACTTTGGCACCTAATTCTTCCATTTGCTAAAAACTAATAAGTAAGAAGGACAGCCATTCCCTCGCAATATTAAAAGTGATTTTAAATTATGATACTCAATAAAGATTAATAACAAACGCCTCTACAATCTTATAATTTAAAAGGAATTATTTTCTTCACCATAATTTATTTTTTTCAACTTAAGCAGCATCTAAACACTTTAAAATATATGAATTGTGTGGTTTATTCATTAGCCAATGGAAAACACCCGCAAATAAACCACGCAGCTAAAATGTACTCTTGGTAAGGAATTGCGGTTTATGTCTGCTGACAAGAGATACCAATCCGAATATTACAGATAATGTAATCGTGGTACCATTTTTGTCCACTGGACCATGCGTAGAACATCTGCACGACGTTCTGGTTGTCCGGAAATACTTGGTATAGCAACGGCTTTTCGCAATCGCTCAACAAACTTTTTTTGATTCGCATCAACTTCCCTGCAGAATTTACAATTCCCAAAATGTTTCTTTTCAATGTCTGCCATACAAAATTGTGTGTGTAACTTTCAGTCACAATGTACATACCACCCAGCTATAACTTGAAATATATATGATTTACCCTGCACAGCTTATTCTTGATTGATGACTATAAAATTTGATTTTTGGTCATAAATACATTATTTGAACCAACGACCTTACTTTATACCACAGCGTGGCTGACACTTTTGCTTACAACTTCAATTTTCTCATCCCGCATTAAGCTATTAAAAAGAAAACAAGTAAGAAAGCAGTTTCAGACCGCATAGGAAGATTTAATCTTTATATACGATTCAGAAATTAGAGTTTGAACGATCACCTCCCCGTTTCATACATTACAAATCACTTTGCCGTAAAGAATCTTCCTCTTTTTTCTTTGTATATGCATAACCGTATGTACCATACACATACACAACTTCCTGTGATCAAAAATGCCAGCCACGCATAACGCCCATATTTCTTCTAATGAATGTAAAAAAACACATGAAAAGTAGAAAAATCACCTGGCAAATTTATGGTAGAAATCCATTATAGTGTTAATAACCAAAGCGCCCTGAAAATTCAGTTAACAAAAGGAAATGAATAAGCCTATTGCGCTAACCTACATCCATATCTTCTCAGTTATTGATTATCCAGTTCCTAACAGTCCAGTTCCTCATCTTACCTGACTCCATACCAGATATAGTCTTATCCAAATCACCGAAAAGCGTGAATCGTCGCATCACTAATTCACTCACTGTTGAATTATCTTTATCCCAATAACTTCTCCGCAATATTAAGTTAAAAGAATGGAATTAAATCTTAATAATTAATGATAAAACATCTGCAGCGTACAAATGAGTCGTAAAATGAACACGAACACTAATGTTGATAAGAGATTTTGAATAAGTATTGTGAGCGACCTTATTTTCTTATTGAAAAAATTAAAAATTTTTACATTTTGTAGTACTCTAATAAATAATAAGAACACGATATAACAAAAAAACCAATGAAAACCAATAGAAAATGTCTTGATATGGAATACGACTTATTTTTTTACTATGGCAGCGAATTACTCGTCGCCTACCGATTGTTCGCTTTCATGAATAATAGACTATAGGTGTTTGAGGTGTCCCTTTATTTTTTTTAAAAGGACACCTCAAGTACCTCTAACCCTTTATTCTGCAGACTGCTACCACTGCTTCCTATAAGCAAGTCGAAAGAAGGGATATCTATTTCCCGATCGGCAAAGTAGCTTCACATTTTGTAACCGTGTTCAACAAATATCGGAAAGCGCAATCTTGATTATTCCAGTGCAACTAACATTGAGAAAGGATGATAAAAAGATCGGTAGCGCAAGATGCAATTATCGTAATTTTTTTACATGGTTCACATGCAGTGCAATTTTGAGAATGCATACCAATCAAACTGGACCATATCCCAATGTCTGGTCCAGTCTAGGCCATGCCAATCTGATACCTTTTTTTTTACTTATTACACCAACAGCGGTATCGAAATCAGTGACCAATCGAGCAACAATATATATATTGGTGTTCGTAGTAATTATGGTCTTACTCAAACAAGGAACGAAACCTTAACAATCGCAACACACCTCTTCCACGTCCCTGACTAGAAGATACTACTTGATCATGTGATACTTGCAATGAACGATAGAGACTTCTCCAGTCTCTAAAATACACACAACCGTATATGTCATGACCTGCCGTTCTACAGTTGAACTCGAGCCATTAGGTTTTCTTTTAAAAATCCGACACCCATTTTATAACTTGTATTAAGAGCTGTGGAAGAAAGGGAATGTTCCAATTACAAGCTTCAACGCAAAATAATTTGCATAGTTCGACGACTCATAATTTTATTTGAATATAATTGTAAAGTGAACTCTCAGTACAAGACTTCGGCCTTATTACCAACAAGCAACTGCATTATAAAATAAAAAAATGCTAAGTGTACATGCTGAAATATGGCCATACCAGAGCTACGACCCACCAACCAGAACGACAGTAACCAACCTTACCGATGTTTTAGAGCACATTTTGGACTGTCTCACGACATACAGTTGCACAATGGCCACAAATAATGTGATCAATGTACGTTTGGATTCTGTTTAGATTTTGATTGGGGGAATTCTAGACATTTGGGGAGCTTTCTGGATCATAAAAGTAGAACCAGACAACACCGAATAAAATTCACACGAGGCAGGTATTTTTGTGTGCAGATTCTCATACAATGAGAATAGTCATGAAATCTATAGAGGAAGTATTCAAAGAACTGAAATGGGAGTATGGGAAGAGCAAAATTAGTATAAACGAGAACAATAATCTTAGAACACCTACCTAATTCAGAAAGCATTTTTTAATGCAGATTAGTAGTTAATTGGTTCGTATTAAACTAAATAGACCTCATTTATATCAGTATTTTAGTTCCTGCATGCAACACCATCATAATCCTTTATTGCATTGACACAGTGCATTCGCCAGTGGATATCACAAATCACTGTGAAGAAGCTTCCAGTGAACTCTACACTGTTCATAACGACAACAAGTATTAAATTTCAATAATAAAACTTTGAAAGTTAGATGACCCTTTCCACAATACACTGATAACAATCGCAGAATATAAATATCGTCCAATTTATTAACATGAGATGACCAGGGGATGTAAAGATTCAAACAAATCAACAAGTGAAACCTTGAAATCTACAAGGTAATTTACTCGTGTGTTCAATCCAACAACTTATTCCTACCACAGTGACTTAACAGCTAAATATAATATTTTACTTAAAACTTGTTCTTTGCTTGTATTCTTCTAGGCTTTTCAAACGAACTGGTGGACGAAAACTGTAATTTGACCAAATATACGTCAATAGGAACCCGATACTCCCACTAAACCAGCGATATTTTCTAGAACGCTGTCTGAAAAATGTAACCGTGGTATGAGAAAACTAGGATATTCTGGAGTGAAATGTATTATTTTCATCGAATCCATAATATATAAGTGCAAAAGATTGGAGGGTTCTGCAGAGCCAGTTCCTTTTCTGCTGATGACCATATTTTTTCTTCCCTTATCCCATGAAAAAAAGGGAATAAAAAAAGAAAATAGTGCAGTTAATTAACCTTGCAAATATACGTACAGAAATCCACCAAATAAGAGCGTTGAAAACTGCAGCATACAGCTTCAGCCTGAAAAAAAATGTACATGAAAGACATTTACAAGTTGAAGATAGCTGTTCCTAGGTTTGCATACCAGGAAAGATTTCGCCTTGCTTTTGGAAGCTCTTCCAAACGATCTTTAACGACGTATCGCTTAACACCCATAAGGTAGTCGAACAGGTACGAATCCCAATCCAGTTGTCGTACATCAAAATTGAAAATCTGTAAAACGATATGCAATCATATTTGTATCTGCTACGCCAACAATTTTTGCATGACAGAAGCATGGCAACAGTTTTTAAAATGATCTGCTTTTCTTCAGTTTCATGTAAGAATATGATAAACTGACTTTTTTATCCTCCTCTGAAGTCGTTTCCCACAACTCGATGAGACCTTTGGAATCAAAATCCCAACCTCGAGTTGTAAAATAATGCAGCGTTTCAACTAGTCTCAAAACTTTCTTATAGATACGAGTGAATCTGCAAAAAAGAGTAAGCGACGAAAAGAAGTGATGTAGGCGAAAAATAAAGAAGTTTTGTGAGCAGGATTACCTTATTTTTGGGCCCCAAAATGCGTTTAGAAGATCGATAAGATAAGCGGGACCCATGTGCTTCAAATAAAAATTGAATTCGAACAAAAGTCTAGAGGAATGGAAGTGAGTTGATGGGATGCGATAACATTCATTTAGCGGATAAGCGCGGAAAAAGCGCTCGATAAAATTAGCAATGAAATCCCATTGAACGGGATTCAACTCTCCTGAACAGCAGTGTATCACTGGTATCGATTCATACCTAAATATTTATATAGTTTTATTTTTCATCAGAATAGCGTGCTCAGATAACAGTATGACTGATGAAATATGTGTAAATATTACTCGGTGTAAGTTCTGTGAGCCGCAGCAACGATCATCAAATTCGAAACGATATCGACTGGTATTATATCTGCTTTCGCTGAGCTGCTGCCACACATGTTTGTCAAAACACCCTTGCCGCACTATAAAAACTCAATCTGTTCCCATTTGCAGACAAAGTGGGCTTAACGTCATATCGACTGCAAAATTTAACATCACGCTGAATTTCTTGGAAATAAAATTCAGATTGTATGAATGCCTTGAAATCGGATAAAAATTAGTAGTAGGATGGCAATAATGTCTCTAACTAATACAGGTGAGTGGAAATATCGATAAGGCGAGAAAATTATTAATTTCACCATAACAGGAAAGAATTAAGGCAAGCACTGTTTCAGCGAAATCAAACCCACGGCAGCAAAAATTCCTGTTGGTCCATTGTAATTATCTGTCCAACCGGGTAGGGGATCTCGCCACATGGCCCCTATTATTGATGGTCTCACAATAATTACCGGTAAGGGTCTCGCATCTTCCATCAACTGCACCTGAAAAAAAAACTGACTGATTGTTTGGATCAATAAACGAATGTTTAGTAGAAGAAGAACAATATAGCATCAGAATTAAAAGAACATAATGCACACTACTCATCAATTTCAAATATGTGTATTTCTCGGGACGAATTTTCTTAAACTTTTATAAATTAAAATCATTCTACCTTAAATGCCATCATCACCTTAGTGTCCACTTATAAAATAAGTATTTCCAACAGTTAATATAATCATAATCCCAAAAATACTCGGTACCTTTCCAGATACATCTCTACTTATTTTACTACTTACCATTACAATACTTCTATTGTTTCACCGGGACTGGCAAAAATATTTAACGATCATCTTAAGGTAATACATCATCATATGAATCCTATCTTTCGGAGACAAATTTTTTATGCCAGCTTTCCATTTCAGTTAGTTTCGAACAGTGTTACCAGCAATTACCCAAAGAAACTTTTCAACAATGTGTCCTACAAGCATCATCACATCTATTCCCTGCATTTGGTGAATATTTAACCTAGCAAATATTTTCCACATCATCTTAGTATATAGTTTCTTCAAGCAAATCAGAAAACTATGAACTATGAAGCTTATAGGTATAAATATTTGAGATAAACGAACTTCAGCAAGAGCTTTTGTTAAAGTGTAAGTGTTCGGTCGTTTACCAAGCAAATGTGGCGTGATGGCATCAATTACCACATCATCCATCCAATTAATCGCCTCGAAAAGTTTATTTGGTGGCATAGGGGGTGGATAAACTATCTCTAGTATTTTTGATTTGTCACAGTTTGCATATGCTGTACTGACATGAACCAGCACCTGTAACAGAAATGCAGATGTGTCTAAAAATCTTTCGCGAAATAAATAGGAAAATGAAAGCAGAAGAGGACTTACAAGCAGATTTTTAATCATATGACAAAGAGCAACAAGTCGCTGTGTTCCGAGAACATTCATTTCTATGGACATTCGTAAGGCTTCATCAAACTTCACTGTTGCCGCACAATGGAATACTGAAATGAGTGGCTGTGAGATGAAGTCTGGCGAAATGCTTCCATTACCAACTTACCGATCGAAACTTCATCACAGATGGTTTGCATATCTAATTGATTAAGGCCCAAACCCTCCTCCATAATATCACCACCAATTGGAATCAGTTTAGAGAATATTCCAGAATTGAACCGACGCAATCGGTCGAACAAAGGACCCTGCAAGATTGAGGCGATAATTACAGAATATGCCTTACCAACATTTTTGGCACCGACTACCCACATATTTATAAGCATACCTTAACAAAAGCTATACTAATCTTACACATTAAATTCCTCACATTTAACGTCCCTTCCTTGAAAGGTAACACAAACCTGAATAATTGTATCCATTCGTTGCCTCGGACCAAGTCCATTTTTTGGACGGATTAATAAGTAAATACTTTTTAATGAGTCTATTGAATACAACAATTTTTCGATTAGAACTTTGCCAAGAAAGCCACTTGCACCAGTGACCAGTATACTTTGGCCTGCGTATACATCCGCCACTTGTTGACTATGTTCCATTGATTACCCTAAAACACTATATATCATCATATGGTAAATATACCAATTAATTGTAACGACTGCTAAAATAGTGTTAAACATTACAATTACTGTAAAATTACTATCCGATGTTGCTGTTGCTGCTATTCATTCTAACTAGGACAGAAGCGTCACTTTCTTTTGTAGGAAATCCTGGAGTTTTTAGAAAAAATTGAGCATCGAAGGAATTTTTTTTGGATTCGATTCTTCAATCGACTTAAATAGTAAAAACTCCAGGATTTCCTACAAAACAATATTAACATGAAAAATCAATAGTGCGCCTTCTCGAATAAGTATTGACACCAAGAAAAGTACTACCGTCAAAGAATATTTTTGAAAACTGCCGAAGAAACGGTAATTTTTCTAATGATCAAAAACCCTTGAAAAACAAATAATCGGAAGTCCAGTAACAAGACAGGTTCAATGGAAAAGTGAAATGAACGAAACAGCAGAATGGGACTGCTACACCAGCCTTGCTAATCAATCGCAGTCGCATATTCGATTCTCAAAAAATGAAAAAGTGACAAGGAGGATCGGGAATACAGACTGTATGAGAAATGCACGTGTTTGAACAACCACTGAACATTTATCTCTGCTCTTTGGACCAACTGTCTTCTCTTTCTCCTACTGATAAGCCACTATCAATGTGCACCTAAAATGTCACTGCTAATGGAGAGGCAGTAGAAATAGGCATTCTCTACACAATTATTTCTATCATTAAATAACTTCATTTTTTGGTACAATATATCACATGTCAGAACACTATCGTCACTTTACGGGAGGATAAAGCCCCGTAAATTTTATGCGTGATGATATATAAGTAGAGATGGCAACACTCGTTAAAAGAAACAAGATAACTATGATGAAAATTTATTGACAAAAAAAATGTATGAAGGAGTGCCGCACACTTGCATACATCAATTAATCACTATAAACTAATGCGACCGAGTGAACATAGTGCACTACTGGTTAACGGTACCAATAGTAACACAAGAGAAACATCAGACATTAATCACCGAGCTCACAAAATACATATATCTGAATAATTCACACTTAGCCTCTCTATGAAATCATCATACATTGCCAATTCATCAATGCGGCACATCACATGATACGTGTTCCAAAAGACATTAGAAAGAATCTATCAGGTATTCTATTCACCTGGGATTCTTTCTTTTCACTTGGCGATGTTCAATATGAGATTCCCTTTCATTCGAATTGTAAAAAATAGATCTCTGTTTAGTTTAATGATAGATCCAGAAAGATAAAAACAAGAGCAGTTCACGTAGATCAAATACAGACGTGCAAATAGAGTGCTAAATAAAAAACACTGCGGACAACCTAGACAAAAAATCACCTACCCATAGTTGCTTATGGAATATTCAGAAGGAGGTGGTTATATAAAAATCTTATTTTACAATAATATGCATCTCATTGATGATGAGCCAGTTTGAGCTTCCTTCATGAATTTCGATTTTCAATGAAGTCACTCTGATGCCCTCAGTGAAATCGACCCGTACAGTACCACGTTCATTGAAGCGCGCTATGGAGGTGAAGTTGTCCTCATTCACTTTCCTCAACAGCACTTCCGCACTTTCATTCAATATGTCATACTGATGTTCGGGGTTACCAGTACGAACAACAATACCTTAAATAATTCAGCGTGATTGACAATAAAAATGTGCATTGATTAGAACAAAGACCAAGTTAACAAACCGATTAGAGTAATAGCAGAATAAAATTCGAATAATATATAGTCTTGAGCGACTGGAGCAAAAGCCCAATAATAATTGCTGCCGGTATAAGCATTTTCAATATCTGAAACGAAAAGCCTTCCGCAACATCGAAAAAATAAAGATTTTCCAATCCTACAGCAGTAAACATCGAAAAACTTACTTGCATGCACATAAATCTATCAAATAGGTACAAATTTTGCGGACTGGTCAAATTGCATGATTCTTCAAAACCCTAAGCAGTAGTTCGTAGCAAATGAAACATTTAAAAGATTTCGTTTAATTTTATGGTTGAAAGCAAAATACTCACCAAAGAGCATATAGGTTTTAAGCGTTGTGGTGATCTTAGCGGGAGGATTATTGCTATGTGGTATATAAAGCTGTGCTTTACCAAAATCTCTTTCCTGTAATTTCTGTACTTTCCCTGCCAACGAAGAATGAATACCGATATGCTGGAAAAGAGAAGGTCGATGACGAATTCGGTGCTGCTTCGCAATCTAAAAAAAGATGGAGGTACTTTTGATCGTAAAACAAAGCTGTCTAAAACTTTAAGATTGCAAGAATCTTACTTTCATAATTATGTTTCCGTAACACTGAAGTAAAAGACAAACTAGAATCAGTTATTTCAACATGTTTGGAATGTAGAAACACAAGTTCATAGCACTACTGATTCTAGTACATATTATTCGATACAACAGCAGAATGATATACGTTTCTTCATGTAAATAAACTTCTCGCTGAATATTTAAATTTACCAAAACCTCTAAAAAACCACGGTTTTTAACTGAGTAAGGTTTCATAATAGGATTGTAGAATTCAACATAGGTCTAAAAGAATAACGTCATTAAAAACACTGCAAAAAACCCCAACACAAATGAAAGAGAACTTTCGTATATCTCAAATAGATTATTTGCATTTAAAAAGGTCACTGAAAAAAACCCTCAAGAATAATACATTTTGATTCATATAACAATATCGCAATAAGATTTTAGAGAAGTGAGAAAACATAGTATTGGTGCAGTGCTTTTTTTATAATAAATAGATACAGTAGCAAACAATACACCCTGGAGTTTCTAAGGGGAAAATGGTAACCATAATGAAAGAATCAGCTGAATCTCGATTTTGTCGAAATACGTTCTAGAAGTTATAAAGAAGAATGGAACGTTACTGCTGAAATTGCATATATGCAGTTAAGCGTCATCCAGCAAGAGTCTTAAGATCCTCTGCACTAAACGCTGCTACGATATTTAATATTTTAGGATGTAAACCTCAGCACAGTGCTTAGCTGACTTCTCTGGATGGCAATATCGATTTACAAACAGCAGATCTAACAACCAGTCCACTGGTTTTTGTCGATGGAACATTGCAATGAACTGTAGTAATAATGTGAGATCGGAGGTTCGAAAAAGTTTCCCAATGAAGCCTAAGGATGAAAACTCGAGCATGAACCAATCATCGGTTATTCTTCCATCAATAAACTTTTTGATGCGACTGACAAACCCAGCTTTTGCGAGCACGTCATCCTCTAGCTGTAAATAATATTCACCTGAAACAATATTCCGTCTAGAATTCTTCATTCACGAAATTATGGATAATTTTGAGCAGATCATGTAATATTAATATGTTTTGACTGAAATTTACCTCGTTGCTGAGAGTATAACATCAAATACATATAATCTAGATTCTGTTTCGTACGCCAGTACATTCGCTCTGGAGAATCGTCAAAAGTAGGAGTGACAGAATATAAATCAGAATACCACACACTAGGCGGTACAATAACCTGAAGAAAAACTCTTAGAAGTTATATAAGACAAAGAGAAAACATCTTTTCCCCGGATATTTTGCACAATCTCTTATTGAATGCCAAAAAATTCTTCAAATTGGCAGTTTAATTATACATAAAAATAATTTTTTCCGAAAAATTATACTTAAGAAATTTGAAATGAAATATACTGTTAGCAATCCTGAGTTCAGCTCAAAAGGGAATTCTGATTGCAATGAAGTGCATTGATGTTTCACGAATGAAGAATTGGGACCTTTGTCATCGGAAATGAGAACAACAATGGTAACCATATTAATTTCATTGCTTGCTATTCCTCCGATCAGCGACTGCAGTGTCGGTATCAAGTAAGACTGCTAAAGATGGAAGATCCTCAAAAATTATTTTAGCAATAAATTTTATTCAGGTAAAAAGACTTTCAGAAGAGAGTAGGAGAATAAAATGTTGTAATCCGCCAAATAAACACTAGAGGATCTTAACGACCACGTACATTAAGCCGAGCAACTGTTGGTATGCCAATAACAAGATCCGTCTTTGTCATCCTTGAAAAATTGCTCGGATAAATCAATGCAGGATGCAATGCGCTGTTTGGAACAGTATAGAGATGAGGCAAAAAGTCGACAAATGTTGGTAACGATAGTACCAACTCCTGAGAAAAAATTACGGATATATCATACATTACGGATAAATTTCAAACGCGTTTTCGCTTTTTTTGAATAATTTTCCAAACGTGTATCTAAGATGAAGTTTTTGTCAGCTTCAACTATCTTATAGGCCAATTATAACTACCTTTCAACTACATCAACCTTTTCGACAACTTTGACTGAACATTTGGATGATACATTACCAATCTTTAGGGCAAGTCAATAACCATAAACCTCCCAGCACTTGAAAAAACTAATTAATCGGCTAGCAATCATTTCCTCTCCTCATTTTTCAAACGCAAATATAACTGTGACGTTCACAGTATTCATGATTTCCAGAAATGCTGCAAAACGGATTTTATAGAAATAAGCAATCAGTTATTCATGTAAAACATCAGGATGAATAGAAGAGCTTCACTCACCTTCGAATCATTGGACAACAACCTTGGCAAATTATTAGATAGATAACATTCTCGATTTCGATCCTTTAGCAACATTTGGGTCTAAATCATTTGTCTTATTATAGAAACCCATGTATATGAAAGTTTGTAACTGAAAAGCCAAAAATGCTTGGATCTAGGAAAAAGGGAAAAACAAAAAGACCTAACATGCACGGTAGGTTTCAAAAAACCGGAAGGAGAGAAAAAGAGATGGATACGTATAATGTGAGTAAACACAAAGATCATTTTTTCAAATCATACGAGATGAAAGGAAATAAGACAAACCCTCTTCAAATCGTCTTGCAACTTCTGTAAACGATTTTCGAAATTTAACCGGATGTCGTGATCCAGTGCATCGTTGTACTTACTCAGAGAGTATACAGTAATACCAACCATAAACGTTACAATCCATAATGCCCCTAGCAACCGACGCAGCAAATACCAACGTACAACCATCGCATACCGCCCTCAACTCTGCGTCCATACTCCATGTGGTCAGTTAAAAACATGCAGGGCTCACACAAACCATCTACTTATCGCTACACCTCTTATCATTTCAACTAACCTAGAAGGCTCGTTAGTGACAATCCAGTCGAGTTAATTAAAGTTTGATGCGACCTCTGTCAGGACGCGTAATTGCAGCTATACGATGCGTGAATTGATGTAACTAAATTGCCATTCTTTCAGCTACTTTAATTATTACAATATCTTCATTGATCAAAAAGCGCGAAAGTTGGAGCAGGTGTCGTTGCACGAAAGATCTAAAAAATACCACGCTTACGGGATCAGTGTAGAGGGGAGGGGAAAATCTAGTAGTTGAAAAGGTAGGAGAGGTTTGAAGGTCACATTTTCTTTCCGGAGAATTAATCCCCTCCTGTAAAGATTGACCCGCTAACCTCCAGTTCTCCATTCTCTTCCATCCCTCTTTCACCATATTCATTGTCGTAGCCAATGATCTTTATTAGAGCGGTTATTTTTCTGAATTTGTCTTCACTTAAGGATGGATAGAAAGAGTAGTGCTCATATCTATTATTTGCCTCACTATTGGCGTCATTAAAGATCTTTTCCGTTAAAGGCTGACGTTTGCATTGATTGTGTTTTTCATCGAGTATGATCATGGCAAATCGGACCAGGCACTTGATAACTTATCTCAAAGGACCGCGAGAAAAACGATGCGTCTGAACAGGCGAAGCAGTTAGATGTTACATATAAATTTTAAGCATCTGCCACGGATTTCCATTTGAGATTTTTTTTGCTCAAAATAAGAAAACACAGTACACGCCCGGGTAATTTTCGCTACAGCTGATCAAAATGAAAGTTGGCTTTTTGCAAAGTCATTCAATTTAGTTATAATATCCAATGTTTGACCTACGTGCTTGTTAGGTCAAAATTAGTTTTAAGAAAACTACTCAGTTAAATCATAATTAGTGGCTGGGCCTCCTTTCCATTAGCTTGGCAAAAAGTTTTGAAGGAAAGAAATTTCGTTCTGGTCTTCCTGTGGTCTAGACATATAGTCTAGTTTTTTTCGCTTGGCAATGTATTTCGCAATCCCCTTTCCTGACTCATATTAGCCGTTATGCAGCAAACACTTTCTGAAATCGCATAAAAAGAGCTCTTTCGTTTTGGCTAAGATTCTACAGTGCAGTTTAAGGCATCCATCTTTCTAGCATCATTGACGTTGTGGCGGTTCTTAACACTAACCGGTCACAGCCAACGCTTAATGTCAGCAAAGTTTGTGTTTTACTGCGAATCGCAATATTTATTAGTAGCTCTGTAGAGCTGCAAAGGATTTCAACTGAAATCATAGAAAGTAAACTAAAATACTGAAATCAGACCTTCCATGTTCTGCAATATAGGTAGACTATCACAGCAAGTAAAAAAAATTATTGACATTTTTTTGGCATCACATAACATCTCATGATGACATCACATGTTGAATATAACAAGATGTAATAACACAACTGAAAATCAGAACAATGAAAGCAAGAGAAGGATGGGTGCAATGAGGGACGAAATTAAGTTAAGCCATGAGATATACAAGATAGATTATGCTGTCAACTTTAACACGTAAAAGATCATTAATGAGCCCCTTCCTTATATCTTATGTTCACCAACAATACCCATTTAATACCAACCAACCCTCCTGAAGCTGCTAAAATGAAGGTTTGTTAGTAATTAGTTTATTTACCGGTAATGAAATGAAAGTATTACTTAACTACATCTTATATAATGAATAATAATAATAGTGTCCGAAATGGATACAGAATAAGAACCTTAGGCGATCTTTTAACTTTTTATCAACTATATTAAAACGGTTTCTATCAACTGATAAAATTAAATAAAGTAGTAGTTATTGCATCCAACGAAAAAAGCAATAAAGCAGAGCTATCACTCAAAACTATTTGTATCATCGCCAAATTTGCTTATTGTCATTAACATCATAATTAAAGGCAAATAGAGTAGAGTGTAATGGAAAAGTGTCCTTGACGTCTTTGCATCTGGATGCCGATAAAATTTATAGGATAGATAAATCAATAAACCATTGAGTGGAAGTGATTCAACAGCAAAAAACCATTTCGTCAAATTTGCTAAGGGAGCTCCAAGCGAGCAAAGCAGTAAAGTTACTACTGAATACCTAAAACGGGGATAAAATCTTAAGAGTACTTAACAATGACTATAACAGAATGGAGAAAGAAGGTTATGACGAAATGATAATAAATTGTGGTAAAACTAATAAGTGAGTATTACCTGAGCGATGTGAATCGACAAAGCCTTTGATTAACTGCACACATGACCCGATAACCGGCACGAGTATAGTCGGAACGTAGACTCCAGCTGAGTGCATTGAAATGAGGAAACTGCCAGCAATATAATAGGGCGGCCAGCACTAAAGAAGAAGGCTGAATGGATCCTGTGGCGCCAGCGTAACCCATTAAAGGTGGCATGGCCCCCACAACAGCTCCAACCCAGGTGCACCCAATGCTATAACGTTTCATTGGCGTATACACACCTGTAAAAATATCGTGTAGAGACAAGTAACACCTGGAATGCACCATATATTTGTAAGACTAAAAACGATCTCTTCCAAATAAAACAATTTTAGAGATGAAAGGAAAGCAGGTGGTAAGAAATGAAAAGGATAACTGAACCTGCATATAAAAAAGTATTGAGTAAACCAAGTGCTGCTGTTAACGGATTGCAACCAATCCATAATGTTGCCATTCCAACCACTGCTGTTGATAGTGCAAAAGTGACGGCATGAAAAGGTGAAAACCTAAAAGGACTTTTTTAAATTCATATGTCATGAATCTTATCGTCTGAATATGTGATAAAATCAGTTTTTTTGTTGTATGATTCAGTCCTCGAGAAGTTGAAAATGAAAATAAATTCGTAGTTAAGGGTACAGTTACACATCAATTAGTGCTCCAAACATTAGGAAGTTGCACATTTTTCACTGTGCTTACAATTTATATCCAAAAAACATACCAAAGATTGTTCCGAGCAGTGCAACATACTCCACCTCCACCTGCTAACAAAGCAACTTGCCATTAATACCATAATACCAACCTGTGCACGACAAGCAGTCGACTTTGCGTCCTTCTCATCTGAGCATCATAAGGTGTCTCGAGTAAATTATTGAAAGTATTTGCAGATGCACTTAAAAGTGCGGTACCGACAGTGCAAGTCGCCAATGATCCTAGCGAAAAATCACCTGGAGCCATGATAAAACCGCTAATGGTTGTTGTAGTTACCATTGCTGTGAGTCTTGCCTTGGAAAGCTGCAAAAACTTAATGATACTGAAAGCAATCCATTAAAGTGAAATACCATCTAAATAAGCGAGATTCTAGCAAGGAAAGAATGATTTTAAGCATGTAAACCTCTTTATGGATAATTTCCCAAAAACAGCGTTGGTACGAAAAGCAGTACAATACAATTGATGCACTGAAAAGTGAACTATAAAGTACACAACACGATGAAACGGATCAAGCAGACCTGTAAGTATGACTTCAGCAGACCATTTTGTTGTATAATATACCAACCATCTTCCGGTGTTGGTCTGATCACTAGTTTTAACCTGCGTTCATAACTCCTTGACTCTTCCGCCCTCGTAAAATCCAAAGGAATAATCTTTTCTGTCCCTGTGCATAGTTTTGGTAGTGCTGCCGCGCTTCGCTTCCAACTAGCAGTTGGCAAATGTGAACCGTAGAGGCGACAAACCAGGTGACATGGAAGCAGCATGAGCTAAAAATTAGGCAGAACCATTAGCTCACCTTTTCGATCAATGGGAAATAAGATACACGAAAAAGGTCACGCGGACTACATTAACATCCATTTAAGAAATGTCGTACCACTCTTTCAACCTGCTTCTAAAGAGAAGACGACTTAATCATTCCTTTCCTACTGAAAAGATGAAATTATTTTCTAGAATCGGCCACTAGTATAAGAAAACTCAGGCGAGCAGATATGCAATATTCTGTCAGTGGGTACTTGATCACATTTTTGTACAACTCCTTACCGGAAATTTTTTTTTTAAAGTATTATTCAGAATACTGGGACTTACAGTTACTTCCTTAACTAGATGAAGCGCTTTTATAAAACAAACAGGAAGGAGAAGTAGGCGTTTGCGCTACTTACACAATTGTCTCCGAGATCATAGGTCTCATTTCGCCCAGCCAGCAGCAATCAGTTCCAACCGATAAGCGACGAATAATATAAAAACACAACTAAACCACTGCAAATTAATAACTAATTTAATTATCTATCATCTAATCCCAAAGAATTATATTCATTTCACAGGAATGATAGCTCAAATACAGAAATATCAACAACGAAGAGGACTGAAGGTTTTGCCAATTACTTTAAACCTGGTTCGAATGCCTGTCAGCTATCGATGTGAATGAATGCAAGTATGAAGAAATGGAAGAGATTTGTGGAAATCCTAGCCCATCCTATCTCTGAGGAAACTCGCCGTTCTACGGCTGTTTTTTCCAGAGAAATGAATAAGCATGACGACTAAACTAGCTTTGCGTCGCTTCCTTCGTATCTCCACTTCCCATTCGCAAAAGATAAACGAAATTTACGGTTGGACGCTGTTTACTACGACAGATGATAATGGCGGTGCTGGGTGCAATTATTTTGTTTGTGCTCGTTTTGTCAATATCGCGTCATTTTGCTTTATTGTGAAACGACAGGAAAATTTAGACATTTACTGAGCTCTTACATGTGTCTTTCATCTATTCGTGTTTAATCGCTGTTGTTTTATCATATATTTCAATTCCAGAAGACGAAGCAATGGCTACGGACACAAAAATTCGCGACATTATTTGTCTTAAGGGATCAGCGCAACTTATTCAGGAATTTTTTCGTAAGCTTATAGTGTTTTGCATCTTCGTGGCCCAAAAGTTATCTTCATATTTGATGACTTACACCTTATTTTGATTTATTGGTTCACGTCTCTTATTTTGATTTATTAGTTCTAGCATTGCTCTAGCTGTCTGGCTTTTTAAGCAATTTGTCAAACGATGAAAAACTAAAATAGTTGCAGACTAAGGATCTCCATTATTTGTTTTTCCGTAATCCGTAAAACCATAATTTTTACCCCATCAAAAACTTGTTTGGAGCGATTAAAATGGTGTTGCGACCAGATACCCGACTTTCTTCCCTCATTCTCATCATTTCGTGATAAAACAACTTGAAAATGAAGCTTTATTTCTCAAGCTGTAATTTATTGCTAACACCAAGTTAATAATTCACTTTTGGTTTTTATTTAAATAAAATGATTTTATAGATTTCGGTCTTAATAACATCCTTTACCTGCGAGGTATATATCCCGCAGATTCTTTCGAGAAGGAAAAAAAGTACGGACTCACCATGCTCATTTCTAAAAATGTGGAACTGCAGCAATATTTGCGGCCACTCCTTAAGCAAGTGAAATGTAGGTTTTCTTTCGTTTTCATGTTTTACTTATTATTATGGATCAGCTAATCACATTTCCATTTTCAGCTAAGTCATATTCCCTCATAAGTTCAGTCGTTCATTGCAACTGTTTTTAAAAAAGAAAAATAGGTGTATAAGATCTAAGTTTTTGCGCTTAACTGAGATGTTTCCATTTCCTGCATGACCAGTGATCTTCTTATCTTTTCTTGCTTCATTTACCAAAATCCATTAACTTGATTAGATTTTTGACTTCTTCATTTATCTCATCTGCTTTGTTCTATTTTGCAATAAATTTTTTGGAAACTTTACTTCCCGCTTTGGAAGAATTGCTCAGCAGAGAGTGTTCACTTGTTTGTTTAATTACTCTATATCCTGAGCAGTGATGCATATTGCACCTAGCGATACTGTCAGATATTATCAGCTTGTGAGCAGATTTTTGTATTTGAGGTACGGTATGTTATTTGGTTCCACCGAATCTTCTTTTTATTGAATAAGCGATGGGAATTTATTGACATACTTTTGAGTACGGGATGTAGTCATTAAGGTTACTGGTGGGAGCTAACTATCACACGCTACATCAGATAAAAAATATTTTAAGCCTCATTCGTAGTACAGTAACTTCCCAGATTCATTTAGCTGATATACAAAGAAATAAAATGTTAAGGTCCTAATTTTAGGATGCATAATAACAGTGAATCCTTTATTGGACCATTACGATTGGTAACAGTGGATCCTTTATTGGACTTGTTCTGCTTTATTTTTGAATCTATCACTGCAGCATTAAAGGTTTTAAATTTGCGTAATTCTGCTAAACTGCTTTCTTTCAGATTGGCTGGAAAATAAGCAGTTAAGAAAACTGATTGTTGTGATTGCAGATATAGAGACTAAACACCCAGTGGAGCGATGGCAGTTTGACATTGAAACAGAGGAAATTACTGAGCAAAACAGGTATTTTGATATTGTTTGTTGCGTTCCTTCGCTGAAAAGAAATTTTTTGAAAATAAAAACCAAAGTATCTAAATCTATATTTATATTCCTTTGTCTCATCATTCCTTATAAATTCTTAACAGGCGTGAGGAAGATGTAATGTTAGAAAGAGCTTAAGCCAGAACCCTGGTTTGTTGCAAATTCCTTTTTCAGTGGAAGCTCGACCAAAGAAAATGAAAGGAAAATCAGACTGGAGATGGCTGAAGTGATGAGGTTAGATTTTGATCAATTCAAAAATAATTTCTTCTGAAATATTTCAAAAATTTGCTAGTGATATACTTCATTTGTATTTTCAGGCAAATAACAGCCTCGGTATCGTTCCTACCATTACTTGAAACACCGTGTTCGTTTGACGTGCTCATTTATACTGGTAAGGAGGCGGACACACCGGAGAACTGGGCAGAAACTAGTGCCTGTTTAATTAGAGGTGCCGAACAAGTGCAGTTCCGCTCTTTCTCAACGGCTGTACATTCAGTACATGCGAAAGTGTGTTATAAACCTTTCTCGTAATGCAGTTGTTTGCACTACATTCCATTTTCCATTTATGGATCAGCATCACTGTAAAAGCCAGTGGAATCAGTTTTGTAGCACCAGAAGTGATCCAAAATTTTTGGTTGTTGAGGAATTCATGTTTTATCAGTGTCAACAATATTGAGAAGACATGTTATAAAGGAATCACTCGAGGAAGGAAGCATCTCGTTTTCTCTCACCTCATGATTCGTTGTATGTTTGCCAGTTTTTAGGAATAAATTGAATAAAAGTTTTCAATTTCACATGCTCGTGATTGGTTCACCACCTACACTTTTTGTTTCACTACCTACACTTCTTGTGGTTTCACTTGACTTATTTGTTTAAAGCGTTAAACCTTTTAATTAGCATGTTATAAATGAAGATAGAAAGTGTTGCAGAAAACTTATTGGGTTTGTCATTGAGCGTTTGATGCGGTATGATATAGTTTGAAGTGTCTTAATGTGTCCAAGAGATTGATAGGTGTCGAGATAGTATAGAATTTATGAAAAAGTGTTGTACCTTCATAGAAGTCGGAGTCAGGATGTTGGTAAATGTCTTTAAATTACAAATAATGGTGGGATCATTCTGATTGACTCGAATGTAAATGACTTATGCGATAACTCTGCGCAATGCAGCATATTCTTATAAACGTAGCTGCAATGAGCTCATGAATTTTACGGGTCACCGCATTGATGTAGCCGTGGTTCTCATTGCATAAATTTGATTTCCAACCACCGTCTGTAATAAAAGGATTAAAAGGATCCTTTCACGATACATTCGGTTGATGATTATCTTGTCAATGTATAATCATCAACCGAATGTATCGCAAAAGAATATTATTTTGTCAATGTCACTGCGAACTTCAAACTCAAAAGGCAGTTTTCCCAAAGGGGTTGACAGCAAGCTGAATTGACAATCTAGGCGAAATCTGAAATTGTCAGATGGGTGAATGTTATATTGTTTCCTCACTTTTATTACGGAGAGCTTTCGAGGAGTATACAGAGTTGAATGTTATGCAAGAACCGTTTTTATTCGCTTCTCTGTTAATATCGTCGGTTCAGATAACCGCTTTTGATTTGGAAATTCTTTGTTATAAACCCACTATTTTGTTTCAAAAGATTTGTTTGCCCTTTCAGGATGAAAAGTATAATAAATCGTATCCTGTCTGGGTTCAATTCAACGGAGTATGGCTTGTCTGCTGACTTTTTGCTAACAAAGCTAACACAAATGAAGGGTTGTGGATGTAAAGTTCCGAGAGAGGTGTGTTTACCATTCCTTCTTCTGATATTACCTGCACTTGATTACTATGTGCTTTGTGTGGGACCCAATAATAACTGGGAACATGAATATATTGTATTTTGGCTTTCCACAGGTCAGACAAAACTGGAATTTGATTCGGAATAGTCAAAGAGACCAGATGCATATTTAAGTGAGGTCCAAGAATTTGCACATTTTGCAATAATCATGAAACTCTTTGTTAAACGGATTTTGAGTCGGAGTTGTCAGTGGTATTTGTTTCTTCGTCATTAATATATAAAACATTAGAACGAAATTTTTTACAAATTCCTCGCCACTCATTTTGCTGCAGTACTGATATGTTTTTTCAGGTTTTGTTGGAACTTTTGAAAGACTTGAAAACAAATGATAAAAGCAATGAGAGAGATGAGTTTTAATATTCATGTCTTCACATTTTGCGCTAGTTCACCTCTGACACCACATTTAACTATTTATAAATTAGTTGCAGGTATCGGATTGGATAGCTGTGTGATTCCTTTACGGCATCAAGGCCTGTTTCTCGTCCAGACGACAGATTTTTTCTACCCTCTTGTTGATGATCCATACATAATGGCGCGTGTTTTTCAGTTTTTCTCCATTTTCCCTTGTATTTTTTTAAAATACTTTGTCGCCATTGGTTTGAAAATTTTTCAGGGCAGGATCACATGTGCAAATGTTCTGAGTGATTTATATGCGATGGGAGTGGCTGATTGTGACAATATGTTGATTTTGCTTGGCATACCCAAAGATATCAGTGATAACGAGCGGGACGTTGTTGCTACTAATTTCTTCCGTGGTTTTAAGGTGTTTTTCGATTGCAGTGTAGAACTTCTTCAACCTTGAATTCATCTTGATGGAATCTTTAGAAGGGTGAAGTAGAGAGTATAAGGTTAAAAAGGAATGATAAATTTTTGTTGTTTGTAGGATACTGCAACAGAAGCCGGTACCACCATCAGAGGTGGTCAGACGGTACGTTGTCCTTGGTTGTTGTTGGGTGGGGTAGCTACAAGTGTGTGCAGCGCTGATGAAATGGCTACGGTTGACGGAGCACGCCCTGGTGATGTTCTTTTGCTCACCAAAGTAATCTTACTTGTTTACTTTCATTCTTAATTGAACATTTTTTGATTGTCTACTTGGCCAACCATACTATTTCTGGTTTCTTCAACGACCGAGTCCTACGATAAAGGTTTTTGTCCATAACCTAGCACTTTAATGTGTGATATATTTCCTTCCTATATATATTTCCAAATATATCAAAGAAATATAGGGAAGGAATATATTTCCTTCCCTATATTTCCTGCGATGCTAGTGTCACAAGTGCGGTTGCACCTGCCAAGTTTGAACTAAGTGCTAGATGCTATGAATTGTTAATCTTCCCTGACAGATATTTTATCTTCGTTATGGTAGTTGATATTAAAGATCTGTCAAGTAAGACGTGAAACAACAATTTACGAGACTTACGTGTGTGAGCCATAGGTGTAAGAAACGGAGACGAACTGAATAATGTGGGCGAGTTACAATTCATTACGCATTTGTTAGTAAGTTTTCAGCCACTTGGAGGTCAGGTGGCAGTAAATTCATATGAATGGGTGAAGAGAGGAAATTCACGTGTGAAGGAACTGAAATTAGATGAAGCAAGAATTGTGCGCGCATATCAACAAGTCGTTGAACAAATGTGCCGACTAAACAGAAATGCTGCACGCATGACTTTGAAGTATGGTACCCACGCTTCAACGGATATAACTGGCTTTGGAATTCTAGGTTTGTTTTATTATGATTGCATTATCCTTGAACTTACTTGTGCTGAATCTTTCTAAGGCAAGATTTTGAAATTCGCAAGCAGTGAGAAACTCGCCTTCTTTACAGGACATGCTGACAATTTGGCGAAAGCGCAGAAAATGGGAGTGCAATTTGTCATTCATACCCTGCCTATAATTGATTATATGGCCGAAGTCTCAAAGACAATGGGTAATGGTTTCAATCTATTCAGCGGGACATCTGCAGAGACATCAGGCGGACTCTTAATTGCTGTCGAAAAAGAGAAGGTTGTCATTTCTTTGATGCATTGGTTCTGCATTGGAAGCGTAACTAAGTACGCCAACATTTAGGCGGAACACCTAAGAACCGAACTGGAACAGCTAGATGGATTCCCGATATGGCTTGTGGGTGACGTCATCAGCGGTTCACGTGGTGCTGTTATTACTGAGGACGTAAAAATCGTCTCTGTAACTTCAAAAATACACCCTGTCTAACACTTTTTGCTTCACGTATATACATTCCTATTCGGTATATGCTTTATCTGTCTTTTTGAATATAAACAATACATTGCGCGTATTTTTATATGGTGACCCGTCACCTGCCTTCAGTTAACATCGAAACAATGAAATTCCATTCCATATACATAACATTCTACTACGAAAAACAATATCTAAACAAAAAACTGTTCTATAAATCTCCTTCGCGTTCAATCTTGAGCAGCTCGATATCGAATTTCAAACTGGCATCGGCTAAAAGTAATATTTCAAACAAATAGTAGTAGATTGCTTACTGTCAGCACAATCTAAAGATCTGAATTGAAATGCACTTTACAATTCCTATATTTACACCAATGCATGCCGAGTAAATTTACTTACGTGGAATTTTCGGCGGAGAACCAGAACTGCCGTACGCTAGATCAGATGGGATTGCAAGGCGACGTTGTTCGCCTTCACACATGTTCAGTAGTCCTTGATCCCATCCCTTAAAGCATCTTTTTGGATGAAAGAGAGTTGTACTAGTGCATTCCAAACTCTATCACGAAAGCCATGAGACTTGTAAGATTCAAAAAGCAAGCTTCGAATCTCCAAATTTTCTGTCTTTTCTGTCAACATTCAGAGATATCTAATACCCTCGTATCTATAGTGCTCACTATATTCGTGCCCCGTATGTCGACCAAGCAGCGAAACGATTCACAAATGAAGAGCATGAAAATAAAATACTCACTTTAATGACTTGTCCCATACCGAGCGTGAATATGAATGGCTTATTGCGAGATCGGCTATTATCGAACTCGGTACCATCTTCCAACATCCCCTGAATCATCGAAGAGCATACACATCTCGTCAAACAAACATAATGAGAAACCCCACTCACGGAAGCAAACTTACCACGTAGTGCACATTCAGAGTGTCCCCCTTTCTTGACCTCATCTCACAATTGTCGACACGTTTCTTAACTCCTATTTGCAAACGAGCCAATTCCCTGTCCTCGCAACACACCACGACCAAAACCAGTAATATGTGGATAATGTTGCATTTCAACATTTCATGAACTACAGCTCTAGTTAGATCTCCTTGAAATGTACAATTAAAATGTTAATTACATTTTCCCAAGCGTAAAAAATTCATAAGCTGCTGCTGAATACTTTAGTAAAATCAATAAACGACTATAACAGACCGAAACTGAAGACTTTAAAAGTGTATAAATTGGAAAGAGAGAAGATAGTTTCATACAAATGAAAGCTATAAGTGAAATTGAACATCCGAACACGAAAACAATGGAATATAAAATTTTTAGTCTGTCCAAATCGTTCAATTCGAAACTGATAAAAACGCTGTAATATAATTAGTGAACAAATGACAAACAATTCCGTTTATACATCGTCAGAGTGCAGTAAGGGAATGCTGGCACATGAAATAGCAGCACCACAACTCATTACACTCCGAAACCATGGAAGTCAATTATTCAGTTATTTGAAGCACTTGAGAAAAATCTGTAAAAGCATTTCCACCCTTCATTTTCTGTCGTTTACTTCAACAAGGCAGTGTTATTAAGTGTATGAAAAGACACACGATGTAGAGCAAAGCATGCAAACCACACATACGTGTACCACGCATTCACAAGCTCATGACTACTACTAGGCCGTTACTTTTTTTCTTTCGAAAAACAATTTGGAAGATTTTTAAATGCAACATAGAGTCCTTCACTGTGCACAACTAATTGCATTTATAGCACTAACATTCCGGAATTGAAAGCTAGCAGTGACAGAATTAGACATGTTGATAAAGGTGGCATGCTTGCACCATCATATATATGAAAACCAAGAAAGCGCATTGTGATGAGGCAAAAAATCAAAACTGACGAACAGATTAAATGCACATTACTACCGTCACAAATTGCTTATTCACATTATTTCCTTTCCCTTTCTCTCTTTCAGTTGTTCATTTCAGTTCGCCTTATGATTTCAAACGTGACGTGTTGATGTCTTCTATGCTACATTTTTTAACCGGAACACAGCACATCCGTAAATTTTGTCTCAATTTAGTAGAAACCTAGAATGACATACTTGAAGGTTGTCAATATAAATATTAATGTGGAACCCAAAAAAATCTTATAATAATGAGTAATAATGCTGGGTTTTCGCAGCGACAAATCTGAATCCAGTGGGTTCCATTCCACTTCTCCAATTTATTGTAAAAGGATTACGAATACATTGGTATGCTTAAAATTCTGTTTGCTATGAGTTGCAAAGAAAACAATTGAATAGAAAGAAGTACATTGATGAAAATGAAAGAAAATGTACATCAGTCGAGATCATTGTTTACTGGTGGAGTTTATTGCACATTCAATTATGTATTTCTCCACTTTTCGAAAGAGCTTTGGCCCGTTCATTGTATGCCTGCAAATTTATCTACGCTGGTTTTAAAATTAATCACGAATTAGCGCTACCTAACATTTGATAACTTGTATAAATCAATTCATTAAACACTGGATTTTTGGAATATTCACAAGTATACCTTGAACAGACAGAGTAATACATTCCAAAAACACCCATAAACTTACATCTTTATCTGACTTGGAAAATGACTTCCAGACCATTGCCAATTCCTTAATGATATCTTGTTGCTTTTTATCAGTGTCAACAGCTCCTTTTACAGCTTTCTCTTTCACAAAAAGCATCCAGCCTGACATTGGCCGTTGACCGTCACTTTCCCGTTTCTACAATTAAACAATACTACAGCTGTCAAAATTCAGTTTTGTTCCGATAAATTTCAACTTATATATCGTCCATCTTTTATGGAAAAAAACTACGTAAGCTCAATACTTGTTCTTCCAAATGTTTAAAAAAATATGGTTGGACATACTTTCCTCCTTTCCAAACGTACTCTTCGTTTTAAACGAGCCTCTTTCAAATCCTTAGCCTGTCTACGAAGCTCCTCTTTCTCAGCTTCATTCATCGATTCGAATTTTGATCTTTTTTCTTCGTTTATTCGTAATGCTTCATCAACATATTTCTATAACCCACAAATCTGCTTAATTATTATTTACTAATAAAATACCTGTCACCACCACTGGTCTACAACATTATCCGTGCATGTGCAACTCTAATTTGGATATCATTTTCTAACAAAAATGTTATATTAGACAAATGCTGCAGTAGACTTCACCAAAAACCAGAAATGAATGTGATGATTGTAAGCCAGGACCACAAGCAATCAGGGGCGAACAACTTCCAATAACTATGACTTAATCTAACAATATATCATTTCATTGTAATAACTAGGAAAAGAATCTCAGAGATCTTTGGACGGATACAAGACCAAGATCGCCAAATTTTTCAAGAGTTAATATGATCTAGAGAACAGAATTATATTCTCTTGATGAAAAGAAAAACGATGAGACAAACCCTTTTGTCAGCCTCGTCTAAATTTTTCCATTCTTTGGTAAGATTGATGAAAACTTCTGTAGGCTGTTCGTTTTTCCTTGATGCAAAGTTCTTTTTGATGAATAAACTGAACGGTGTTGTTTTACCAAATCCAGGAGGAAGACGCCCAAACTTTCCATTAGATCTTGCTGTTTTCGCTGCAGCATAATATCTATAACAATCATACTAACACTCCCTTCCACAATTGTCAATTTCCTCTACACCATTCCAGTTAACACTGTCTTTTTATTTCTGATGGATGATTAGATACCTGATGGTTGGGATCACTCTAGCCAAAAATGTGTGGCGTAAGTTGCACATCAGCGAAAACATGGAGTCTGGGATCTGTTTACTTTTCACACTGTTACCGCAACAGTTCACCAAGAGCTAAAAAATTCAAATTTCTCAATAAGTAATATCAACAAACCACTAGTTAAATTAAATCATGAAAAATTATGTTAAATTATGAACAGACATAGAAAAGTAGCAACAGAACAAGAATAAGCAAATATCGACGTGTCGGTCACACGGTTTTTTCCGAGAATATACAACATTTCAGAATATGATGAAGTGCACTATATGCTACCTTAATAGATGCGGACTAACTACGGATAGCGTCATAACTTATAACATTATTTCTCATTCAAATATTATCAAAATGCCACAAACAATTCTAAAAATTGGGTTCACATCCCACTGCGACCAGATCGCCCTTGCGAAACACGGATATACAATCTCGTACATCAGTTTCTTGAGATATTTCAATTTATTGAAATTACCGAGTCATTATGAGCATCTTCGTAATGCATTTCACCCTGATTCATCTTTTATATATCCCAGTATATGCTGGGTAGTCAACACCATATAATTACTCTATTTTCGTTGGAACAAAAAGTTAACTTTTACAGCAGACATAAATAAACACGCTAAAATAAAAGAGTTATTTGTTGTTGCAATTGGATGTAGATGATGCTGTTTTGATTGCCTGGAAATATTTGAGCGGTAGTACTCGAAATGCTCTAATAAAAAGTAATTTCGATCCTTATTTCGAAAAGAAATGATGCGAATCGGATTCCAAGCGTGCAACGCGCATTACGATATTAAACGACGGACACAAATTACTATATATAAAAAAGATGATGGTAAAGTGATAATCTTGGAGGCATCTGATAGCAAAAAGCAAATCCTGCGAAACCTCTGGCGTAAACATACTGCACGACAGTGTGTAAAAATTAGAAACAGAATTCACACTGGTGGGAGTAAGTTGGACAATGCTCTAAAAGGAAATTGTGTAGGTTCATGATCTACTTCTCAGGCTGCACTTGTTGCTAAACTGCGCAGGTGATCAAAGGGCATCAGTTGCATCCTCTTATTCCTTTATATATTCTCTTCTTCCATACGTGCTGAATGGTACTCAACACCATTTTCTCATCCAACTACAAAAACAAAGTAATCCTTCGTATTCTGACCATTTATATACACCATAAACATTGATTTACTGCTTGATAGAAAATAAACAGCACTACTGAGTCTTGCTGTGTACTGCACATCACGCAATTCACTGGCCACGATGAATCCTTATCGGTATGAATTGAATATATTGGAAAAACTGATGTTCGAGAGTTGTAGAATTCATTAACTGCAGTTAACGTAAAATTTTGATCGATTTGATACAAAACTGACTTACACAGCACTGTAATATACTCAGTAGTGAAAAAGTCCAACACTTCCTCTTCTTATCTGACCCCCAACTTAACTCACCACTCGCCACCCTCCCTTCCAGACCCGTCTAATTCCAACCACAACTACTGCCTCTCCCGATAGAACAAACAACAATTCGAAAACAAATACGGTGTGGCGCTGAATGACTAGAAGTACTTTTGTGCAACGCTGATAGAGGACTTAATGAAATAGTGATGTGGCTGTTGTAGTTAATTGGTACAGTGTGTTGATTAAATGGAATGGTGTTTTGAGAGGAGAGAGTAAATGAGAGGCTTATCTCGTTCCCAACGCACCATTTTATATGTCTTATAATAAACAGTAATAGAAAAATGGAAAAACTATTACTTTAGAAATTTATACTAATTTTTTCAAAAATTTTCACTCTAAAGGATTATTGATGAAATTATTGACATGAGAAGAAAGGAATCATCCGGCTTATAAATATCATATATACCTTATTTAAGATGATAAAAATGGAACTAGAACCAATAAGTCAGAAGAGACGACTTAGCTTTAATATACTTTGATGTATAATGGCATTTGAATAGCTTCTGCAATATCGTACTGAAAGTTGGAAATGAAAGTTGTTCTTTGATCCTGTAATTTTCGCAAGAATTGAAATTCACAATTATGGAGCAACTTTTCCAGGAATTCAAATTATTAAACATTGATCAAAAAAATAGAGTACTCAGCTTATCATTGAAGAAATCAACACAATGAAAGTATTTTTGCAAATAAAGAAAAGCTACAAAGTTGGATACGAGGTAATCTTGCATTTACATGTGATCACTTGCAAAAACTTCGGTAATGCATCTTTTGGATAGATATGAGATATTAAATATCAGTGTCAAGAAAAGATGTATTATTGAAGTGTCTGAACAAATATATTGCCCAAAAGGTGGATAATATATTGAGCAGAAATTTCGGTAATACACTTTTGGTTTCGTGATTTTTATCTTGTACTCTAATATTCTTTGAGGATATCATTAAATGTCAGAATTCATATTCTTCAATCAAAGTGGTTCGACCAAATAATCCAACAAATGAGCCATGCAATACAAAGTTCAATTATGTAATAAATATATGCATAAAAATGAAACTATCATAAATTAGCAGTCAAAAACAGTAGCTGCTGATTGATGGATAATTGACCTTGTTGACATGTAGTGGATAATTGACCTTGTTGACATGTATTATATATGAATATGTAAGTGAAGTGAATGTAAGGATAAAGTACCAACTCAAACTAATTATTGTTGAAGCATAACTTTAATGACATAAGGATCTTAGTGATATGGATATGATATGCTTGCGGATATATAGACAAAATGGTACAATTGATGTTGCTGTGGTACAGATTGCTGTTAATTATGGATATTGTCAATGGACTGAATATAAATTATTGGATTATAGATGTGACCAGTGGTGTGTAAATTATTAGCGATGGTGTCCAATGAAATGTACAGCACATCACGATAATTAATCAGTTCCTTTTTTGTCACCGTGATATATTTCACAGTGTGCTTTATGCTTTATTGTTTCATACATTGATAAAAATGAAATAATTAAGCCAGAGAACATTCAATATTATATATTTCCTCGGGTGAATATAGCATCAAGGAATTTTGAAGACTAGAATGAAGTATCATTGATAGAGGGATTTGAAGATGGTTGAAAAGGATATTGTTGAAAAGCACCATCAACAAATTGTGATTGGACAAACGTTTGCCGAAGTGGGCGGTACGGGAGTGATTGAAGGATGGTGCACCAATAGACTAATCTTGTTCGGACTGATGGCACTGAACGAGTTGCTTCTGCTTTTTCTTCCTATTGGGACGTACGCTTATATTTCCGAGTCATGGGCAATGCTCACGTCTGATCGACCCTCCTCACCAAAATGTGTGGACATACCCAGAAACTTGACGCTTTGTTACGGTATACAAGTAAGTACGCAGCACAGAAACCATATCCTTCTCATCCATCCTTCACTCCCATTCTTTCATTAATTTCGTTATTCGCAAATATACTGTTACCATTCCCAGTGTAAAAGTAAATTCTTCATCACCGTCTCACATTATCTTACTGCACTGTTGATAAATTAATTAATAATTTCCAGTATTCAACAATGCGTTTGCCAAATTTATTGGAGCATGAAACAGTGGATGAAGTAATAGAGCAAGCAGCCCCATGGATACCCTTACATCGGCTAAACTGTCATCCGGATACACAGGTCTTCTGCATTCATTTGATCTACGTAGGCATACTGGATAATTTCGTTTAGTATAAACTGTAGATTACTTTTCATTAACTATGTTTCAGCTATTTCTATGTTCACTGTTTGCACCAGTTTGTCTGGCAACAATGGACCGAGAAATATTGCCATGTCAGTCCTTATGTACTGCTGTCCAACAGGTCTAATTTGCCTTAACGTTATTAAATTCGAAGATGTCGCAGGAAAATAAATGAAAATTGAAGCGTCGAAACTGAATTTCAGGGGTGTGAAAGCAGAATGAGGCAGTATGGTTTCCCATGGCCAGAAATGTTATCATGCAATAAATATCCAAAGGATAACGATATGTGCATCGGTGCTGTCTCGGAGAAGGCAACAAGTCTGTTTCTACTTGGATACTTCTAGTGCGCAACATGTACATTGCATGTCCTTAGCAGACCCGTCTATCACTTATTTCAAATGAAATTATGAAAGTGGGTAATGTGTAAGGAATAGTTGCCTTTGGGAATTTGTTAAAAGAGCTCAGACTTGGAAATAGGAGTTAAGATTGGGGCTGCTAGTGACAGGGTAGGCAACAAAGGCAGGCGCAATATTACTAAGGGTGCCGCGTGTCGACGAGCTGTCAGGCGGCATTCTTTTATCATTCACCGATTGATATCTCAGCTCGTCATATTTTCAGACCTTAGTGATACGTGTTCATCGTGCAGTCAGGTCAGCACATATGAGAATATACTCGATCATTATTGTCGATCTCAAATTGGTTTCCATTTCACATTCTTCTGCTTTTTGAAAAACCTTCTCTTCTTTAGTTTCATTTGATCCTCTTTGTAAGACTCGTTCTCATTTTCCTCCTATTATATAATTAGTTTCAATTTCTAAATGCAATTGTATCCTATTGTAGCATGTATCTTAAAAGATTCCTAACCACTTGAAATATGCGCTTCTAGCATAATGAAACGGAAAAACTCCAATTCATAAATTGATATTGAAAAGATTGGGGAACTCGGCTCAAATATTTAGATCAAATAATGTTAGATTTAGTGACTTTATTAAAAGTTCAACCCTTAATTATTCGTTAACGGTTTGAAAAAGAGAAGATATTACAGTAGTGAAGGCACGAATCGGAGGCATCAATAAATCATATGTGAGTGTGCGGAAGGCACGATCGCTCAAGAGATCTGATCGGCGCAGGTTCCTTTTTGTTTTCAGAAATAGTTTTTACAGTTTCTCCATTTAAAAATCTTATAATTTTACCACATCTAAAACTTTTTTTTGCCCATTCGATGTCTGCTTTCCAAGCGCTGAAGATCGAGGACTGCTTCTCAGGTAAAGAATGCAACCAATAGTAATTAATTAATCTGTAGAACTGGACAATACGTAGCCACCAGTAAATTTAACAATGTGCAACCTTAGGCTACATTAAAAAGTGAAAAGAACTATTCATGTGTAAATCAGAAAGTTCAGTGGTTGAAAGGTAATACGGATCAAAAGAGATACTACAAATGATTACTGGAATCAAGAAAGATTATGACAAAAATGATTAGAGCATACTACGAAATGGTGTGAAAGACATGTCAAGTAGTAGATGAAGCAACGCTTTAATGTTTTGCAAAATTGATATTATAAACTTATAATGTCAGATTTATTCAAAATCAAATTTGAAAATGTAATAAGAATGAATCGAGCAGACCATCCTGAATGTATTTTTGAATTTATTTCATACCAAATAAATTGGACATATAGACTTTTTGGCACTTCTACACAGGAGTGTAATCTGCAGAAAAAAATGACATATTCAGCAAATGATTTTTCAGATCGGTAGGTCGAGATACGGTCATTCATTTTTCTGCCAATCGCGGGTGCCCTTGTCATTTCAGTGAAACAGGGAATCTACGTTTTCTCATCATGGCTGATCAGAATGATAGAGGCGATTTTATTGCAAATCTGATACTGCCCTGGAGAAATACCGATAAGGTTAGCAGCCATCTAATAGATGAATTATGTCTGAGTTGTAGTAGAAAGATTTAAGGCAGCACAAATGATTATCTTAGTTGTGAAGTGTTATAATGTGGAGGTCATCTACGCTATAGGTTTTGAAAGGTAAAAGATCTTAGAATCTTAATGTTAATAGTGTAATATTTCAGAATAATTCAAATTTTCAGCCTTTCAAGAGAGCCATTCGAAGCTTCCGTAAATTGAATTGCCAATTCCTAGGAAGAGAAATAAGAGAAAGTGCCTATCGCAGAAGCCTTCACCGTAAAGGCCGTTGAGCATTGTTGAGTTGTTTCTACAACCACAGGATATACTGCAAAGTCTCTGCCATCTTGTGCTTACGAGTCTTTTATTATCCATGAAACCAATCTATGCAAAAATCTTTTTTCGCTCGTACTCATTTTCGTCGTACATGTAGGTAAACAAAGTATTCTCATATTGTCGTTGTACCACAAAATGAAAGGAACAGTGCAGAAATTTGGTACTCTTACTAAGCCTTATGCTTCATAATGATCCCATTCAGGACATTTCACAGTAGACACTGAAAAGTGAAATAGAGTCCGTGTAAACTACGCATAGCTTGCACTTCATCTAATAAGCGTATTTGTTGCTTATGATACGCAAATTGTCTTCATCGTATTTTCATTGCGTAAATAAATGTTCCCGTGAGCAATTTAATAGAAATATCTGCTTTGGTGTACTACAACCTTTCCCAGGCCTGCCTGCTATGTGATATCTATTTGGAAACCAGGCAAAACAGAAAATACGAACAACTCCACATAAAATTTCCAACGAAAAGCATATTCCAAATCAATTTTAATGATGAAAAGTTTTTTTTACAACAAACGTAAATTACAATTCTAGTATAAAATGACCAACGGCATTGTGCGTCCCACTTCAATTCCGAAAATGTAAATTAATTTTAATATAACAGTGAACGCTTTAGGGGAGGTAAAAAATATCTGGGCATATATATGTGATAAATATCTCTGAAACGTATTATTTAATAATACGTCAACGACAAGAACTTCCAATGAGATCAAAAGCATGTCTAAAATTCAATTAAAACTTATAGGAAGAGAACATAAACACGAACCAACGGACTTATCTTTACGCATATTACTCGACAAGCATATATATTTTATTCATTTGTGATTTTTAATTACTGTACTACCATAAGGATGTGCCATAGTAAGATATACGCTTCAAAAGTTTATACTGTTGTTAACGGGTTAACAGGTGCACTACACAGGAAAAGGAAAAGATTCTTCTCTGATTGGAATATCTCAGAACAAAACAGTAAAACTGTAAACGGGATATGATCGGATCCCATACAGGTCTCAAGTTCTAGCAGAAAGGAAAACGAATAAAGGAATTCTGATTTCCCCAATACAATCGTCGTCCGAATAGGATTGAAAGCGGAACTCACTCGAAAAACGCTCGTTAACCCATTCAATCAGCTTTAATTTCGGTTTTAAGCTGGTAACAAGAGGTCGGTCAGTATTTCGCGGTTGGTTGATGAATGAGGATAATAGCCGTTTCGTGTTCATTCATTTGTTTCTTGTTGGTAGTTTGCAGGCTGTTTGGTATTGCTAAGGAAGTTAGGTTATGAGGTGATAGTCCGACAGCTCAAGAATAATTCTTGTCTCTTTGCTTACTGGCACACTTTGAACTTTTAGCGAAGAGTATGTATGCATTGTCGTAACGAAATTTTCTTGGTAGTAGTAGGGGGATTTCGCCGAGGAGAGAAAGAGAAGGGTGAGTGAGATGCGATGCAATTTGTATGATACATTGCGTGAAAGTTCTTGCTATGTCAGGCTGAGAAATACAACACTGGTAATGAATTTCAGGACATCAAAAATGTTATCAAATGATGAGCTTACTGTTAACAAACATACCAATTCACCTGTGGATTACAATAGTAAGAAAAATTTCACAATATCAATTTCTTCGATTACGGGACACAAATGGGAACAGAGTGTAACATTATGTGAGACTGTTGACAGTTTAAAGGTAACTAGTTCTTTTGCACATTCTAAAGCTACCATAGTTTGAACTGCGTGTAAACTGAAGGCAATATGAGGTTTTGGGATTTGTTTGGAACATATCGGCTTTGTTTTTTTTGGAGCAAAGGTGCTGAATATCCTGATATTACTGAACTATAGCCACTTTATCCTGATATTACCGAACTATAGCCACTGACAGAATAAAGCCATAACTATTCTCCCTACTGCATAGAACCTATCTTCAACATTTTATTTGGCATGCGAACTGTTTACCAGGCAGTACGCATTTTGCTGAAAATTTATGAACTCTTTATGTATAATTCCTCCATTCCCAGGATTGTTGTATGCTTCCAATGCATTATGTAACACTGATATATATAACAATATATATATATATTATATAAAGCTTTGTTGTTCTCATGTGTACCTTCTACTGTATATCTTATGTAAGAATCATAATTGGTGATAGTCATGTTATCCCCAAATTTTAGATGAAAATCTGGCATCGTACAGGTCTCTACCCGTATCATCAAGGTCTAATTTTGGACGATTTATCGTTATCGGAATTGTGTGGAAAAACATTGCTTTATGAGCTTGGTATCCGAAATAACTCACTAGTGCGTCTAGTAGTCATCACAAGATCGGGACCTCTGGCATTAACAGTTCCTGAAAAACTTTCAGCGGTTCCGTGTTCTGTGCAAACTGAACAGTTAGTTTTATCTGTTTCTTTTTCATATTGTATTTGTGACAGTTATGTGGAGTGATACTTAATAAATTTTAAGCCTAAACTTCTTAAAAGCTTCTTGTATAATTTATATGTCATGTAAATCTTGCCAGCAATGTGTTTAAACATTTTCAAAGATTAGAAATTCTAGGATCATTACGGTTGCAGGAATAAGGGAGATTGTTGGGATGAATTACGTTTCTTCGATGAACAGAATTTGGATGCAAATCGTCGTACTTTAGTCCGAATGTGCGAGCTGCGACGGCAGATGAAACAGAGTACGTCAACGAAATCGATTTCTAGCGTAAGTTTCATATCACCGGTACAGTAAAGTGGACAATTGGTAGTGTAAATGTTTATATAGGTAAGAGTTCAGTGCAATATACTAATAAGCAAGTTACTGATTGATAACGAAGCCAGAAAATGTTTGGTCCGATATTTTTTTTAGCAGTATTTTCGTTTCTTGTAATTTTTTAAAATATTTTGGATGGTGTTGTCGTCAGCCAATAGTTTTGGGGATTAAAGTCTCTTTCTCTCATTCAAATAAATTTGTTTTTTCCAACAATGGAACTGGAAAATTACAATTTCGAACAGTCTGGAGTATTCACTTTCGATTATAAATATGAATTTAGGGAGACGAGTGGACTTGTCATAGATCTCTGGAGTACTGACTCGTTAAACTGATCTATATTTTGGATCTTTGCTTCCATCTTTTTCTGATTTGAATCATGATAGAAAAACGCTGTTAATACTAAGATTTGTAAATCGGATTCCAGGAGAAGCAAGTGCTTTCGGCTCCAGAAGATACGAGTGCTAAAGAAAGTTCTGCTGGTGATACAGAATGTGATGACGATATAAGCTGTTCTTGTAGCAGTACCACCTCTTCTGCCAAGGTATTAGTTGAAAAAGCATTCACTTATTGAAAAACAGCTAACGTGTTACCTGCAATTTAATTTTTTTGGTGTACATGTAACGTCTAAGTTACTTTAGGTTTTCGAAGCAGCACCATTGTCTGGAACAAAAAATGGCGATAGAAGAGTTCGCCAGAATGTTAGTAAAGGTTCTGTTTTCAATGGTTTTAAGGGATTCAGAGTGTTCACCTTCTTCATACTGCTTTTCTTTAGAAGAAACGCCAGATCTTTGCCAGAGCGAATCAGTGAATAATTCTCGTGATCGACTACTTATCATGATGCATCCGCGTGCCGCTTCGCCTACAGCAGATTTGAATACTCATTCTGAGAATGGCTCTGATTTCTCCTCTGGAGTGGTGGTTTGTGATCTCAGCAACGAATTCAGAAGGTATCCATTAAATTGCAATCTCTACTCATTCCTCGCTCATTTTAATGCGAAGAAATCTAGGTTGACTGCTGTCTTCAATTTTCACATTTCTCTGGCATCCCGCTCTCCTTCCATTTCAGTTCCAAAGCCATGATCATCAGCAGTTTCATTGTGAAGAATCTAATTCTTCAACCGCTATTTCTAGGTTACGTGTACGCCGTAAACATCATGGAATGAGTAATGGATCTGCTTCTATTCAAAGAACTCGAGCCAGAAGCAAACCAAGAATACCACTTACAGCTCTTTCTCATCATCACAGAGTAGGTACTCCTTGTTGCTTTCCTGTTGTCTCAATTAATATGATCTTCATTTTGCTTATGTAACGCTGGACATGCAACCATTTTCAGAGAGCTAAGTTTGTATATATCAAAGAATTAGTGTTTTCTAATTCCAAAAAATCTCCAGTTTTCAAGAAATTTGAGAAAAATTCCCTTTGCCAAAGTAGTGCATACTAGTGGTTATAGAATACTTTTCTTAGAATAATTTGTTTCTCTGTCAATATTTTCATTAAACAGATCTGTTGCTAGGCTGCTAGCAGATAAATGCGCTGTTTATATTGATAATCTCATCTGCTGACAAGTGTCAGTTCCAACACTTCAGCGTTAGTCAGTGCAAGTTGCAAGAAAAAGGAATAGTAGCTCTGAATTGAGAGAAAATTTTACTTGAAGGGATCAGATGTGACTTCAAGCGATGACGAGTTTCCACATCGACGTATAACCGAAGCAAACTTTTCATGCTCGGCATTTCGTCGTCCTTCAGCCGTTTCACGGGCACAGAAAGTTCTTATTGGGTACCAGTCACAGCAACGTTGCAGTGCATGTGCTGTCAAATTAAACAACTTTTCAGTTGCATTTCAGTGCAGGTGAGCAATATTTCGAACAATAGTTTGTTTTTTTTTTTTTTTTTTTTTTTTTTTTTTTTTTTTTTTTAGCATTTTTAGCGGTTTTTTACATCTGTGTTTTCAGGTGCGGCAAAACTCTGTGCACTCGACATCGCCCTGCTGGAATGCACACATGTACCCGTGTTCGTAAACTGCAGGATGTCAGCGACTGAAAGCGTTAAGTTTTGGTCATATATTTAGTTACATAAAGTGTAGATATATTGTTTCTAGTAATTCTCAATTTCAGAATCATGCAAAGAAAAAGAATTTCATCATCGACCACCATCCCAATTTAAGAGGTCAATGCCATCTGTTCGCTACTTCACTTATTGTCGAACTGCACACATAACGGATTGCATATATTAGCAGTGTTGTTCCTTACTAGTAAATGTGTTCTTTATATCCTAACTCTTTGAAAATGAATTGATCAACAGTGCTTTCAGGTTGATAATTGAGAGTGACGGCCAATATACACTCCAATTATTTCCCGCTATTTCATTATATTTTCATCTTCAAAATTTTTAAGAGTAACGAAAAGATTAAGAGTTATCATTGCTTTTCCATAGCATGTATGTAAACGTATCATTAATGTAACTTGCTGATGTAAGTTAAGTTGGTTAAATCAATATTCGAATACCTACGATGTATACGATAAATCTCTTCAGCCACTCAATATCGCTCTTTTTTTAAGATGTATAAAATTTCGTCTGAAATATAAACTAAACCATAAGTGTGAAAAAACACGTTCGATAACTGATTAACGTTGACTTTTTAGTCCATCAGCTCGCATTGATATTTGCATACAATTTTTACTTGGAAGTATGAACGATTGAACTTAAGCTATTTGGATAACAGAAACTTGTAATACAGTATACTTCTTATTTATGCTTGAATAAAATCGGATGACGCTTAAACAGTTAAACCCGCCTCTTTCAACTGCGCATGTAATTCTTGAGGATATTATCTTGAGTGATCTGATGTTCCTTTATGCCATTATACAGCTTTTATATGTCTTTCTTGAACAAATAAAGCTCGGGGAATGTTTTCGGTGCATTATACAAATAATCTCGAGTGTCGGAGTATAGCGCTGCTTTTAAGCTTCATATAATTAATTTCTTGCATGATCACGTAAGGCATCTCCGCAGTGGTGTAGGTGGACCGAAATGAAAAGTACAATACACTTTCTAATTCCCTCGAGATTCCTAAATTGGACAAACTGTCGGACAGCTTACCAGTGTTTCTGCATCAACAAGTTTGCTGCACGCTTGTAGTTATGTCGGTGCGAGATGTAGTAAAAGCAGATTGAAGATGTCAGCAGCTGTTCATTGCTTTTGCACTTAGATTGGAGCATGCTAAACAGAGTTGGGTGGTACTTTTGCGTAACTTTAAGGTACTAGTCAGCTTAAAAGCTACTTTTAGGGCAGTATGCATGTATAGAAACAGTTATTCAAACGGCATTGTCAGGGCAGTTCCGAAATCTTTTCGTACGGAACTTTTTATGAATGGAAATTGAAGAAATATTATAGTCTTATTATCGAAGCAAAATTTCCGCGTGTGTTACCTTTTATCCTATGAATAATATTGGAGTGCTCGTTTCTGTATGGAATGAATTTCGACTCCCCTCTTAAGACATGGTTAAGAAGCAGTCAGTGAATAACATTTATCCATTCGTTACAGCGGAAAAAAAAACTCCCAAACGCGTCAACTAAATCGATTAACCTTTTCTAATGACGATCTGTGAAGTACTCCTTCAGGATTTGTAAACATTTGCTCCTATTATGATTAGACTTCGGAATAGTTATGTAAAGACCAAGTTAGTAATAGTGCTGAATACAAAACATGCCGCTGAAAACAGCAACCGTTCACGGTCAAGCTTTTTAAAGACGTCTTGATACCTTAGAAGATCGTATTCCTTGAAAGTGATTTATTACTAGATTTGTGAGCGAGATTATGAACATAAAAGATACGAACAATACATTCGTGAAAACAAAGTCACCTTAAGCCAACAATTTCTTTTACTCTGCTCACTGTTTACAGTACCACGACGCCAAATTTTACTGTAGATTTCGAACTCGAACTCCAGAATAGCAACTGGACCATTTTTACATGTGGAGAGTCTGTAGAGTAGAAGTTTAAGAATTACAACTTACCTACTGTAGCATCCCAATGAAGATATAATCATCACAGTAAATAAATAAAAATTTACATCAGACGAGAGAAAAGCCATAGCCAACAAGTCTGGTTTAATTTCAAATTAATTCAAAAGAATAGGGGCATTAGAAGTGCGACAAACTTGAATGCAAAACAGAATGACTGCCTCACACAGACCACTGCAAAGAATAGGTTAATTGATGGGTAGTTGATATGAAAGTTATACATATAATAGTCAGTTCATTCCATATATCTTTTTCAGAACGTCTTAAGGGACAAATCGAAATTCATTCTACATATTCAACAAACAAGCATTAAATTAGTTTTATACATAAGGCGGTTTTTTCTGTTTTCGATGATGGTCTGTCATCATTTCCTATATGTGCCCTTGAATGGAGTGAAATTCAAGGCCCAATGGAGTCTCGGTTTACTGCAATTACTGGAGGTTTTATTCATTACTGTCATCCTCCATACTATCTATCCCTAGACGAGGAGCCTATCCTACAGTTTTGACCAAAACAACATTTGTTGGACATTTTTTCAAATTAAAAATGTAATTTTCTTCCTGTGTTCCTTCTGAAAGATCAAAATGAAATGGTTTTTTCTCATGCGAAAAAAATTGGTCAGGATAAGGGATTGATAGTATGGAAGGTGATGCTTCTTGTCATAGGGAGAACACCTCTTTCATCGATGCCTCAGATAAACTCGCTCTTGCATATTTAAAATTCAGATCAATTTGGTCAGGATTGTCAGACCGACGGAGAGACAGGCCTGCATCCACAACTCCGCCGAATCGATTCAACCCCATCACAAACAGCACCATCACCACCACTCTCCTCCGCTCCGAGGCGATCGAGCAGGCAGAGACATGCCTCTTTTCTGTTCGTCGTTGCACCTCCTACCTTCCGTACTCTCTGGGTGGTGTGGCAGAGCAATTGTTGTTGGATTAGGATGAGTATTGAGGATGGCGCTTGATGTGGGCATCCGGTGCTGCTTATTGTGTCCTCATTGAGCCCCGTGCAAGACTGTTCTCAACTCATGTTTCTAACACTCGTTATCTCACTCTCTCCCTTTCTTAGGCAATTTTACGGCTTGGCTCATCCCGAAATTTGAAAGAGTAAGGCCCTGCTATGTGCTCTTGTTTGTCTATCCTATTCCGTGGTTAAAATTAACTGGTTTATCCATAGTAGTGCTGCAATTTAAGGTTACTGCTCATTTTTTTGTCGGAAGGGTCATTAAAAATGCTCACTTTCATAGGTTTCTGCCTTCTTAATTCATTCATTTTCATTTTTTATCACTTGCATATCATCTTAACTGTTTACCGGTTGACTCGTAATAGCAACGAAAGATTAGCAGCCAACCCGGTTATGAATTTAACCGGTTATTCTTTTATGTGGTTGGTACTTATTGGCAAGTCGTTTTGCATGTGAACACATTACCATTGAATCTATCATCGAAAAAAAGTTGTTTTTACAGATGAAATACGAATGCTTCCCTTCAAAGGTTAAAGGGAACGCCTAGTGTTTATCTGCCTGCTGAATTACATATACAATGGGCAGTCACGGGAATACTCTTTGTTGCGGAAAGTGTTCAAATAGCCTATTTCTTTTTGCTTATCATAGTGATGACTAACATTTGCCACTCATAATGTCATCCAGTCACTATTTCTGCACTCATTAATTGTTACCTTTACTAATTGCTATATATCATAGTGATAATGACACCATGAAGTAACATCAATGAGCAATGAGGCAATATGGTGCGACTGAATGAACGTAGTGTTGGTGCAAATGAAGCGTATGGAATGAGGAGACTATATCATTGTTTGTTTTTTGTAAGGTTTTTAGAAAGCATCTGCGGTATCTGATCTTGTTAGGACTATGAGAATGAATAATGATCTTGGAAGGACAACCAAGGTTCGGCTTAAAGTTGCTTTCCAGGTGTAATTCGAAAAACGTTGGCTGAATGGTGCATTTTAGCACTGTGTCAATGTCATTGTAAAAGTGTGTCTTGTTGACATCGTGTTCTGTCATTCTTGTTTCTTACTCTGCGAAATTATTAATCTCTTTCGTGATGTAAAGGAAGGAATGTGTCTCATTCAATGGAGGGCAAGCAGATGGTTGCAAAATATTGTTATACAACAGAATTCGGTTTGTACCATTCTCTGCCGATGCATTTGAGATATGCTACCCTCAATATGAGACGTTAATTTAGAAGTCTGCCGATGGATTAAACACCCATTGAAACAATAATACTTTATAACCACCAAATTCACTTTAAGTATGGTATTCCTGCAGTACTGCTATTATGTCGACGTTATTAGAATTGTGGACGACAGGCGAAAGGTTACGTATTTTAGGCAGTACTCGTAAAATACGAATTTGCTAAGTTCTGTTTCTTACATCACCAATCTTTTATTACGTAATAATACATAACACTACTAAAAGTACATAATTTATCATTTTATTGAGTACTTTTGCTACTATTCCAGTCTTTCAGATGTCTTACTGAAAATGTCATTATTCCTTAATATATATACATGAGGATGTATAGTCGTGGTTCAATTGTACTTTCATTTAAGAATTGATATTTATCAGGCTGTAATAAAAGGTTTGTATATTGTACGTAAGGTTTACGTAGCCACTAGATATTCCAATTATATGAGGAGAGATCGAAGTAAACATTCTTAAGTTTTCTATCGTTACGCTATTTAGTATTTCATTTGTGTCATGGGAACTGTTCTCTACTGCCCACACTAGCGCATTCCGTACCGACGTTACTGCATTACGGGAACATCGATGCATTCAAGTGTTGATAGTGAAGATTCTCTCCTTTAAATGTCAACTTATTGAAAGTTTTGTATCACCATCTTAGATTAATTTTTGGACAACTTTTCATTGAAGTAACCGCGCTGTGGTCATATATGTAAGGAGTAAGATCGCATACATTTTTTACGCAATTGTTACTGTCTTCTGTCCATTGTTTGTTGGGAAAGCGTTTAGGAGTAGCTATTCATCTTCACTTTAATTATACATTTGAGATTTGTTACTCTTTTGTCCTCACTGCAGTTGTTGCTTGCGGATGATTCAACACGGGTTGTTTACTCTGTCCATTGATTGCTTTTTGCCATTTTTTCCTGATATCATCGTGTTAACTGATGCAGATGATTTTCCATTATTCTACTGCATACTAGTGATGAAGGTTTACTGTACTGCCAGTGATCCCATTGATGCCTTTTTCTTGATTGCCATTGCACTGCATTCTCATAGCATTATCACCCTGCCAAAATGTCTTCAATATGGAGATTTTTTTCCACTCGATGTCGGCCTTTTCAATGTTTTGTGATAAGTAAAGGTAGTTAGTGTTTGTAACTATAACCATCTATTGCTCGTTTATCTCTGTATATGTTTGTTCACGTTTTAAACAAAAATGAGGAAAAGTGTAAAACGAAAGTTTTGCAGGCGGGTGACTGATACAACTCAATTATTGATGAGTAATCCGGTAATCGGGGCAGGTGGCTGGCCATTAGAATCGCCAGAATCACAGCAGCAACAAATACCTTCAGATAACAGTCAACATTCCAATAAAGTATTGATTTATAATTTGCGCATCTTCTATGGAAACTACGTAAATATTTAAACACTTCTAATACATGGAGGGCTCAAATAAAATGAGGGACTTTACAGGGTGAGAGCAGTGCAAGTTTTTTGCGAGCAGCACGTGCTGGAAATCTAGATCGTGTACTTGAACTACTGCGTTCGGGCACTGATATCAATACGTGTAATGCAAATGGACTCAATGCGTTACATCTGGCTTCCAAAGAAGGTCATCATGAAGTGGTCCGCGAACTTCTGAAGCGAAAAGCAGATGTTGATGCTGCTACTAAGGTTACATATGTGAATCCTTTCGCCGTTTTCCTTCTGTTATTGACAGTTTGCTTTTAGTATTATTGTTTTTGCTACAGGATATTTGGCCTTGTCGCAATCAGTAATATTTTCAGAAGGGTAACACAGCGTTACACATAGCGTCATTAGCAGGACAGGAACTAATCGTCACAATACTTACTGAAAACGGTGCTAATATTAATGTACAATCACTGAACGGTTTCACACCACTCTATATGGCTGCGCAGGAGAATCACGAATCTGTTGTACGCTATCTTCTTGCGCACAATGCTAATCAAGCTTTAGCTACAGAGGTTTGTTGTCTTCACCGTTACCTATCTTCATTTTTCTTTCCTCCTTTATCACGAAACAACAAACAAAAAAAAAAAAAAGCATTGTACTATATTTATTCAGCCAATTCCAAACGTAAAGTTTTTCCTTTCGAAGCATAAGGTAGCTAATGCATGATACGCAGGAAAGGAAGACATTACTTGTTTGCAATTACAGGAATTAGGTAGGTAGTGACTGTCCAATAGCTGGAAAAACTCATAAGTTCATCCTCGTTCATCTTTACGTCCAAAGTTTTTTGTTTTTTAAATGCTGTTGGGAAGGTAGAAAATCTGTTTGACATAGGTTAGTTGTTTGAATTCGGGTGATTATTATGAATCTCTTGATATTGACATGACATCAGAATTTGTTTAAAGTTAATTCGGGTGCTTCTTTGTAATTGAGGTGATTGCTATAAGTCATTTGTTCCACCGTTTCTAGTCAGTTGTGATCCAATACGTTTGGTTGATAGTTAGTGTTTTTTCTCATACTTTCGACATTGATTAGAGCATTTTGCCAAATAACTCTCGTCAGAAAATCTGAAGCCTAAATAAGGTAGTATATAGGACCTCATGGGTTACTTGTATTCGTTTTTTTCAACATTTCTCATCTGTTGCCATTTTTGCACTGTTGTGGATGCAGATCAAGAATCTAGGATTTTACGTTCAAGAAGAGATGATGCTTAAGGTTACCTGTTCCCTTGTTTTGGAATAAAGAATTAAAAATGTATCGCAATAAATATGTGATATTCCAAGAATATTTGATCAGATTTCTGTGATTACGTGTAAACATCGAATATTAAAAAGAATCATTAAGAAAATTGCATCCTTCCACTTTCCGCAAATACAGTTTTGAATGAATTAAACTGTTTTTCTGAGAATTTAATGTCTTTATTTCTTCAGCAGAAAACTTCACATATAAAACTTTTAGTTAATTTAAAATTTTAATTCTTAGAATTTGTTTTCCCACATTGGATGATTTTATTTCTCTCAAATGATGGCTTTCTTAAAATAGCTTATTGTATAGTCATAAGAAATTTTAAATTTACTAGTGTATATTATATGAAAAAACGACTTCATTATTCAGCTTATTCACTTTTCACTCTCATATTATTTTCTTCGCCCAGGGTTTCTTGTTCACTATACTATTAGAATTGATATCCTACACGATATTATGTTTGAACTTTCTATTTATAGGATGGTTTTACGCCACTAGCAGTTGCTTTGCAGCAAGGTCACGATCGTGTTGTAGCTCTTTTACTTGAGAATGATACACGCGGAAAAGTGCGCCTGCCGGCATTACATATTGCCGCTAAAAAGGATGATACAAAAGCAGCTACGTTACTACTTCAAGTTAGTCCTGTTTTATTAAAATAATTCTTGAGATGATTTTTATTCGTACTCAGCAACTGAATAATATTTTGACACATTTCCTTTAGAGATGCTTGCCTAGGAAAAGAGATAGTTTTTTTCATAAGTTCATTTATGACAAAATCAAGATGCATAGTAAAGTGATGTATCTTCATCTACGGGCGGCGGATAAAAGTTAGTTATTAGTATGTGTTATTGCTAAAAAGGATGATGCGAAAAGGACCAAGAAACAAGAATTGGTTTCGAAGAAGCAGGGATATTCGGGATGCATTATCCATGTTTCATAAAGGCTCAGAGAAATCGATTTCAGAATGAGCACAATTCGGATGTGACTTCGAAAAGCGGTTTCACCCCGCTCCATATCGCCGCTCACTATGGAAATCAAAACGTTGCGCAACTGCTGCTAGAAAAAGGAGCTAATGTGAATTATCAAGCGAGACATAATATAAGGTATGTAAATGCTGAAATACTCATGAAATAATCAGCTTAAAAAATCATCTTAGTGAATGGAAACGCGGGGAGGAAAGAAACTTGGTCGGAAATGAGTGCCTCAATTTTCCCTAAAATCCCAACAGCGAAGTACAAAGTGTTGGTTAAATGAGGATAAGCCTTTCAAGTTTGTGCCTTAGATGAGTTCGTTGTTGTTAGCAACATATAGTTAAAGAATTGCTTCCGATTTACTTTCATTTCAGTCCCTTACATGTCGCAACAAAGTGGGGACGGGCGAACATGGTTTCGTTGTTATTAGCTCATGGGGCCGTAATTGACTGTCGTACGCGTGATTTATTAACACCGTTACACTGTGCTTCTCGTTCGGGCCATGATCAAGTTGTTGATTTATTGCTTGAGAAAGGAGCTCCAATCAGTGCTAAGACAAAAGTAAGTACTGTTTTGATACAGTTTCAACATGCTCTTCCTGTTAATGTCTTTCTGAAAGTTTCTAGCAAATATCATCAGGACAATCGAATATAAACATTTGCAGAATGGTTTGGCTCCTTTACATATGGCAGCACAAGGTGACCATGTGGATAGTGCTCGAATTCTACTGTATCATCGAGCTCCAGTTGATGACGTCACTGTTGATTATCTCACTCCTCTTCATGTGGCTGCTCACTGCGGACATGTTCGTGTCGCTAAGCTTCTGCTGGATCGTAATGCTGACTCAAATGCTCGGGCTCTTAATGGCTTCACACCGCTGCATATCGCTTGCAAAAAAAATCGCATTAAGGTTTTTTTTTTGCAACAAATTAGCATTTAATATTATACTTATTATTTGTTTTTATTTCTTTTTATTTATCAATTGCGGCTGTTTAGATTGTCGAGTTGTTGTTGAAATATCACGCTGCCATCGAGGCAACCACAGAGTCCGGTCTGTCGCCGCTGCACGTCGCTGCATTCATGGGTGCTATAAACATCGTCATCTATTTACTGCAACAGGTCCTTGCTTAACTTTTTTTGAAAGATTAAGCTATTGTACATTTTTTGGTATTAATGTATTCATCTTGTGGATTTTCCCACACTTGAGAGCTTATAACTGGGATAAATATCTTTCCTTTCGTTTTTTCATGTAGTTTATAATTTTACTCATCTTTTATTTCATGTGTATCTGATCTTGTGTTATATATCTCTAATAGTAAATGAGTGTGATTTTTTCAGTGATCTTTGCATTCCATATGTCTTTTTTTTCTGTAAGATCTTTTTTACAATTATCAGTACGCAGGCTGATATAGTCAAAGAAAAAAAGAAATTAAAGATATAGACTGATTGTAACGTTGTGCAGAAATTTCACTAAGAAAGAAATATAATATCAATAACCCTTCTCCAATTTAGGGTGCTAATGCTGATGTTGCTACAGTACGTGGTGAAACACCTCTTCATTTAGCCGCACGAGCAAACCAAACTGATATAGTCCGTGTTTTGGTGCGTAATGGAGCCCAGGTTAGTCGACGTCCCAATACTTAAACATTTATTGATAATTATTTTTTTGCAGGATTTATAGCATTTCTCACTTCATCCTACAGCATTCTATGTTTCGAGTTTCGTAAAGAAAGTTTGTACATATTGCTCCTTCCTCCTTAGATCGTGTAAGATCGAAATTCTTTTGCCACAATTGTATTTCAATAATTTTTTTACAGGTGGATGCTGTAGCACGTGAGCTACAAACTCCATTACACATTGCATCACGTCTTGGTAACACCGACATTGTCGTCTTGTTGCTACAGACTGGTGCGTCACCAAATGCTGCTACACGGGATCTCTACACTCCGCTTCATATCGCTGCCAAAGTAAGATTAATGGGAAAGAAGAGTATATATTCTTGTTTAGTCTAAAACCTTTAAATTATTCAGTTTTCAAATATTATAGGAAGGACAAGAAGATGTGGCTGCAATATTGATGGATCATGGAGCCGACAAGGCATTGCTTACTAAGAAAGGTTTCACACCATTGCATTTAGCTGCTAAATACGGCAATTTGGCGGTAGCGAAGTTATTGCTGGAACGAGGAACACCAGTTGATATTGAAGGCAAGAACCAGGTAGCTTGAGTCATCGTTGCTGAAATGTCATAAAGTAGCTTGGCTTTTTAAGTTCTAGAGAAAAACTTTCAGCGTGGTAGACACTAAATTGTTTATGATTATTTGCAGCTCTTGTCCTTATTTCACTGCAAATGTATGCAGTGGGGAGAACTATTGATAAACGAAAAATTTACAAACACCAGCGACCATTCCATTTTAGGTTACACCTCTGCATGTAGCGGCACATTACAACAACGACAAGGTGGCGTTGCTACTTTTAGAAAATGGTGCTTCTGCGCATGCTGCTGCCAAGAATGGATATACTCCTTTGCATATTGGGGCGAAGAAGAATCAGATGGATATTGCTAGCACTCTTCTTCATTATAGGGTACCGCTTTGCCATCTACCTTCCTCCGTTTTGGATGTATTTGATTGCGTAAATCTTTAATTTCTTTTTGCTTTGCCTGAATGGCGGATCTTCATACAGTGCTTGATGTTAGATGTTATTTGTGTAGAAGCAGTTCACTTTTGCGTAAAAGTTATCGCTATTTTTGACATATTTGTTTTTTTTGAAGGCAGATGCGAATGCTGAAAGCAAAGCTGGATTCACACCACTCCATCTTGCTGCCCAAGAGGGTCATCGCGAAATGGCTGCTTTACTAATCGAAAATGGAGCAAAGGTAGGCTTAGCAAATCAAAAAGGTAGAAATAAATTTAATTAAAATACGTAATATTCTTATTACTTATATTGACGTATTAGTTTCGCAGAGCAAAAAACTGGTGGTTCATTAAAGTGTAGCGCGTATAGCGGTTGTTGCATACTTCAGGTCGGAGCTCAGGCAAGGAACGGTTTGACACCAATGCATCTATGTGCACAAGAGGATCGTGTCAGTGTAGCGGAAGAGCTGGTGAAAGAAAACGCAGCCATTGATCCCAAAACTAAAGCAGGATATACGCCGTTGCATGTTGCTTGCCATTTCGGTTTGATTTTTTCTATAATGGATTTCTATACATGCGCATTTTGCGAATTATAACATTGAGAGCTTTTCAGGACAAATAAACATGGTGCATTTCTTGATTGAGCATGGTGCACCGGTTTCATCCACTACACATGCTTCCTATACTCCGTTGCATCAAGCTGCTCAACAAGGACATAATAATGTTGTGCGTTATTTGTTGGAGCATGGTGCTAGTCCAAATGTCCACACATCGGTAATAATTAATGTTAATGTTATGTCGTCTTTTTGACAAGCTTATGTGGAAAAGTGCGTTAAAAGTTGAGGTGAGCATTTAAGAAAATAAGAGTGGTGTCGCTACAGTGAAGAGTTCGTAAGAAAAGAGAAAGTGTATCTTCAAGGTGATTAGAAGTTGCATTTTGGGATTTAACATTTTCGTCTTACAGACAGGACAAACTCCATTATCGATCGCTGAACGTTTGGGCTATGTGTCCGTGGTTGAGGCGCTTAAAACAATTACCGAGACTACCGTGATTACGGAGACCACGACTGTTACTGAGGAAAGGTATAAACCTCAAAATCCCGAAGCAATGAATGAAACCATGTTTTCTGATTCAGAGGATGAAGGTATATTCTTTAGTCTAGTCGAATAGTAATATATAGTGAGTGATTTGCTAATCAGTTTTTCACGTTGTCTTTGCAGAAAGCAGTGCATTATTCATTAAGCGAGCTTTGCTTAGTATTAGACTGGAATAAATCAGTAACATATCTTTTAGTTAATCCAATAAGATTCACACACTCCTCCCAACGCAGTTTTTTATCAGTTTTTTTTTCCTTCTCTAATTGCTGTTGTGCTAGATCAAAAAATTTTTCGAAAGATGACGAAAAACTCCGGTGACTTAGCAAAAGCAATGAAATTTAGAAAAAATGTAACTAGCAAGTAGACGATATATTTCGGTCACAAATACCTGCATAGGTCTTCAATCAAAAATACAAAAATTAGGTTCAGAAAAGTAAGTTCCATATGTTACACGAATTTGACGACAAAAGACATTATTGCGCCTAGGCTTTTATGTTTTCCACGACTAGTTTAACTAGTTATGTGTTGGATAATTCTTGACATTAACAAGGTTTCTGTGTTCTAAATGTATAGTTTTCAATTATTTCATGTGGAAATTTGTTAGCAAGAAAATAAGTATTCGGTGCGAACATAAGTATTAAAATTTCAAAATTAGTTGCCTTGCTACAAGCAATAACTGAATGCAGTGCTCTCATTGGGGGATGACGTGATTCTCTTGCGTTGTATTAATATTACATGCATAGCATTGAGTGGTAGTTCAGTAACATTACTCATGAAGGTTGGATTAGCAATTGTTATGGTTGTGTTGCTGAATGCTGCTGCTATTGTTGTTGTTGCTGTTGTTGTTGTTGTTGTTGTTGTTGTTGTTGTTGTTGAGCGTTTGTTCGTCGATTCAGCACCGAATACGTTGGAGGAAGACGCGTCACATCTTCGTGCTCTGGCACATTCGCCGTTACGCTTGTCAACATCAGATGACCATGACCTGAGCTTCTTTCCCAATCACACTTCAAGCCCCTATCCTTCACCTGGAGCTACTCTGATTTATTTATCACGTATGGTTTTTTCATTTCTTCCTTTTCGCATTTTAATACTTTTTTATCTGTTTTTGATTTATACTTTTTGATTTCGAATTAATATAGAAATATCACTTCCCACAGTTTTTTCATGGATTACAATCCATAAATATTAGTTATTAATGCGCGAACTGAATGGGATGCATCGTGTTCGTTCATGTACTTGTGGCTAATTAATATGTTTGCGGTGCTGTTGATGGTGATGATAAGAGTAGTGGTGACAATTTGTATTTACACTGTAATTACTAACCCTCATTGAGGTTCCTAAATTACTGTTATTTATTGCATAGATCTATTGCATACAGTTCTGTCAGCGCAGTGCCGCTGAAGTGGCTGTTGTGCAACTTGATTTTGTATGCAGAGGTATCTCTGTTGCAATTGGATCAACTCTGTACTAGTTGAGTCTTTCTTCATTACACAACAGTAACATGCTTTTATCAGTGACAATACGTGTAACAATTTACCGCGAGACATTAGGGGTCGCCATTGTCAATTTTTGCATGAATAGTGGTGATACAATTTCTCATCTGATGAATGACTCACATTTTTTTAGCGAGAATTGATAGATTTTTATTCGTTTTAGGGAGTTGTGATGCTCTTTCGGATTTTTATCTCTTCTATTCTTCCCTAGATTGGTTGTTCTGAATTTATACCTCTTTAATTTTTTTGCAACTGAAATTCTAATAGGTGATATAGCAATGCCAATGCCTCTGTTTTTCATTTGGTACGTTCCCTTCCATATACGTTCCTCTTCCCTCTCCTTCCTCCTTCTTTACCTGCATCTCTGTGTATACAATCTCATGCGCGCCGTTATCACTTAGACTAGGTCAATTCACAGAAAAGTTGTTAGATGTGAGGTCAGTGACCATTGAGACTGTACTCAGGAACGGCTCCGTCACTGTTCATCCTTGAATAACGAGCACAGCTATCGTTAAACTTGTTTAGTTTTCAAAAAGTGTTATTGCGTTTTGTCACTGCATCGGAATAACTTTGTAATTTTTTTGGTTCTTTATGAATTCATTTTCCTGCTTGATGCAATGTCAGATAAATGTCGTACGAAGTAGAATAGCCTTTGCTATCTGAGATATGACCTTGACATAGTTCACAACTCAGATAAGAGCTCCCGCATATTCTCTAATGGATGCTGAAGTAACTCTAGTGTATGCGCTAAAGGTTTGTTGCAGGTGAAGATAATCAGATCACAGCCAATGCTCATGCCCATGATTTCTCAGAAAGCCTCACAAAAGGTTTGCACGACTCAGCTGGAGTGCATTTGATTCATGCTACAGAACCGGTATTTTTTTGCGTATTGTGTTGGTTACCCAATGTGTTATAAATATGATCACCTTTTTTAAAACGTCCATGGTTTATTTTTTTTGGTTTCATTTCGCCGATTTATAAGGTTCTCGTGATTTACAATTATCACGAACTTTAAAAAAGTGTGCTGGAGGAGAAAATGATTCATTCTATTACAGGAAATGTTTTAAATGGCTTGTAAAAATCCAAAATTTCTAGTGGTTACTATTATATAGTGCTCTATTCTTCATTTGGGATGCAAAAAGAGACTTTCCACTCTTAAAGTGTCTTTCAACGAAAATTAACTGCAATGTGGTGTATCGAATAAGTTGTGTGTATTTGCAGATGCTGTCGCGAAGCCCGGAAGTGGAAGGCACGGATGGCGATCTGGATGCTTTAATTCGCAAAGCACAAGTAATGCTTTTATGTCTTGTCATTTGATGAATATAAACAAAAAATTATTTACTGTGTTCTGTTTATGAGCATAAATAGATTAAAGCAAATTGAGGACAACCATACCCAGTTCCACTTTCAAATGTCTTTAGTAGATGTGAAACATACGGGGCTTCGTTTTATATTTAACTCATGAAGTAGACAGCTTTAACCTTTATAAACCTTTGCTCGCTGTTATAACAAAATTCTTTCTAGCACGAACCCGTTACTACAGCTATGGTCGACTCTTCTTTGGATGCGTTGCTTCCTGATAATGTTGCAATAACGAGAACCACCGTGCAACCTAGGTAACTTCAGTTATTGTTGATTGAATATAGGAATGTTATCTGATTACTCAGATTACTCAGGGTTATAATACTGCAGCGGTTCATTTAATGCAGCAGTTTTTCTTCAGAAAATCCATCCTGCTGATCCTCATCATCGCTAGATCTTCTCTTTTTGATGAGATTGGATCTATAGAACTAGTATTGTTGAATTTATGATTTATTTCTAATTTCAGCAAACTTCTCCACAAAACGTGAGTTTTTAATATTAGTTATATGTAGTTTGGGCGCTGTGTCGTACGGCACGTTCTGTTTTTTTTATTCTTTCTGAAGGCGGAGAATTGTCTTGATTCAGTTTTTCACTTTTTAAAATAGATCAAGAATATTTGTTACGTTCTGTCTTGGTGGGATCTAATAGCACTATAAAGTTGTCGTTCGTTTCTGAAAATCAAATTTTATTGACGAAATATTTTCTTGATTTATTTTAAAACTTCCGGACTCGGATTCCCCTACCTCTGGAACTGACATGCTGTCCGGCTACCACTTTGCGCTTTGAATTATATGTGCTTTCTGCACTTTTTACTGCTTGTTATGTATTGAAACTCTTTAAACTATCTTGCGTAGACATTTGTTTCTAGTTTTTATTTCAAAGAATTTTCAAACTTCAAATACATACCCGTGAACTTTATGGAAACCATTAGAGTTTAAATTACACTGAAATGGGCTTCATTTATTTATTTTGTTACTTCCCTTGAAACAATGCCTGCTAAAAATCAGCTCCGCTTTCACTGGTATAACTGAATGCCTTGATCAAATCTCTTGTTTTTGATGGTGAAAGTTCGCCCGTGGTCTCATAAACTTCGAGCTTCTAGAATTGAAAGAATAGCAGCACTAACTTGCGGCTTTCACGCACTCATTTGTCGTTTCATTATTAAAATAAACAGTATTTCAGCTTTTTAATTTCGTTTATGGTGGACGCGCGTGGAGGAGCAATGCGTGGTTGCCGGCATTCTGGTGTCAGAATCATTATACCGCCAAGAAAAGCACCACAGCCCACACGCATTACATGCAGATATCTTCGAAAAGTATTTATTTTTAATTTTGGTTCGGAATGCATTAATTGGACTTAATTTTAGAGAGTTTTGTATCCCATGCTTTATTTATAGGATAAGTTAGCACATCCACCACCGCTAAGTGAAGGTGAAGCACTTGCCTCGCGTATACTTGAGATGGCACCACATGGAGCAAAATTCCTGGGTCCTGTTATATTGGAAGTGCCACATTTTGCATCACTTCGTGGGCGAGAGCGAGAGATTGTCATTTTGCGTTCCGATGATGGACAGCACTGGAAAGAGCATCAGCTGGAGGCAACAGAAGACGCTGTTCAAGAGGTTTGTGCGACGAGTTTTTTTTTTTTTCAAATTATATTAAATCCTACTAACTATGTTTTTTATGAATATGAGAAAGTTGACTGCTTTTTTAGGTACTGAATGAATCATTTGATGCAGAAGAGTTGTCTCAGCTTGATGATTTACATACCTCACGGATTACACGCATTCTCACCAATGATTTTCCAATGTATTTTGCGGTCGTTACTCGTGTGCGGCAAGAAGTGCACTGTGTTGGTCCAGAGGGGGGTGTAATACTCTCTTCAGTTGTTCCTCGTGTCCAGGTTGTTCTTAAGGATTTATTTTAGAAATCTGGTTTTGAAACTTCTTTAGGCTCTACAGTAATGTCATATATATGATATATATTTTTTTAGTCCAGTTACATTACTGCAAGTTTGCCTGCTTCCACGTGCTTACTGGACCATCTTCTAGGCTATATTTCCGGATGGTTCCTTGACCAAGACGATCAAAGTATCTGTGCAAGCTCAGCCGGTTCTACAAGAGATAGTCACTCGTTTACACGGAAACAGAGTTGCAGTATCCCCAATTGTAACTGTTGAACCGCGTCGTCGCAAATTTCATAAGCCCATAACGCTGTGCATACCTTTGCCACAAAGTTCAAATAAAGGAATGTTAACACAATATAGGTATTACTTTACTGCAATTGTTTTCTTTATTAGTCAAGATATTTGCACTATATCACATTATGAAGTATTTAAAACTATTTCATAAATTCTAGCGGCCAACCGGGACAGGAACCACCAACACTTCGTTTACTTTGCAGTATAACTGGAGGATCTGCTCCTGCTCAGTGGGAGGATATTACTGGAACTACACAGTTAACATTTACTGGTTAGTCTATTAAACAATTTATCTTTACAATCGTTCGTCTTGTTGAAATTAAAAATTGTCTCCTGATGAGACAAAATTACGTGTTAATTTCATCATTTAATTTAACTTTCTGATATTGTCTTACTCTTTTTTTTCGTTGATCTAGGCGAAGATGTTTCATTCACAACTACGGTTTCTGCTCGGTTTTGGTTGATGGATTGTCAAACTCCGCGAGATGCGGCGCGAATGGCACAAGAAGTTTACAACGAAGCAATTGCGGTTCCTTATATGGCTAAATTTCTTGTTTTTGCTCGACGAACTTTTCCTACTGAAGGGCAGTTAAGGTTCATTTACACCTGTTTATGGATGAATTGCAATTAACCTTTTTGTTAGTTGTTTTCAGTTAATCGCAAAAATAATGTTGCACAGGATACCCAGAATTTTAGATTGTTTTGCATAACTGATGATCGGGAAGAAAAAACCCTGGAAAAACAAGAGCATTTCACTGAAATTGCTAGATCGAAAGATGTCGAAGTTTTGAGCGGACGACATCAGTTTTTGGAATTCTCTGGAAATATTCTTCCAATAACCAAAAGTGGCGATCAGCTTTCACTTTATTTTTTGCCATTCCAAGAAAATCGTCTCGCTTTCATGATAAAGGTATCACAGACATCCATATTATGCATATACATATTGCGTGAATTTAACTGTAGATTTATCATACGTCGTGTTCGCGATAGTTAGAAGTCTTTGTATACTTTTCATGTATACTTTTTCTCCAGCATTTGTCCTTGATTTGGATTTGATGATTCGTAATTTTTGATTCTTTTAATTCTTTTATATATTTACTACTTAAATTTAAGACACGTGCTCACTCCGATAGTGAAGCTGCTGCTGATGGCCGGATAGCATTTATGAAAGAGCCAAAAATGAGAGCCGAAAATTTGCCTCCTCAGACGCCGTTATGCACTCTTGCAATCACTCTTCCGGAGTACACCGTGCAGGTAATACTAAAGAGCATTAAGAATATGTGCAGGAACGTAAATATGTGGACAAAAACGATTGTTGATATGCGGAAAAGTGGTATTGTTTTAGTGAAAAACCTAACTGCAGATTTTAATGTTTATTTATTCGCGACGAGTCAAAAGTGATATATGCGTATGCACTTTTTTGCAACATTTTCCTTATTTTTGTTACCCTTTCTCCTGAAATTAATTCTTCAGGAGCTGATGGTTCCCAGAAAATCCTCTTCGGAAGTTCCTTTGACCGAGAAATACACTGGAGCTTTCCATGAAACTGCTGAGCCTAATGACTTGCCACTGCCACATGTTGCACGATTAATTGGCGCTGATTGGCATCGATTGGCTCGAGCGCTTGAAGTACCTGATATTGATATACGACAAGTTCGACATCAGCTTGTTGGTCTTGAAGCAATCACTATTCTGCGTATCTGGATATTTTTGAAAAAAGAACAAGCAACCCGTAAGTTTTGCTCCATCAGGATGAAATATTAGAACATAATAATGAAATTATATTTCATGATAGTTTCTGAAATGCTCTCTTGAAATTGCAGCTGCTACCTTGCGGTCAGCTTTACAGCGGATAGGGCGTGATGATGTTGTACGAGAAATGAATCGAACTGAAAAGCCATATGATTTAGAAGGCACACCCGTATCACATGTTTCTGGACCCTCAGTAACTATATCAACCACTTCGCTTGAGGTCGCTGACGACAGACATCGTTACCCCGAAGTATGATGGTCATAATTATGGTTTTTTTTTTTGGTACTTATTTCTGTAGTTATTAACTGAAAAACATCTGATATTTTTGAGGTAACAATGACACAACAACGAATGATGCAAGAACCATTTTTTCAACAAACGGAATATTATGGGACAGATAGAGATACGGAAGAACCAGAAGAGCGACCATACCGCGGTATTTCACTTCTTTCAGTGAATAAGAAATGCAAACTTTTGAAATATGAGTGTTTTTATCCGTGGTATGCAACGATGTAGATATAAATTTTTTTGCAGACGAGGAAGAAGAGGTTGCAGTTTCAGAAATTCGAACAGTTGTGCGCACTGAACGACATGTGCATGACTCAGAAGATGGTGAGCGAAGTTTTGATACTGGTGGGTTCTAGCCAGTTTTGATGGTACTAAAACTTTATGAAGTTTGTAATTAAAGGCAGATAAGTTTTATTGCAGGCCCCATTGTGGAAGAACGCACAATAACAACTACATATGAGGATGATATTGCTGTAAATGAAGAAATTGTTGATAGGATAGTTCCTCTCAACGAAGAAGAGCAGGAGAAGTGGGATCGAATGGTTCAAGAAGTGGAGATGAATTTGGAGCAACAAGTAAAAGCTTCTTCAGTCAGCTTTAATGCTGTGTTTTTGAAGTACAGTAAATAGACTCCTAGTGCTTGCCTGGTTTTTTAGATAAGTCTTGTTTTGAGTAATTTTTTCCACGTTATATCATATCTTTTTTAAGATTTGTTACAATAATATCGCCTAAATAGATTCAACTACTGATTTCAAAAATCATGGAGACATTGCACTACTATCAATGATAATATAATACTTGTGTATGGATTATTTTATCAGAAAAGAAATAGGATTATTTCATCCTATGAAACTCTTGTTTAAATAGAGGATAATTACTTGAAGGAAGCTCCGAAAGAAGAAACGTTTGGCTATCAGGTAATACATGAAGAGGAAAAAGATGATGATGTCACCCTGAAAACGACAACAATGGAGAGTAGCCATGTAACACAAGTTTTGCTAGATGAAGCTAAAACATCCGCTAATGAAACAGAGTTAAATAGCAGAGATGCAAGTGTTGTTATGACCACAGTGGAAAAAGATGATCACATTATAGGTTCGTAATTTCTTTTTTTGTAACTTCAACTTGTTTTAAAAAATAATCGTTTGACGTACAACTTAATTTTTTAAAAAAAAAGGAATGTAGAATGAACTGTAACTTCGGTAACTTCGGATGCCTGGTTATGTAATCTTAGATCGTCTTATAATGGTTTATTTAACTGTTTCGTGCGATTATGAATCGTTTTGTTAGGAGGGTAGCTGTTTTGGTGTCCTTCACTTGTAAGATAGTTTTATTACCAGCACTACGTTAAAATTGTATCGTGGACGAATAATCTCGGCCTGTTGACATATTTGTACTTCTCCCTTCGTTACGGCTGTTCTAATGCAGCATAGGGATGTATTTATGTGATCAGTCTTTTTTTAATCGGTTTGCTCCCCAGTAGGGAAATTGAAGCACCTAATGGGCTTCACCTTTTGAATAATAACAAAATGCAGAAAATTGTCTACTTTTCCGAAAAAATGGCTTCCCTAGCAAAATATACTGACTATTGGTTCGCCGTAATGTATAAAAATCGTGATAGGTAGTCAAGCACAGTTAAAAAATGTATATGCTTGAATTTCATTGCGTATTTTCCTGCACTGCTAATAACTGCGAGAGCGTGAACAAATTTTATTCAGTAAAAAAACATTTTTATTCTGGGGCATGCGAAGAAATCAGTATTTCGATCTTTTATTACGAAGCTGAAGAAGGGCAAAAATTCTGGATGGGCCTCCGACACCCTTTATTCTAATATATTTGATATAAGTCTGCACTTCTGCCTGCTGCACACAACGCTTTTTCGTACATGTTGGAGAGGAGGGTGCGGAGGTTGATATGAAATAGAGGGGAATCTGGCCATTATCTGTACAGCTCTTTCTTCCATTGCTTGCACTATTGCTAACTAAACATTTCCTGTGATACTGTCGGAGTTAACCTGCAAACGCTGTTGTTGATGGCAGCGTTGTTCTTCGTGCTTTAAACAATCCTTGTCATAGCTGCTTATGTATCTGTTCTGTAGTAATAGTAGTAAGAAGGAGAGAGGTGAGAGTTCTGAAAGTCAAAGTGAGTCAGCTGTTTTGCATATCATTTCTGTATCATTTGAGATAATCACTTGCGAGATTGTGATCAATGAGGCATTGGAAGAGAGAGTTGTTTTGAATTCGTTCGGAAACAGGGATGGAGAACATAGTGTGCAGCAGAATACAAGCATCAGTGCAGCAGCAGTAGCAGTAGCACATGATGCCGTTGATTTTTCAGACTTGATGGAGGAAAGGCGAACTGGTGAAGAGGCCAAAGGGCAGAGCGTTCATGAATAATCCGGATCCACAAATTGATTTAAATCGCAATCTCGCACATGACTATGTTGCTAGTATTTAATGAAATTTTGCAAAGCATCATAATTTGATTGCTCTTTGGGCTTCCCATATTGTTAAAGCATTTTCCATCATCCAGTCACTTTTTGTTGCTGCTGTAGTCTGTAACTGCTACTCTTGATAAATTTGCTCCAGTATCTGACAGGGACACTTCAAGCATAACAGCTGACTCTTGCTTACTCCTCCTCCCCTCAGGCTCTGTTTCTCCTTATCCTTTTAGTGCTGTACAATGTCCGCTTCAGAGGTTGCCGCCACACATAACCTAGTTTTCGCCGGGATAACTGATTCCGGTGCTATTATCATTAACGGGGTTATGCTGGATTCTTATCATTTGAGCACCAGCTTGTCTTTTCATCATATAGAATCTGTCACAAAATTCACTGCTGAAGAGACATCACCTGAACGTGAGCAAGCCACCGATGAATCAGGTATCACTGCTGGAGCTCCGGCAGTAACGCCTGTATTTCAGGGTGGAAGTATGAGTGAGGAAACTATTTCAGCGACAGAGCAGTGGGAGAACCACACAATGACCGCAGGATTGGATCCACGGATCCAGGCTCAATTAGAACGGAAGCATGAACAAGATAATGATATGATGGAACCAATTGCTTTGAGCGGTCCGTTTGAGCGCAAACGAACGTCATCGCTTGTTGCAGCACTCCTTTCTGGAGATCGCGAACCCGGATATAAAGCATATGTGCAATTTGTGAGTCCCAGTGGTGTAGCACAAGTGATCGAAGCCTGTGATAATGAGGAGGAGTTCGATGGGATGGAGCGATCTGTTGAGTCAGTTGTAGGCCGTTTGCTCTTCACTCTGAGTTCGCTGAAAATGAGCGACCCTGATCGGCACGCAGCTGCAATTCATCGCTTGCAGGATCTTGAAGAGGAATTGCGCGCCGCCGGGGCTGTTTGTCCTCCAGATACTACTGCTTCAAATGCTATCTCCAAGATGCTTGCCTCAGCATCGCCCACTTCTGATATTCAGATTCGTATTAATTCTTCTCAGTATATCACTACAACGAAATCTGTTTTTGAAACGGAGACGCCTGGCATGGAAGGTCTTGATGCAGCAACAGTGCAGCACTTGCAACAACAGCTTATATCAAACATGAGTCAGATTTGCTCTTAGTGTGACGTGTTCACCTTTATATAAAATAATATCTACTATGTTTACCTCCCCTGACTAATGCTTCACCTTGCGATTTATGCCTCTCTAATTTATTTATCAATGGTAGCATTTCAGGTGTGCCGGAAACTCCTTTATCTTCAGAACCAAGTGCGCCAACAGGTAAGTCTTTCTCCATCATTATTCATTATACACATATTTCTTTTCTTTCAGTACAGAATTTCCTGCATTATTTCAGTCAAAATTAGTTGAGTGAGAAGGAGATGTAATGGGCTATGTATGAAGTATTCAAAAGAGGCATTATTTCTCAGCATAAATTCTTTTTTATATCAAAAATTATCAATTCAAAAATATTCCCTGGGCCGGGGAGGAAGTTGCAACTAATAGATGTGAGAAGAATATCTTCAACATAACTATTCAGTAGAAATAAAACAAATCCCAGAATGAGTAATAAATCTTCAATTTCAAGTAACCGATCAGAAGCATGAAACCATGGCGGAGGGCTTCACCAATGAGGACGGCTCTGCGGTTGTGTCAAAGAAGATGACGCGCGTTGTAACTACAACACGGACAACACTTCCAGGTTCATACACGACTTTTTGAATGTAGCAGTTCTAATATTTTTTTTTCAAAATGAATGCGTAAATGTGAACTAATTTTGTATTACTTTGTGTCATCTTAGCTGCTACAACTTCCTTAACGCAGGAGAATTCCATCAATTCGCCATCCGGCTAGAATCGCAAATGACTGTTGCGTGCTGCTAGTCTGTCAGTGCAGCTGATACATTTATGTTGACAAAATTTTCATTTCTTAATTCGATTTCATTCAAAATTAGGGCTACATATTTTTGCTTTTGTCTAAAGTACAGCTGAAGAAGTGTGCACACCGCACATTTTAAATGTGAAGAAAGAGCAAGACAAGCAGTTGTCAGTGCAATCCACGTAGAAATTTGCTCGAAACTTATGGGTTTTATTTTATTTGAGTTTTTGATAGTATTATTAGCTTATAAAATCTAAAATATGACGCAGTTTATCATAATTAGAGAAGTGTATCCAGTTCGAATCAAACAATTTTTATACCTTAGCCGTTAGCAAGCGTGTTTCTATGAAGCAGATAAATTTTTTTTTTCTCTTTGGTTGGGAATATAGAAATGCATAAATCATTGGTAGTTTAAGTTAATGTCTACAGTTTAAGAGAAATTTAGGTATAAGTTAACAGTGCAGCCAAGCTGATTTTTAACAGTGCAGCACTATTAGTATTATTTCTGAGTTTTCTGCTGAATTGTTGAAAATGTGTTGCAGGAGAGAAGACGGAGGCGAATGCGGGTGAGTAAAAGATGAAAAAAATTTATGTGGAACCTCTTGCAAACTGCCAGCTTTCTAGTGATATAATTTTTACTATTACTGCATGTACGCGAGTGCACCCTTTTCGTTATGCAAAATTGAATGTTCATTCGAAGTGGACTTACTTTCGTTTGTTTGTTTTTGTGATGTTTATCGTTGTAGTCATTTTGCTTGGTTATGTTTATTTTCAGCGTTGTTTAGCCCTACCCTTTTAGTCGATCGATCTGACATGCTTTTGTTGCATTTTAAACTATTATTATTACGATGAATTTGTGACATTCATTACAACTGTTCGTTTATCGCTCACGTTTTCATTTACTCAAGAATGCATTTACTTTGGATACGTGTTGGTGTTACTGATTGATCGATTGGTGTTATGTCCTTTTCACTCCATGCTTCTTTCACACTTCCTTTTGGTCTTCATTCAGGAGATTTGATACGATTGAAAGTGAACGAGCAGGTGTACTCGGGCAGTGTGGATCCCGGTGATCAGCACATACATTTGGTACCAATTACTAAGCAGCAGCAAAAGCTGGATTCAATCGAGCAGCAACAACAGCAAGAGCGGCAGTAGAATCATAGCCCTTCAACGAGCATTATTTTTAAACATTGCAATTATTTTTCGTTTTCTTGTTCGTTTGCTTGTCTTAGCACTACTTTTTATGGCCCGTCTGTTGTTGTCACGGTAAATGGTATTGTTTGCACAACCCATGAAGTTGACAGATATTGTGAAACCCCACTGCTCAAGTTTTGAGGGAGAACCTACGGACATGAGAATTTCTCCTAATAAACAACGCAAGGGAAGGAAGTAGCAAAAGAAGTGGTGACAAAAAGATGCAAAGAAACAAGTGGTAGGGAAAGAATATTCTAGTTGCCGCACTCTTCGGGCCCACCTTGCAGTCCTGGGGCGGTTTTCGAAAACAGATTGCCTGAATCTTGAACTCAGTCTAGGATTTAATGCAGAAAATATTTCTTATCTACTTTTTTATAGTTATTATTATTCGAGCGCATGTTGCCAAAGCAATTGCTGATACAGCCAGCACTTTTTTGTCATTTTTGGATTCTTTGGGAAACAAACACTTTGCTATGCTCTTCCTGTCATTTATTTTCATTTTCATTCACCGTTGCTGTTGCTCCTGCGCCTTCTCGTATCACTACTCCTATTTGTGGTTGTTGGCTAAATTTCTTTTCGAAGTTGAAATGAAATATTATTGAACAATCCCATATCATATTGAAAAATTGTACTCCTTTGCCATGTTAAGACAAGCTTCATTACATTTGAGTAAAGATTAAGGAGTAGGAACTAAAGCACTTAGCCATTACCGCAGTACTTTGACGCATCTGCTCCAACTCATGACCTCATTCAGTCCATATATTACTTTTAACAACTGACAAAATTGCTTTGGAAATTAATGCGTCCATGTAAGGGTTTATTTATCAATACATGAAAGGAATATCAAGTAAACATTCTAGTCGAATCTGTAGATCCGAATATCCCTGAAACTGCTCACTGTCACATAATGAATGCTGCTCACTGTCACATATGCCATCAAAAAGCATAGTTTGGGTAGGGACAGGGAATTTTCAATGTTTTGGAAAGAAGGTTACTGAAAAAGATGGGTGTGTAAAATGCGTCAACATTTTGATGACAAAATGCTATGAGGGTTTTCCGAGTAGAGTACAGTACTTCAAATACAGAATCTCTCAGTTCTTTCAAATATGAGGAACTGCATCGTTTGGAATTGTTCGTAGATGTGGGGTCCGTTATTTTCAGTTAGGAATATTGCAAACGAATGCATTTCCGAGGGTAAACATTAGAAATAGGTTGAGTTAGGATGTTCGAGTCACTGCTGCTTCTAAATGAAACTGACACTCAACGTTTGGGTGATGAGCTATAAATTTTGTCGCCATATTGAAATAGGTTTTGAGTAGCTTTTTTATCAGTAAGTAAATGTCACCTTAAAGTTTGCAGATATTTGAGCTGTAAATAAGTCATTTTATGAGAATTGAACAGGAGATGAAAGAGGAAAAAGAGACGATTGGGAAAAATACGACAGTTTTTAGTTTTCATTATCAGTTGTTTTTATGATGCGGGAGGAGGTCACCGACACTATGTTTTTAATCAGAACTATCCAATTTCTAAACTTTTTGTTGCATAGTTGAAGTCTCTGGAAAAATAAATCAGTATGAAATTTTTCTGGGATGAAATGTAATTGACTGTCGAGAAGGGAAGATTTTATTTCGTGGAGTTGTTACCAACTATTCAATCTACCCGTTTAGAATAAAAGTCCTTGTCGGAGTCATTTGTCATAATCTTGTTTATATTCATATCTTTTCATTCCATTCATTCCATTTGGGAGAGGTGTGAAGACACCTCTCTCTTCCAAGCTGCCTCAATATCCGCGCTTATCGTTGAATCATTTTGCCCCATCTATTGGTAAAATTACCCTTTATCTTACTGTTGAAAGGGTAGAATAAATACTATTTATAATGTTTTAAATTTATCAAATTGAAAAAGCAGTGGATCAATGTTACTCCTACAACACAGGCCATCTTACTGGGATTTTATAGAAACGACATCAAAGCATATACGTTTCGAGTAATTTAAATTTGGTAAATTTAAAACATTATAAATGGTATTTATACTTAAAACAGGCGAATACAAACATATATCCAACCCGTAATGAACGACACGAAACATGTAGATTACTGATCAATAGTGACGTATATGACGCATTTGAGTCACAGTCAAGGGTGAGAGTATTCATTTTGCTCGAGATGATGATATTTTATTTACAAAGTTCTAAATCGATAGATTTGATCAAAATTTTATGCAAGGTCCGAAACTACTAACTCCTGCCATTTTAGCTCCAGAAAATGCATAAAATGTAAAAAACAGCTTTTAATTTTACGCGAATCGATGCATCCGGCATTGGGAGCCTCCAATTAGCGATTTCCATGTATTCAGAACTCTTCCACATCATTTCAGGGTACATTTGCTGTGTTAGTTGGTTGAAGTACGTTGTTCGCTGGATTTCTTTAAAATTATTGTTATTTTACAGATTCTTTATTTAAACTATATGATGTACTATTTTTACTACATCGTAACGGAATAATTCGTTGTTCAATTACACATTTTTTCAGGGCCAGCTCCAAATGTTTTTGATTCGATAGGATCGGTCAGGCAACGTATTGCTATATTTGAAACACTATCAACGGATAACCAACTTATGTCAACTCGTAAATCAGATACTCCACCAGAGTTAACTGAAGTTTCAAAATATAAGAAGTACAGTCCTCTTCGGGAAAGACCCAGTGAAGCTCATAAACCGAAAACACTCCCTGGCAAATCAGAAAGTGATCAATCCGATGTAAAAGATACTGGCAAGTTATTTTTATTTGCTCAAATTGAAAAAACAACGGGTCATTTAGACGGAGTGGCAAAAGCATAAAGCAAAACTTATAGGGGTGTAATGAAACTCAAAAAGGCACGTATGAGGTACAAAAATACAATTATGAGTCGGATCGGATAGCTGCACAGGAATCAGGTCGGCATTCCGGGATTTATGAACTACAAAAACACATGCCCAGTGAATGTAGCGGTACGCCAGAAACAGTAGGTGCAGAATGGAAGAAAAAGAAAAATGAGAATAAAAACTTAAAAAATACAGGAAGGAAAAAATTTGCTAAGTGGGAACAGGAACAAGGGTCTTCCTAATGAGTTGGAAGTGATCATGCAAAGACAATTCCAGAAAATATTTGAGTGGAAGTGGCAAAAGAATTTAGGGAATTGGAAAAAAACAGAAAACAAACATATCCTGAAAGCGGTTATTCCGTTAGAAATTGATTTGCAACAAACAGTAACGCAAGAAATATTTACACAGAAAGGGGATCAGGAAGCATATTTCGAAATTCGTACAGTTGAAGGATGGGAAATCATTGACGAAGATGAAATACATGCGGTTAATAAAGAATATCTTGCAAAGCAACTTGAAGTCACGGGAAAAGAAACCAAATCAAAAGGAAGTGTTTGTGCAACACAAAAAATCCCTGCAAGAAGGATAACAATAGATCCCGAAAGTACTATTTGCAAAATACTGGTTCCAGCTTAGGAAGACTTCAAACTGGAAAACGTTCTTTCGGTAAACAACATTGTAAAGAAAAAAGCATTCATACTACGGTGCACTAAAGAACTTCCTATAGAAAAATTGGAGCTCAAAAAAAATGAACTTCCTGAAGAATTAACTGAGAAAAGCAATATATATAGTACGATGATGAAAGGTGAAGAATCTGTTGCTGAAAGATCGGAACTAGATTTCTTAAAGAATAGAACTGGTGAAGTGGAAGTGGTTCTATCACTTCATAAAGAAATAAGCAAAGATGAATTAAATATCATCGATATGTTATTGGAGAAGCCTACGAAAAAAGCTACACTTTTCTTTTGCGAATTAATTGAAAATAATAAAGAGAAAGACTATAGAGTTGAAATCATCAGGGAAAGTGAAATGTCATACGAAATCAATGAATCAAAAGAGCCGCTTCTATCAGAGCAGAAAGTTACTGTCACAGAAAATGGTTTGCTTGAAGAAGCAAATATGTTGGAGATATCACCTGTCAAAGAAAAAATAAAGCGAAGGGAAACATTTATAAAAAGCGCTGAAATAAACAAGATTCCACAACCAGAAAAATTAAAAGTTGAGAGAGATATACTAAGCATGATCCGAGACGAGGATCTCATTGAACAAGAGAAAAAACCATCTACGCTGTCGCAAACAATAAGAGTTCACGACATATGTGGCTTACCTGTTGAGCAACATTTCCATGTAGAGAATTATCGAGAAATGTATGAGGACACTCCCCATAAAGCTCCGTATGACGAGGAAGGAAAACCGATGCTGAGTAAACTAACTTATAAAGTTAATAGAGAATTAATGGCCAATTTGGAGCTAGTTTCGAGAAAAGTAGAAAGAGTCAAAGAACTCATACCGGTGGAAGCTTTTGAGAAAAAGTCAAAAAATGACGATACTAACTTTGATGTTGTAATACAATTAGAAATGAAAGAAGTGGCATCGACAAAAATCGGCGAGCCACACGAGGTCAAGATTGAATTACTTGAAACAGACGACTTCGATGACGGTGAGGGTTGGAAGATTAGGAAAGCAATGAGTAAGCAAATTACAAATACTATCGATGTAACCAAAAATGATATATATCTAGATGATGGAACCAAAGAAACGATAGAAAATACAACTGCCGGAAGTATTTTAGATGAAGCAGAAACATTTGTCAAAAGAGATGATTTCGGAAATATGTGTCTGTCAAAAAATCAGTTCTTCATTGAAACATCACAAAAGCAAATAATGCTTTTTCCGAAGGTAGAGATCTGCTGTCATAAGGGACAATGACACGGAGATTCAGAAAAAAGCGAAAAGGCTAGTTATGAACCCTGCTACCGGGACGAAAAGTTGAAATTGTTTCAGAAAAAGGAATATTTACTGCAGTTGAAGAAAGAATAATTGAATATCAGTAGAAAAACGGCAAGACAAGAAGAGATGTATTATACGGAAGACACTCAATTAGAATGGTGGCTATTTAAAGATGGGAAGCATCAATTTCAAGAAGATGAAACGGATAAAGCGAAAATGATCGTCTTGCGAAGGGAAAAACAATTTAATGAAATGGAAGATAAAACGAACCATGCAACGAAAAGCTATTATTCTCCGTTCACTTCCGAGGAAGCCGTAGATAAGCTGAAACGATTTCAATCTACACAACCATATATTGAACTGCCCACTATTACAAGAATGTCACAAATGCAAGATTATAAGACTGAGGACAGTGAAACATTCATACATCAAGAAGTAGGGGTTATAAAATCTTCAATTGGAGATATAGAAATTACTGTACAGCAGGAAGCACATCACGAGGAGCCCAAGAATATAGAGATCTTCATCCAAAAGAAGGTGCTAATAAATGAAGAAGCTAAAGAACCAATAATTAGACCCGAATTACGTGTACTGACTCCTGCTAAAGAATTGATAGACACTAGCCAAAAAGAAGATCGAATTTGCAAGAGGAAGAAAATTCATTCGCACAAGAACTTACAAAACCTGATAAAAAAGAAGACAGCATACCTCTAGAGATCACCACGCCAACAGTAGTCTCTGCTATTAGTACTGCTGATGTTCACAATCAAATTTCGGAGATTCCAAGAGTTGAAAAGGGAGAAAGCGAAACAGAAAAAAGATATTACTAATGGCGAAAAAAGCCGTTTCTGAACATTTATCAGATATCGCTTTAAAATGTCCTAATTTAAAGAATGAAAAAGAAGAAACAGTCCGTACAAAGCAACAAGAAGAGTTGCAGTTAATTATAGGTCACAGAAATGGAAACGAAAGCGAAAAATATGAGGACATTTTGAAAAATGATGAAGTGCACGATCAGCTGGAAAGAAGGCCTCCTCAGATAAAAGACTCCATCGAAGAGATCTTTGAATTAAGCTCTTTAAAACTGCTTTCGGATCAACGCTCTAGAAAAGTAAATGGTATGCAACCTTCCATTTCTCCAAGCAATGTACTGACGATAAACTGGTTTCAAAAACGGGAAGAAAGGGTGGAGGATCCAAGCACAACATTCACGTGTGCACTTAATTATGATGAAATGAATAGAGAAAGTGAACATTTAAAACAAGAAAGTTGGAATGAGTCCTATAAAAGTCCTAGCAAAGAAGATAAAGAGGAAAAGGTAGAGGTACGAGGCATAAAATTGCAACAAATTAAAGTGGAATGCTCGAAAAACGAAATGGAGAAGATGGAAGAAATGCTAAATGAATTTTCACAACTTCCAAGAATGGTTAGAGTGGGAGCAGAATCTATAAAGTCAGAGATTAAAGTTTCTACAACATTCTTCGGGGGAGTGAAAAAATCTTCGGGAGTTGATGAAATTTTAGAAAAACCTTCAGGAATTGTAAACCATGAATTTTGGTGCAATGAGAAAATGGATGAACGATTGGTAGAATATAACGAAGATAAGGGAGATGAAAGTATGAAAAGAAGTGGTGAGATATGCATGGATCAACCTCATTATGAAAAGTTTAGAGAAAATATTTTAGACGGGCCGGAAATTCTGATTAAAAGAAAGGAATTATATAGATTTCCAAATAAAGAAGTGTATTTCAAAGTTTCAAGAACAACGAAGGAAGAGCGAGAAGTTGAAACCAGAGTAGAACATAAACAGACATCGGAATATCCCGAAACGACAGTTAAGAATGAGGAAGAATGGAACAGCAAAAGTGCGGAAACCATAACAGAGGGATATACTGAATTGGAAGGGTGTTCTACATTTCATACAAAATGGCCAAAGATAGAAAAATCAGTGCAGAAAACTTTAATATCTGCTGTAAAAAAACGGTCATTGAAGAATTTTTAGCGCAAATTGAATCCGCAGCAGAAAGACCAGAAGTGGAAGTGAGTGCAACACTTAGTTCAGAAGAAATACAAGACGTTGTTGTAAATAATGATGATGATGAAAATTATCATCAGACATTTTTAGGCCATCCTGACTTAGAAGAAATGGAGTTCGAGAAAATTGTTAAGGGAATTCCAGAACGTTGGCCAGGAAATATTAAAAAGACGTCAGAAAATATTGCAGAAGAAGCTGGAAGTTTACAAAAGCTACAAGATTTTCGGTTAATACACATGGAAATAAAAGACGCAAAAGGAAATGAGAAAGAATCAAAAATTAATGTTGAAGTCATTTCTTTGAATAGTAAAGAGAACTGTGAAGATTTAAGCGAACTTTCACCTTCACACGCCGAAGGTGAGATGAAACATATCACTGTTATTTATGAATGGACGCAGAAGGAGGACATTAAAGATGAAGAAAGGGAATGGAAAGTAGGTAAAGTAGGGGATACCATAGATATTAAGCATATGAATAAAGCAAGTTCTGAATTGGATGTTGATGTTGAGGATGCTGACATACCTTGTAAAAATCCGATAAAAGTAGAGAGACTAGTAACAAAATATGACAGAGCTATAGAGAACGTTGCAGGTGAACAGTATGAAATGGATGAGAATTATCCGCAAGATAGGTGGAGACAACGGAGCGAGGTCGAGACAGCGGAGGAGCGCATGACTTCTCGGGAATTAAAAGGCAGTGCAGAGACAGAAGACCAGATGTGGCTTGAAGAAGGGAAGAGAGGTGAATCCTCCTTCTTCAATGATGCCGAAAAATCAAATTCTGCCGACAAATATTTATTAACTGAATCTAGCTCTCATGATATTACAGAAATAGGAAGGTTAACAGCTGCTGGATGGGAAAAAGAAAAGATCCCAGAAAAGCGCATAAAAGAGCTGAATGGTAAAGATAACGGAACTGAAATGGATACTGCCGAAATATTGCAGATAACGTTGGAGGAATATGTAGAAAAAGAAATATATGAAAAAGGGGAACAGCAGCTATCAGAAAATGAAGTTCCATTAAAGAAAAAGAAAGGGGGTAAAGAGGAAAGAAAGAATAGAGCTGAAGTCGGAAAAAGACCAACTGGTGAAAATGTTGAAGATGTAGTAATACGGCTGAAAGATGGAAAAGCAACCGACAGAGCAAAGGAAGTTCCGGAAGCATCTGATGAGCACATGATGAGAATTCAAACAGAACGGATATTAAATGAGCATCTGTACACATTAGATGAAAAACCCGTATCAAAGTATTTTCAGGAATACAACATCTTAGGACAAAAGGATTTTGGACCGAAAAAATCGACAACTTTTCAGCAGGAAATATTTGTCGAACAAGAGAAGTCTATAGGTATATTATCGCTGGAAGCCACGAATGGAAGAAGTCAAGAAAGAGATGCTGAAAGGATACCAGTTGCAGAGATTTCCTCAGAGCGAGAGAGTTGGGAACAAAAGAATATGGAATCTGAAAATGGCAGGCATGAAACAACAATTACTGAAAAAGTTCATACTGAGTCTCTTGAATTACAAAACCTGAAACAAACTGGGTTAAAACCACATGAAGAGGTGGTGTTAGAAAATGTTTCAATGGAATATGAACAAGAAGCTAAGACAATGCAATGCGAAATGTCAGGTATTCATTCAAACCTGATAAGAGAAACTGCGAGAGATGAAGGTCTGAAACAGGGTGGAACTGTGGTCAACGACAACTCTGAAGACGGTAAAACTTCTCAAAATGGATTTTTCCTCTTCGGTAAAAATGCGGGCATAGTTTCAACAAGTATGATTGCCACTTCTGTCGCTCTTGCAGCAATAGGAACTGCAGTTGCTTACGAGTACACAGTAAAAGAACACCAAGAAACGGTAACAGATTCTGAATTAGCAAATAAAATACTCAGCATAAAAAAGCCTGAGCCAATACATGAAATAGAACTGAAGGAATCAGAAATCTCTGTAAGCGAGCTTAAAGCTGAGGCGGAGAAAACAAAACCGTTCAAAGACATTGTACCGGATAAAGAGATTCTCAACGAGTACAGTACAGCAATATCCAAAGAACCAACCGCAAAGAGAGAACATATTAAAGTGGAAAGTTGGACAGAATCAGAGGAAATTTTCTATCAGTTAAGTAGAACCAAAGAAATGGAAAAAACCGAAACAAAAACGTTCGAAGATATAATACCGGCTAAAGAGGTTCTCGATGAGTATGGTACAGTAATTTCCAAGGAACCAGCCGTACAGGAAGAGCATGTAACTGATATGAAAACTCCAGCAGAGTTAGAGGACGTTGTGAGTCAGTTAAGTAGAAAAGAATTGGAAGAAACTAAAACAAAACCATTAGAAGATATTATATCGGTTAGAAAGGTTCTCGATGAATATGGTACAGAAATATTTAAAGAACCAACCATAGAGAGAGAACGTCTTAAAACGGAAAGTTGGAAAGAACCTGAAGAAGTAGTGGATCAGTTAAGTAGAATGGAAGATTTAGAAGAAACTGAAACAAAACCATTAGAAGATATTATATCGGTTAGAAAGGTTCTCGATGAATATGGTACAGAAATATTCGACGAACCAACCATAGAGAGAGAACATTTTGAAACGGAAAGTTGGAAAGAGTCAGAGGAAGCTGTGAATCAGTTAAGTAGAATGGAAGATTTAGAAGAAACTGAAACAAAACCATTAGAAGATATTATATCGGTTAGAAAGGTTCTCGATGAATATGGTACAGAAATATTTAAAGAACCAACCATAGAGAGAGAACGTCTTAAAGCGGAAAGTTGGAAAGAACCTGAAGAAGTAGTGGATCAGTTAAGTAGAATGGAAGATTT